CAAAAGTTCTTATCTCTGTAGATATTTTTGTTTTAGCCTCCTATACTGTTAACCAGAGCATGAAGGACTATGCCAGAGGTTCTCAACCTTAGCTATATGTCACAAAAACCCAAGGAGCTTTTACAAACTGAGCTTACTCAGGGATTATGATTAAATTGGCCTAGGGTGGGGCCCAAGCACATAGCTTGGTTTTTGTTTCTCAGTTGGCCGTCTCATCTTCACTAGAAATAAGCTCTTGCCACTGTCTCCTTTATATCTAGACTGGGACCTAGTACATAGCAAGCATTCACTAGTAACTGAATGAACATAGCACTCATTTGCAAAGGGAGTTTGCAAAATAAAAACAAGTTTTAGGTAGTCTGCTGTTTTTGTTCATGATATTTTTCCTAAATATATATGAAAACCTATTACCTGAAAGCCAAAAAACAATCTTGTATGTCAAAACAGTGCTTAAGCCCAGAGAATTAAAAACGATGAAATTCCCTATTCCATCTCACCTTTAGGCAAGTCTTCAACAACATATATCTTGTGAACGAGGATGTTAAAGTGTATTTTCATCTCAGTTTCTGCTGAGACCCCAAGGCAATATTCACCATATGCCAGGAGGGGAACAGGACAAATGCAGGACTGCAAGACAAAGCAGCCCCAAGTGAATTCACACTTCCTCCTGATCTTTAGCCCACAAAAGAGCTAGAAATCCGAGGACAATTTCTAGAAGCTGTGGAATTTGCTGGAGTCTCACCATGGGTGGAGGGAGTTGGGAGGGTGATTCTGCTTCACCTTGAATCAACAGAGGGGGAGTGTGCAGAGAGGACCCTGAGAACCAGGAGTCAAAAGAAAAGTTACAGGGGGCCAGCCAGAGAGAATGCATTATCCAAGTAAGGGAATGGAAGGTTGGGCCTGCATGATGGAAGGTAACGGGGGTGCGGGGACAAGAGCCAGAGTTTTGAAAACTGAGTAAAATGCACCAGAAGCACAAGCATCAGCTTTGAACACACACCAGGCTCTGAGAGGAAGAAGCCAGTATTTATCACAATACTGATAAAGTATGAACTGTCCTCATCTCACTCCCCTCTTTGCAAATAAGACAGTTCAAGGTGGGAAACAGGCCACAGTCAAGCACTTACTGTTCCCTCCGCTGCCAGGGACAAGGCTGGCAGCACACCCAGCCTGAGGAAGGGGCAGCTTCTATCTCAAACACCTCTTAGCCGTCTTGTTACACTGGACCGGACGCGTCATCTACTGATGGGGGAAGCCCAGGACTTGCCCTACATTCCATCCAGGGGCAGGGGAAGAGCAGGCCCCAGGGAATAAAGTTAAAGACATGGGAGACCCAAGTAAAAGTGCCCTTTGATCCAGCTGAGCTTGTTTAACATAATGGTAGCCCCAGTACTTTGAATGTGTTTGTGTTATTTTCTTTCTCAATTGAATATGATTCATCAGTTTAAGTTCACTGACCCTGGATTTCCTCGACCAATTTGATGTACCTGCCAATTTAATGATTTCTACCTATCAAATGACTTCTAACAAATCTTCAAATTTAATGATTTGATCTTTGCTGCAATGATCAATTTCATGAGATCTCCATTTCTTCGTTCTTTTTTGGGTAATTCATGAGAACTTGGATTTGGTGCAGAAAGATGATTTAGAATTCTCAATGAAAAAATGCACAAAAAGAACAGTTGGGTCTGAGAGTCAAATATATGAAAAGGGAGAAAACCTATAATTCCTGGAGTGTTTTGAGGACTCATTTCTGGGGGAAAGGCAATACCAGCTCACAGAGAAACATCTGAATTCCAGAACAGCAGCAGGGGCTGAGGAAAGATAAATGGTGAAGGGATGCGACCACTTACCTGAACTGCAGGCCCCCTGCTTGGGGAGCCCAGCGATAGAATGGAGGGTGAAGATCACACCTGAAGGCAATCAGACAGGGGTTGCCTCTGGTGAGTAGACGTGGAGATGGCCTGGGCAGCAGCAGGAGAGAACTTTTTGGGTGGAAGTGATCTCGAAGGGCTGGGGGGACAGGGGTTGGATTGACAGGTGTAAGCCTTTGTTACTTCAGTGGTAAACGTGAGGTCTCTCCATTTCACTGTATGCAAATCTTACCGACTCTCCAAAAAGGGCAAACACACTAGTTAATGATAGGCACATGTAAGTGTTTAGGAGCGTGTACTGCCTGCAACTGTACTTCAAAATCTGGAGAAGGCAATGGTAACCCACTCCAGTACTCTTGCCTGGAAAATCCCATGGATGGAGGAGCCTGGTAAGCTGCAGTCCATGGGGTCTCAAAGAGTCAGACATGACTGAGCGACTTCACTTTCACTTTTCACTTTCATGCACTGGAGAAGGAAATAGCAACCCACTCCAGTGTTCTTGCCTGGAGAATCCCAGGGACGGCGGCGCCTGGTGGGCTGCCGTCTATGGGGTCGCACAGAGTCGGACACGACTGAGACGACTTGGCAGCAGCAGCAGTGCTTCGAAATGTATCCAAAAACTGAACAGATGGATGGATGGAGGGAGGAATGGCTGGTTATGTGATAACATAGCAAAATGTTACTTGTAGCAAATATAGAATTAAATGGAGGATATAAAATTATTTCAACTTCTCTGTTTAAGAATTTTCAGGACTTCCTTCATGGTCCAGTGGTTAAGAGAGTCTGTGTTCCCACTGCAGGAGGTGTGGGTTCAATCCCTGGTTGGGGAACTAAGATCCTGCATGCCACTTCGTACAGTCAAAAAAAAAAAAAAGACTTTTTCCCCCCCATAACGCTGGGAATAGAAATGCCCTGTTATTTGGGCAAATATACTTCTGAAACCCAGAAGCCATGCCCTTCCTCCAGTGTCAGTTTCTGACCTTAGCAGTTATTTTATTCCCGTCCACTTACTACTTCTAAGTACAGAAAACACTAGGGTATTCGCATGTGTTATAGCATTATTTAGTGGGATGAATCCAAGGCAAGCTTCCTGGGTGTGAGGTTCCACTGCCCAGGCAATTAGGTGTAGCATCTTTATGTTCATAGACCATCTGGTTTTCCACAAAGCCAGAGGGAGCCCAAACTTTCCTCAGGGCCTAGAGGGAAGTTTTATGATGGAGAATTTTAAGGCAAACAAGAGGGAGTGGTTGGGGAACTAAATGCAGGGAGGAGGGCCAGGTCCCCAAACCATTTCCAAACTCTTGCCCCGGAGCCAGACCTCCTATAGTCCTGTAATAGAAACCTGACCTCTCCTCTGGGGTAACTGGTTAATCAGACCATCTTCCCCTGCTACTCTTTTTGAACAAACTCAAGATAGAAGGACAAGGGAACCTTAGATTTGAATCCAAGTCTCAACAGCCTCTGAGGACAAAGAGAAGACAATGGTGGTCACATCGCACTTCCTTTCAAGCCCTGAATCTCTGAGATTATTACTGACCAGTGTCTGTGATCACCGCCTCCCGTCCACAGCGACTGCCAGAGGATCAGGTGTGCTTGAAGATTTGGGGGAAAGTATTTAAAAGGATTATTTCTATATTAAGACAAACAGATTATGAAGTGCAAAGTTCCTATGATCTTCCACTAAAACAGATTTTGAAGACATTTTGCTGAGCCCTTATAAACTACACCGAGGCTCCCAAGGGTATACTCCCCTGGGAGTGTACTCTGAAGGAAACTTCACTGGAAAATTTAGAAAAGCATTTTTGTTGGATGGACACACTCACACTGGAGATGGAGGTTACTGCTGGGGAAGGGAGCAGGACAAGGAGGGGAGAGCTAAGGTCTGCTTTATAGTTTAAATCTTTAAACCTCTGTCCGTGTTAAGTCGTCTTAGTTGTGCTTTTGTGACCCCACGGGCTGTAGCCCGCCAGGCTCCTCTGTAGATGAAATTCTCCAGGCAAGAATACTGGAGTGGGTTGCCATTCCCTTCTCCCAGGGGATCTTCCCCACCTAGGGATCCAACCCAAGTCTCCTGCAATGCAGGGGGAGTTTTTACCATCTGAGCCACCAGGGAAGCCCTTTTCCACTGTAACAAGAAACAAAAGACAAAAACAAACACTAACACAAAATAAATACACGTAGTTTCTGGAGGGAAAAACCCCAGAGTGCTGCTGGGTGACCAATGGCCTATGGCTTGGCTTCACTGAGTGGTGAACGCACCCCCTGAACCCGCCCCCACTGCACCCCATTCCGCGCCTTAAGGGAAGGCGGATGCTTACTCAGGGTGAACACATGGGTGAACCAGACCACTTAGGATTTCTGGGGAAAGCAGGATGGAAACAGCAGAGCTGCTGGAGTCAGAGGCCTGTGCTCCGTCCATGAGCTCTCAGGCAAGCCATTCCTGAGAACCCACCTTCCTCATCGTTAAGACGCTGTACCACCCCGTGCACAGCGAGCTACAAGGGTGATATGAGCCACACCTGGCACTCAACAAATTTCACTCTCCTTTCCCTAGTGAAGTGCAGTCAGAAAAAAATCTTTCAAAACACGGATGGGGATGAGGAATGATAAAAGGGATGGGAGGGACAAGAGGCCCAGAAGCCAGGACAGCAGTTATAAACCGTGTCCAGCTCAACAAGCGTGGCCACAGGTGCTGAAGGAGCACAGAGCACCCCCAGGCTGCAGGCGGCGCAGGCTCAGCCTCCGGACCATGTGATCACACAGGAAGCGAGGCCTTTTCAACCCAGTGTTTAAAGACACACAGCCAGCCGGGTAAGCATTCTGGTTATTTTTAGTTAAAGAAAAACAGCCTTTTCCAAGGGCGACAAAGTCAGAAGGAAACAGGGTGTGGGCTTCTCACAAGCTCTTGCTCCAAAACCTGGACGTGATTTTCCTCCTGGAAAATCAGGGGCAGCTGGCCAGGAATGATGTTGGTGGGGTGGGAGGGGCTGCAGCCCACCCGGGTCAAGGACTGGTCTGGGAGGGCTCTAACGTGCCTTCCACGTGCCCGTCAGTGGACATGATTAAACGCTATTATTCTTGAGGGGCATTAAATTAAGGAATGACGCAGGGAGCCAAGAAAGCGGCTTATTCAGTTGGATTCTGAATCACAATCAGGAAATAGTCTTTATCTGCAAGAGAGGAAACAAGAAAAAAAAGAATCACTAACTGTAAAATGGGAGAAAAACACACCACAAAGCCAGTAAATCATTCAATCACCAACTGTAAAACGCTGGTGGGGTGGAGAGGGATAAAAAGCATCAATGTTCAGGCTGACTCCCCATGGCTGGGGAAACAAGATGAACCCGCACGTTTCCTGTACGGGCTTCTGCACACATGCTATAGGGAAGTGGGCTCCTAACCCTACCCACCAGTGGTGCTCGGCAGAGCATCCTCATTTCTAATCTTCCCAGTACCAACAGGGAGGTAGGGTTATCGAGTTTTTTGGGTTGGGAAGCTCGGGTTCAGAGTTTAAATGAACTGCCTACAGTACTGGTTCTCCAACTACAGACTGTTGGAATAACCTGGAGGGCTGTTTAAAACAACACAGATGGCCCCACCCAGAGGACTTGGACTCACTGGGTCTGGGGTGGAGCCTAAAAATTTGCATTTTAACAAGCTCCAGGTGATGCTGACGCTGCAGGTTCTGGGAGAACCACTTGTTTAAGGTTGCCAGGATAGTTAGTATCCAAGATGGAATTCTAACCTCAACCCTGCTAGTCTTGGGTTAATGTCAATTCTGTCACAAGTTCAGTTGCTGACCTTCCAGAACCTTCTGGACTAGAAAATTTCAAAGGCACCAGGTCAAAGGGGGCCAAAACACCTGAGTTCCAACTCTGGGGATCAAGCCAGTCAGGAGGAATGTCCGTTATGAAATCATAGCAAGTCCGAGTCCTCTGGGGTGAGCCTGACTGCCTCTCATTTTACAGAAGAGGAAATGGGAAAAGCAGGGTGTTTAAACTTTGCCCACTTAATAATCACACTCAGACATTTACCAAGGCTTTCCCATGCTGGCTCTGGGTTGATCCCTTCTCAAACAGCATCTCAGTGAATCCTCAAATCACTCTATGAGGCAGGGACCAGTGTTTTCTTATTTTTACTAATGAGAACACTAAGGCTCAGAGAATTAAATGACTTGGCCAAGCCAAGGCTAATATGCCAGGTGGGAGAGCTGAGTTTGACTCAGGTGCTGGGCGCCTCTGGGCTGCCTCTTGCTGAACACGTGATAAACCTTGGCCATGTCTGCTTTGTGTCTATTCAGATTCAAGCCTAAACCTTGCTTCTTCCCTTGACGATGGACATCTCAGAAGGAGCAGCTATTATATGACCAAGTCTCATGGCTAAGCAATCTGTTTAAGTGAAAAATCACTAATAAAAATAGAAATAACAAGCTACCGGCAAAACTAATGAAAAGATACTATTAGCAATACTCATGTCTTTTCTTCCAAACAACCAGGCTCCACATTCAATAACAGCACTCCAGTGCTTTGTGGGAAATAGTGTGTTAAGGCTTGATTGCCCTGTGTTAACTCAGGTGTTCCAAGCAGACATTCTTAGAAGTCTTAAGCCAAGAAATGCTGTCCATGGAGAGTCTGGCGATTTGGAGACATCGTTTGTCCTTGTTTCACACTGAGAGCTCCCAGGGGGGCACGAGGTCTGCTCCGATTTGGAGGGTTGGCAGCCTAACTTTTAGGGGAGTGGAGGTTTGTCTGTAACCATGCCACGTGAAGTCTTGAGAGGGATTTGAGTTTAAATCTGATCTCAAGCTTTTCTGTCGACCTCGTGCCAATATATTCAACCAGATGGGAACTGTCCCCTTACCAGACATTTTACAGAGATGGAAACAGGTTCACTGGTGCTCTGTAATTTGCTTAGGGTCAGACTCATAAGAGGTGAAGCTGGAAAACAGCTGGGGTGCCCGCTACAGTCTATTTTCTGACAGAATCAGAGACCTCATCATTGGTTGGTTGGCCTGAGACCCATTAGACAATGATTACGTTGATAAACAATGTATGTATGTCTTTGGAATAAATGACTCTGAAGTTATTCTGTTTTCAATTGTGACTGACTTGCTCTGTCCTCAGCCTTCTAGGGAGTGTCCCCAGGAAACTAAGGGCCCCTGTGACTGGCTCTATGGGTCTCTCCTTCCTATCCTTCCAAGCAGCTCCACTGGGCCCAGACAGGCCTGGGAACAGGAGCAGTGCTGCTCTGCTGCAAGGAGGGGCTGACCCCTCTCAAATTACCTCAGAATTCTGCAGCCAGCCAGCCGCCTGTGTCGCAAGCCCAGGGCCAGTCACTGTCCCAGCCTTGCCCCTGCCTGCCTTCGTCCAGGCCCCCAATCACAATCCTATTACTGACTGCCTTGAAAAAAACCTCCGCTCACTAAGTCAAGTCCAGACAGCTGAGTTTGGCATCTGAGGCCCCTTCTAACTTGGACCACACACATCACCTCCCCTCCTTCCTACACACATCCTGCTGCTCTAGACAGGCTGCACTGCAGGCACCTCCATCACCCCGTGCACACTCACCTCAGGGCTCAGCCACAAAGGGGATGGTGAGAGAGGATAACTGCAAACAGTGCTGGAGGCTGTCTACCACACCAGGCCGTGCATGTGAGTGAAGTGGGGCAGGGCAGGTGGCCCTGCTGACCCCTCCTGTGGGCCCAGTGCTTAGGGATGCCTCTCAGGGTGAGCATCTTGTCACCCTGAGAAGAGAAGCTAAGACGGGTACTGCTTGTACCACACATTCCCCAAGTACTTCATGTGGAAACAAAGCAACCCGTTCCCGTGCTAGAGGAAAGATTGTCTGCATGGGGACCAGAGAAACAGGACTGTATTTAAGTGGGCAAATTAATATTTTGGGGGTTTTTTTTTAGGATAAAATGAGTGCATGGGGTTTTGCCTTACAATTTGGTTTAGAATCACTGAACTCTTTTTTTCTTCAGGCACAGCTTTTCCAACTCCACCACCCCCAATCCCAGCCCACTTGCTTCCTCTTAACTTGTGCCCTCAAGAGTCAGCTCAATTCAAATGTTCCCTCCTGCCACAAGCAGGCCTAACCACACCCTCCTCCATGTTCCCAAGTGCTCCTTGAATTCCCCCAAATCATGACTGAGCAATTCTCACACACACACACACACACACACACACGTTGATGTCTATCCCCTCCATGACACCATAATTCCCTACTACAGCCCAGAACCCAGGACAGGGTCTGCCTAGAGACACTGTGAATGAGGACTTGCTGGAGATGCCAGCTGGGACAGGCCAGGCAATGAGACTCAAATCTGTACCTTCTGCTCTTCAGGCCTTTCTCTGGAACCCATGGACACACCCATACCCAAAGACTTCCCGACAGCTACAGGGCACGCACAGTGAGGGTCTGCTCTCAAGTTGGGGTGGGGAAGACCCCTTACCTGGTGCAACCATAATTTCATTTTTCTTGGAGCGAATTCGAAGGAAGGTGAGGTCATTCTGGGGGTCAATTTCACGCACGGTGCTCCGGGCCTTCAAGATGAAGTTGTGCATGAGGTTGGCGTACTGTGTGGTGGTGGGATTGTCCATGGTGCTCTTGATGGGAATGCCTGAGGGGAGAGCAGAGACTGAGCAGAACCCTGGGAGTGCCTTTCTGCCCTGCTCCCAGCCCCACACCCAGAATTCCAGAGCCTAGACTGGCAGTTAACAGTCATCACCCACTGTTCACTGAGGACTTGACAGGCAAGTGCTGAGCACTTGAAGGATGTTAGCTCCAGTCCCCAGAACTGCTCTAAGGATGGCGTCACCGTCTTTACTTGTCAACCAGGCAACCAAAACTCTGAGCAATGAGGTGGCCTGCTAAGGTCACACAGCAGATAAAACACAAGCAGTGGGGCCAGGATTGCAATGAAGGCCGGCTGGCTTCACTGCTGGGCTTCCTTCACAGGGCCACATACTGACTGGCTTCCAGCAACTATCTTCCAGAAGGATAGACTATTACTCATAACACTGAGAATATGAACAAAGAGAATAGTTCCTACAAATCTGTAAATGCTGAGAAGTACAAGAAGGAAGGTCAGCCTGTGCCAAGACAGAACCATCACTAGTGTTTTGCTCTAGTTCCTAACAAGGAAGGCTTAGGGCTCAAGCATAAACACACTGTCTACACATGTGACTGTGCCCCCAAGTTAAAGCCTGTTAGTCTGTCTGCACACACCCTTGTAAACAGCGTTGCTACTGCTTTCAAAGAGCCCACAAGTGGCCTATTCCAGGGTTAATCATTCCCCTATTGCTGGGGACTCAGGCTGCATTTTTTACTTAATCACCTCGTAGTGAACAACATCCTACGCCAAGCCTTTTCTGTTTTGAGGACTGCTTCCTTGCGATGAACTATTAAATGGCCCACCCTCACTGGACGGTGCCTGTTGTCATGGAGGTGAGGAATGGGGCTTAGCTTGAGACACTTCAGGCCACGACTAGGTCATCAGGTGCCTATGAATCACTGTAACATGTCAGCTAGAGGCTCCATCGATAAGGCCCCAAGTGCTCAGTGCACAGGCTCTTGTGACAAGTGTGGCCCAAGTCGCTCCCCACACATCAGTGGCTGGATTTCAGCTCTAGGACCCCGCCTTCTGGCCTATAACTGACCAGCCAAAGGATCAGCCAAAGACAGTCACCTGCAGACCTACCCATGGGTGGCAAGAAGCTGACCAAACCTTGTCTTATTATGGCATAGTGAGTGTGGGCAGAAGCGGGCATGGGAGCAAGAGAAGCAGTGAGTCAGAGGCTGCTCTGAGCCAAATGGAGTTATGAGGATAGGTTGCAGTGATCACTTGCCTCTAAAGGAGAAGATGACCAGGTCACCAGGGCAGATGTTGTGTCCTGGGTGGCAACCAGGTACCCACCAGGGCCCCGAGAGGCCTCATTCAGTGGTGAAAACTTCCTCGAGACAGCAGTATAAGCAGCTGGGGAGATGACCAGTAGGAACTCTGAAATCGAGGACCTGGGCTTCTCCTCTGGCTCTGCCCCTTCCTGGCTACGTGGCCTAACACAAGTGATCTAACCTAAGCCTCCATTTCCTCATCTGTAAAATAATGCCTGTGCTTCACCGTGCTGCTGGGAGGACTAAATGTGTCTTAATTCATCTGAGAATATTGAGCAAAAGCATGCACAGAGTAAGTGTTGATTTATTATTGACATTACCCATGTCATAAACCCCACCCCCAGGTAACCTGGGGGGCCAATCTTGAGGCCTGGCAAAGTCTGGGGTTACGGGGGTGGGTGGGGTCAAACCTCTTGACTTTCTTTTTGTATTCCATCAGGTAACCTTCTCTCAGGTCCCTCTGCCTGGAACTTTCTTTCCCTTCCCTACTCTCCCCTGACTCCCACTGTCCCTCATGCCTCCCTCCACCCCCGGACGTGGTCAGCGCCCCCATTCTACAGTCCCAGCACCATGCCGCTGTCCTGCAAGGCAGTTACTTAAGTCTGAGATCATGCCTGCAAGAGAGTGATTGTGACGCCTGTCCCCAGCAGACTGGACGCTCCCGAAGGGTCAGAGGCAGATCTGATGTGCTCACCAGTGTCTTTAGGGAGACTGCATCAAATATTTATGGCTGTTGTTAAAAAATGAGTAGACACAAGTGTGCTTTTAGTAGTTCAAATATACTGTCAAGAGTGTGATCACATGTGTACCAAGTGAGAAGGTGTGTAAGGGAGAAAAGAAATGAACGTCTTGTTGGCTCACTGTAAGAATGAAAACATGGAGCTGGCAGGGTGGGGACGGAGGGCAGGGACCAACAATGGGGATAATTTCAAACAAGCACAAGAGAGAATTCCAGATTCACAGGATGCCAGAGCTGGGAAACACCTCAAAGACAGCCGAGTGAGTAGGCAGCCTACTGCAGGCCGTGGCCTCCACAAACGGGGGCTGAGCGCCTGCAGTGGTGGCTGGTCACCTCAAAGTCATGATTTCGAATCTGGGGGTCAGCTCTGTCAGGTTGTATAGCCAGGTCCGCCCACCAAAACACACTAATAAAACTTAACAGGTATTTATTGAGAACCAATTTTGTGTCAGCATTACTGCGGGTACTGGGGATACAGAAATGATCACAAGAGATAAAGCTCTGCCCTCAGGGAGTTACACATTTGAGACTTTTATTTTGCCCTTTGTGGGCAGCAGCAGATGGCAGGAGGTCTGGAGGGTACAAATAGGATGTTCCTTACATTCCATTCTTGGTTAAGTCTGCTTAAAGGTACATTTTTATTATGAAACATCATTTAAATCTGGCCAAGGGTGAGACATCACCAGGCAGTGGCAGGTTGTTGGTAAGTGATTGGGACAAGAGCATGTCCTGATTTCAGGGGTGGGGAGCAATCCCTCCAGGCTGAGCTGATCAGGGAGGACATCCTGCTGGAAGAGGCAGCTGAACTGAATCACGGAGGTGGAAAGCCCCAGAGGAGTATCAGAGATCCCTAATACAATCACCCTGACTGAGCACCTCTAATGCAAACCTTCAGAGGGGCTAAGGGCCCCCCAGAGCAGTGAGTTCTGACCACCTCCATTTGTGGCTGGGTGATCTGGGGCAGGTCAACCTGACTGCTCTCGGCTTCCATTCTTTCATCTGAAAAATGGGCAAACATCCCTGCTTTGCAGAAATGTGTGAAATGTAAATGAGAATCTGAAGTGGGAGATCTATGAATGGACCACAAATTAAAAAACACACGGAATTTCCTGGTGGTCCAGTGGTTAGGACGCTATACTTCCACTGCAGAGAGCACAGGTTGATCCCTGGTCAGGGAACTAAGATCCTGCATGCTGTGTGGCTCGGCCATCAAATAAACAAACAGGCAAATAAATAGATGGATAAATAAATAAACACAAACACAAGAATTTTTGATATTCATGTGGCATTTACTATACATCAGGCACTGTTCTAAAAGCTTCGCTTAGAAAAAGATAGTGTGACTGTCCACATTTTACAGATGAGGAAACAAACTGAGAGGTTAAGTGATTTGTCTAAGATCACATAGTTGATAAGAAAGTAGAGTCAGGATTCACACCCAGGCAGTCTGGTTCCACATTCCATATTCTTAGCTACTGTGCCATACTGCCACATTAGTATACAAAAAATAAGTGCTCATCAGTTTCAAAGAGGTAAGAAGTTGGGTTTATATCTTCCTAATGAAAAAGCTCAACTTTGGGGGCAGTTTTAACACAAGAATGAAGGCTTGTGGTCTGGAATACTGGTGGAAGTCTAGGGGGTCCCAGCTGGGGAGTCAGCCCCTGAGGCTATTTCTCCTCAACTGGGGTCAAAAATGTCTATTTATAGAAGAGTCTCATACCAAGTCTTCTGGGTCTTGGAGCAAGGAGCTCCTTGGAGCAAGGACCAAGAAGGCGGCTCAAGGCAGCTAAGTTCTGAAGAGGGGAAGGGAAAGCCCTGGCCACCCAGCTGATTAGTGGTGGGCCTGAGATGCCTCCCAGTGTCCTCAGGCTCCCCACCCCACTGCCTCCTTTGAATGCAGTGACCACACGGTTTAATCAGAGCCTGACAAAGCTGGGGCGCACATTCTACCTAGCTATGGGCTGGCCGGGGTCTGACGACTTGGAAAACATTCTGAGGACATGCCACCTTCAATTTGTCACCCTTGGTGACTTTCATTCTGCTCTATTTAAGCAGGCACTGTTGAGAATTCTGCCGCTCCAAAATAAGGCCCAGAATGACAATGCATATACACAGAGGCTCTCAAGGAGCCTCAAACAAAGCCAAGCTGACTGAATGCACTGGGTTAGAAAACGGGGTAGAGGGGCCCAATTGGGTGACCCTGGACATGGCCTGGGATTCAGTCCAGTAGCCAGTCTCTGGTCCTTCGTGGAACCCTGTGGGAGAGAGAGCACAAGTGTGCTCGGCCAGATTTGGGATGAAATCTTGGCTCTATAATGGCAGGCAAATCAAATTTCTAGACTCACTTTTCTCCACTGCAAAATGGAGACAATAGAGCCGCTTCAAGGTATGACAGAAATGATCTGTCTGTGAAGCACCAGTCCGTGGCCTGGCAGAGAACAGGTGTGTGACAATATCGGTCTCTTTCTTCATCATGTCTACTGTGGTTTGAGAAAAATTAGCATGTACCCTTTTACAGTTGTTGAAATAATGTCCCAGAAGAGGAAAGAAAACTATAGGCCCAAAGCAGTTGACAGCAGTATTACATAGCAAAAAGAGAAGTAGAAACAACATAAAGGGAGAATGGAGAATAAACAGTGTACTGCAAGTTAAAAAGTTTGCTCATGTAAACCATAGAGCAAAATCAAAACAAAACCCCAAACAAAAACTCATGAGTAAACAGATGCAAGAGAGTTAACAACTATAATTATGACCAAGAGAAAAGGCACTGGACAAGGGCTGACTGAAGAAGTACGGCATGCTGAGAAGTATGACGTGTCAGGGCAGTGGGGTAGGGAGGATTTTTCCTTTTTTTAAATTTAGAATTCTAGTAATAGTGCTAGGAAACTGGAGGTGATTTAAAAAAAAAAACAAAAGGATGAGAACTAGATCAGGTACATGAGAGGTTTAGTAAAAAGCAAGTGTTATGCTGTGTTGGGCTCTTTTCTAAAGGCCGGCCTGCACTCAGCTCATGGCTGGAAGGAGGGTGTACCTTCTGTGTTTACCACGATGATTCCCTGCACGCCCTTCTGGCTCTGGAGTCGCTTCAGGGTCTCCTCCACCTCTGCCTGCCAGAGAGAATACGACCAAGGTTAGAGCGGTCAGGAAGCCTGGATCAGCTCCCTCGTACCCCCGGCAGATGAATCACACTTCCCAACAACAAACACCCAGGCTCGTGGCACCACCTCCTTCAAGCTCCCCGGGACTACCTAGAACAGCCCTGAGGCCAGCACCAGCATCTAAACCATCACATTCCCAGTGTGGGGTGGGGCTGCCCCGTCTGCCCCCCAGGGGCTCTCTGCCCCTCACTTAGTAGGCAGCAGAACTCAAATACCATTCCCATGAGTATAGGCACATCCATGACTCAGCTAGGGGACAAACCAGAGGAAACTAATGATTTTAAAAATTCCAAATGGAGGTGTCTAACAGGAAGGAGATACACTGTCATTTGTGGCCCAAAGAGCACATTCCAAAGGAAGCAAAATGACCCCATGAGGATGGACTCAGTGACTAATAAGCTGGCACCTGGGACAGTGTGACACAGCACACAGCCAGAGGAAAGGCAGAGGAAGGGGCTCATGAATCCTGCATCGTCAGGAGCTGGTCCGGGTGGGCTACTCTGGCACATGTGATTTGTAAACAGAGTGGACAATCAGACTGTGAGTCCTCACCTCGCCAGGCAAGGCCTTCTCTGTTATTACTCCCGTCTCTCCTACCCTTCCCTCCACTCTCCACCTGCATGTCTGTATCTCCCTGCCTCCACAGCTTTTTACCAAACAAGGCCTCTTCTTCGCTGAAATACAACAAATTCTTCAGGATCATCTTAGATATCACATCCTCCATGAAGCCTTTATGGATTCCAACTCAGTGGCCTTTGGCCATTTCCAATGGACTCCCTGAACTCTTGACTGTATCTCTCTGGGAATTAATAAGTGCTGTTTGACTTAGAGTCTTTCTAATGGTCTGCAGAGCAGGAGCGCAATGAACAGTTGTTAAATTGAACTAGGCCTAACTCCCCCTGCAGATGAAAACTGGTCTTCAAGTGCATTTGTTTTCAGGAGATCCCTTCTAGCCCCACCCAGAATCTAGTCAGAAGCTCCTCACAGGCTGCGGGTCGGACTCTTGGACACAGAGGCTCTGTTCACCAAAAGAGAGTGGTGCTCCGCCCTCACAGGCTGATGAGCTGGCCCAGAGGAGGAGCTTCTCAACAGAGGATGAAGACAGCACAAAGAAAGATTGTTTTTCTAGTAGGCCCAAGCCTCACAATCCAGTCACTGCCACCCACTCTCCACTGATGTGTGAATACTCTCAAATGCTGGAGGGAAGGGCAAACAAGTTCCTCCTACAAAATGGCAAACAGCCTGACGCCTCTGTAATCTGGAGTCTTGGTAAAAGGACATGGCTAGCTATGTGGACCAGAAGTACAATGCAGTAGGTTATGCGTGGATGAGATCTTAATTCATTCATCAGATTTTCACTGAGCTTTGACCACACACTATTCTGGAGAGGAGCAATAAAGTATTATATGATAGTGGTCAATACTACATAGCACTCAACCAGACCTGGTAACCCTCTTGGAAATTCATCCTAAGGAAACGATCCAACAGAATTAAAAGGAGAGTACGGCAAGATGTTTGCTGCAGTGACATCTTCAGTAACAAAAAGCAGGAAGAGCCAAAACTGCCCAATATTTAGGGAAAATGTCAAGGGGATTATGAATGTCCATTCATAGGAATATAACACATTAACAATGGCAACCAGAATATTATATTATAACACCTTAAAAAGAAAGTGCTTGGGAAATGGCATCCACATGAAAACAAGAAGAGGGCTAGAAGGATCATGAACGAAATAAAAAGCCACACCGAGAGTAGGGAACTATAGATAAGGTTTTCTTTTGTTTTTTTTAAACAGCCTCTTTTACTCTATTATTTTTATTTAAAAACATTTTTAAACCCATCTCTCTGTGTATCCAAGAGATTAGAGATCTCTGACTTGGGACTTTGGAGCTCTGGCAGTCTCAACATTGTAAGAATAAGAATACCCTGGTGGCTCAGATGGTAAAGAGTCTGTCTACAATGCAGGAGACCCGGGTTCGATCCCTGGGTTGGGACGATCCCCTGGAGAAGGAAATGGCAATCCACTCCAGTACTATTGCCTGGAAAATCCCATGGACAGAGGAGCCTGATAGGCTATAGTCCATGAGGCCGCAAAGAGTCGGACATGACTGAGCGTAGAAAGACAAAAGAATAAGCAGGACGTAGTTTAGGACATTTCAATCAACATGCAATCAAACTAGGGATGGGGAAATCTAAAGATGCCAGAATCAAAGTCCAAAATACCCCGAGAGGTTGGAAAGTGAGGCTTAAATGAAAAAGATGAAATTTTGTAAGATGGTTATTCATTCAATAACTGTATGGGAATCTTCTATGTGTCAGATGTTGTTTTAGGCCTAGGGATGCTGTACTGGACAAAATACAATGAAAACCCTGCTCTTATGAAGCTGACTCTGGGGGTGGGGTGGGCAGAGGGAATCAGACTTTAAGCAAAAGCATAAATAAAATACAAAAGTCAGATTCAGTAGGGATGGGGGATCTGGAAAGCAAGGGGCTGATGGCAATTTTAAACAAGGTGGTCAGAGAAGGCCTCGCTAAGGTGATAGTTGAACAGAGATCTGAAAGGAAACAAAGGAGCTAACCAGGTGGATTTCTAGGGAGAGTGTTCCAGAAAAAATGCAAAGGGGCCAGTGTGGCTGAGGACAGTGAGTGGCAGGCAGCCAGATGAGAGGGAGGTAGGATCAGACTAGATTTCAGAGGTATCATAGACCAGAGTGATGACTTTGGTTTTTAAAGGCAGCGGGGTGTGAGGAGCCACTAGCAGGTTTCGAGGTGAGCAATGACAAGATCTTTTTCATAAGGATGCCCTGGCTGCTGTTTGGAGAATGGACTGCAGGGGGCAAGCACAGCCTGCCTGAGCCCGGCCTAGCCTGGTGAGTGCTGCTCCTTCTGAAAGCGGGCTACCTCCTCTCCCTCACTCACCACTAAGTGTAACTAACTCCCAAGTCTCTGGACTCTGCTCATGAGCCTCTGTGGGAGGCCTGCTCTGGATACCTGCCCATCTTCTAGGTACCCAAGGCACCCTGACTCCACGGCACTTATCAGCAATGAGTATAACTGTCTGTTCTGCTTATCTCCTCCTCCAGACCCAAGGTAACCTGGGAGCAGGAACCCAGACTTTGTAATCCCAGTACCTGGTACAGTATAGGCTCAATAGATACTTAAGGAACAAATAAAAACCATTTCCGCAACTGTGTCTTATAAAAATCAACCTTTTAAAGTATAGTACCCTGAGCTTACAGTACCCAACACGATGAGTGGGGGTTTAGATGATCCTTAATTTAATGAGAACTAACCACTGAGATCTAGCTGCTTAAAAGGTAAACATGCTTACCAAGAAAGGCAGGACACACAAGTATACCCGACCTACTCAGTATCTGCTATAGGTCAGATATTAGGATGAATGTCTTCAGACACGTCTCATCTGAACCCTCCATGGTTAGCATGAGCTCCATCTTACAAGGAGGAAACCAAGGTTCAGAAAGGAGAAGCATTTTACCCAAGGACACACAGTAGGTCAAGAGAAGTGTCGAATACACCACTGACCACAAATGAAGATGTCCCCATCCTCACGAGTTCAGATTTTGGTATAAGAGACTTTCAAAAACAAGTGGCAATATTCTTTCAGGGTACAGGGTACAGGTGGGCGGGGTGGGCAGGGGGATGCTTCTTGGATGAGTGTGGTCAGGAACACCCGAGGATGTAATCCTTAAGACAAGAACTAAATGACGAGAAAGAAAACTACTCCAGGAAGCAGCATGAAAGCCAACACAGTGAAATGGGAAGGAGCTTGGCATGTTCGAGGAATAGAGAGAACCATCATGGAAGGTTTTTGATTCTCTGCTAATCTGACAGGCAAAACCCAAATAAGAGAAAGTCAACCTTTCTTTAATTTTTAAGAATTATCAGCGAGGGGACCTCCCTGATGGTCCAGTGGTTAAGAATCTGCCTTGCAAGGCAGGGGATGTGGGTTCGATCCTCATTCAGGAAACTAAGATCCCACATGCCATGGAACCATGACTATTGCGCCCCCTGGCCTCAATTAGAGAATCTGTGCCCTGCAACGAAGTTCCCACATGCCAAACTAAGACCCAACACAGCCAAATAAATAAATATATGTTAAAAAAAAAAAAAAAGAATTATCAGTGAGGCTGTCAGAAGAAAAACAAAACAAAACTTATCAGTGAAGTTAAGCTGGAATTGACTGTTTGCATCTCTCCTTTTTCGAGTCTTTTGCTTTTTCTACTAATTTTATTGATTTTCAAAAACTCTTTAAGTTAGAAATTTTAGACTTCTGCCCATCATATAAATTACACTTCTCCCACTTTTCTAATTTAAGTTTACAGTGTTTTTCAATAATCAGAGGTTCTGAATTTTTATGTAATCAAATTTAATAAGAACTTTTTCCTGGAAGACTAGAGAATAGCTTCTCCAACCTGACCACAGCCAGTAGGGTGGTGTTAGGCCTGGGGGAGTAGAGGTCATGAGGTCTACAGGAGGCAGTAGGCACCTGCCTTTAGGAGAAACTGCTTAAAACAAATGTCAGGTTCAGCCCTGAAGGAGCCAAGAAAGAAAACAAATGATGCCACAAAGACAGGAGCAGCCACAGCAACATCAGCAGATGCACGAGGAGTCCTAACCAGGCATCCAAATCATTCCACCTCTGTCTCTAAAGTCTGTTATCCCTGCAGTGCTAGCTGACTGGTACCAGATATATCTAAGTAGATATGTAACCCCTCGGGTTGGGCTCACATCTCGAAATTCCTGCCCGGCTCCTAGAAAGAGCCCGGCTGGGATCCTCAGCACCCTGAGTCTTTATTTCTATTAACATGGGTGTCTGCACCAGAGAAGGGACCAGGCTCCTGGGTTCTCTAATTCCTAGGTGCATGCTGCTGACAGACCAAAAAACACTCCAAAAATAAAAAAACAAGTAGCAGTAAAACTCCAGGATTATTCACTGGTTTGGCACGGGAGGGATAACCACTGAAGCAAATGATTCACAAAGAAACTGTGACCAACGTGACGACCAAGCATAAAAAAGTTTTAATTTCTATTAAACAAAAATGAATTACAAGGAGGGGACAACATCTGCATCAAATATAACAGAACAAAGAGTAATTTCAAAACATCACATAGGATGATTAAGAAAAACAGCAAGTCTCTAAAAATTAAGTGGGCAAAAAGGATAAGAGGAGAAAATATACCTCAAGGAAACCACAAACACAAGAAAAATGTTCAATGTTCCCTGTAAATAAAGACATGAAAATTACAGCAATGCCGAGGTTATGTTTTTGAACGCTGGCAGTTATTACGGCAAAACTGGTACAAAGGCAATAAGACCTTCTGGGAAAGCTACAGGACTACATTATTATGAGAATCATATGTGCTGATCCCCTTGCTTCAAATTCTTTGAGAATTTCTCCTAAGGAAATAATCTAATAAATGTGAAAAAAAAAAGAAAAACAAACTACACATTCAGAGACATTCATCACAGCGTTATCTCTATTGCTGAAGAACTAGATGTAACCCAAATGTATACTGGGGGAATGGTTTGGCAAATTATGATAAAAATATTTCATTGATTATTATGTAGTCACTAAAAATGATTCATTACAAAGAGAGATAGCAACAAAGTTATATGTCTTTGGGTATTAAAACAAACAAACAAAAAACTAGCAGGTACATCTTGAATGTGAATACATGAACAAAGAGGAAGGAGAATGTACAAAGATGAAAATATTTGTGTGATGGAGTAAAACTGGATGCTAATTATAGCTGATTTTTACATCACCAGCGTAAAGGGTAATTTGTCATTTTCTACCAAAATGTTCATGGGGTCGCAAAGAGTCGGACACGACTGAGCGACTAACACACACACACACCCCCCGCAAGATGTTAAAATGTGCATGCCAGAAGTATCACTACTACATAACGCTACATAAACACGAGCATGAGTGGGGGAAAAAAAACCAACAGTACTGTAGCATTGTCTGGAGTGAAAAACTGTAAACCACCTAAATGGATATAATGCAATGGAATAGGAAAACAGTCCTATAAAGAATAAAATAGATTTGTATGTATCAACATGAAAAAATATCTGGTATTTTTTAGTGAACAAAGTTAAAGAATGAGATTATACATATAACCTAAAGTAAGCTTGTGTGTGTGCTTGCTCAGTCATGTCCGATTCTTTGTGACCCCATGGACTGTAAGCCTGCCAGGCTCCTCTGTCCATGGAATTGCCACTTGCTACTCCAGGGGATCCTCCCAACGCAGGAATCGAATCCTTGTTTCTTACACTGGCAGGCGGATTCTTTACCACTGTGTCACCTTAATATGTATAAATACATCAGTTCCAATTTCATGAAATAAACATGTTATATACAAATGTGCTTTATGCACTAAACAAATCTGGAAGAAGATGTATCCAACTGTCAACCGTGATCAGCAGAGGGGAGTGAGATGGGGACTACACACACTTTTCTAAGTTACGTATTTCAGTAATGCTTACATTTGTTAAAACATGCATCTAAAGTATGTTTTGCTTTTATGAATATAAATACACAATAGCATGGTACAGGTTGCAGGAGGCTCTGATTCGTGTAAGAAAAAGGGGTCTCATATATATGTGTGTGTGTGTGTGTGTGTGTGTGTGTGTGTGTGTGTGTGTGTGTGTGTGTGTGTGTGTGTGTGTATATAAAGCTATGACAAACCTAGACAAAGCTATGATATAGCTAGAAAACCTAGACATTGCTAGAAAAGCTGACAAACCTAGACAGCATATTAAAAAGCAGAGACATTACTTTGCCAACAAAGGTCCATCTACTCAAAGCTATGGTTTTTCCAGTAGTCATGTATGGATGTGAGAGTTGGACTATATAGAAAGCTGAGAGCCGAAAAATTGATGCTTTTGAACTGTGGTGCTGGAGAAGACTCTTGAGAGTCCCTTGGACTGCAAGGAGATCAAACCAGTCAATCCTGAAGGAAATCAGTCCTGAATATTCATTGGGAGGACTGATACTGAAGCTGAAACTCCAATACTTTGGCCACCTAAAGCAAAGAACTGACTCATTGGAAAAGACCCTGATACTGGGAAAGATTGAAGGCAGGAGAACGGGACAACAGAGGATGAGATGGTTGGATAGCATCACTGACTCAATGGACATGAGTTTGAGCAAGCTCCAGGAGTTGGTGATGGACAGGGAAGCCTGGTGTGCTACAGTCCATGGGGTCACAAAGAGTCAGACATGACTGAGCAACTGAACTGATATATACATATAGATATAATAAAAGAAACTAACAATGTTTGTTTCTGAAGGAGACTGAGGTTGGGGGTCACGGTTGGGTGGGAGATCTATTTTTCACTTAGATCTTTTCAGATTTTCTTTTTAACTGTGTATAAGATTTACCTGTTAAAAGTTAATTTTTCTTTTACAGTTTAAAAAGTGATGTGAAAGATGAAGTTACTTCCTCTATACTATAAACTAGCTAACTATATAAAGTACACTGTTAAACTATGTAGAGGAAGAACTGAAGAGAAAAAGACTAATAGGAGTAATATACCTAATCATAAGTCGTTACCTAACTCCAGATCATGGCATTGTTTTTTCTTCCTTTTCCATTTTTCTTATAGTCTTTAAATATACTATATAAGATTTTTAAAAACCATTCACAGGCTTTAAACGTGGGAACGGTTTTAAACCTGATTTCACCTTGAAAAGGTCTTCTCAAGTTATTTTAAAGTTGGGAGGATTAAAAACACAAGAAAACCAGATCTGAAAGAGACACGTGTACCCCAATGTTCATCGCAGCACTGTTTATAATAGCCAGGACATGGAAGCAACCTAGATGCCCATCAGCAGACGAATGGATGAGGAAGCTGTGGTACATATACACCATGGAATATTACTCAGCCATTAAAAAGAATTCATTTGAATCAGTTCTAATGAGATGGATGAAACTGGAGCCCATTATACAGAGCGAAGTAAGCCAGAAAGATAAAGACCATTACAGTATACTAACACATATATATGGAATTTAGAAAGATGGTAACGATAACCCTATATGCAAAACAGAAAAAGAGACTCCGATGTATAGAACAGACTTGTGGACTCTGGGAGAAGGCGAGGGTGGGATGTTTCAAGAGAACAGCATTGAAACACGTATATTATCTAGGGTGAAACAGTTCACCAGCCCAGGTTGGGTGCATGAGACAAGTGCTCGGGCCTGGTGCACTGGGAAGACCCAGAGGGATTGGGTGGAGAGGGAGGTGGGAGGGGGGACCGGGATGGGGAATACATGTAAAAAAAAAAAAAAAAAGATACACTATGGTTGTGATTAAAAAATTAAAAAAAAAAAAAACACACAAGAAAACAAACCTGTAAAGTCGTAAAGAACCCACAGTTCCAGCCAGCAGGCCAGGAACCCCAAGGGTGGATCCCGCTCGTTTCTGACTCATGCATCATGTCCCAGCGGCTCGAAAGAACGACGGGAACACAAAGACAGCAATCAAGCTTCTAGGGTGCAAATCCACCTCCACCATTTCCTGGGGGCAAGACACTTAGCTTCACTGGGTTTTAGATTCCAAGTATGTAAAACGGGGATAATAGGTGTACCTACATAGAGGTACACCTACATAGTTATGGGGTGTACCTACATGTAGATATGTAGGCATGGGGAGGCGTTTAGCAGAGCCAGATACGAATTAAGCTTCCTGTAAATGTAATCATTATAGTTACAGTCGCGCAACAAGGTCCAGGATGCTAGGATGCTAGGATGCAAGGGTTTGTGGGCAGGCCTCCCCCGCTCCGTCCACCCCTAGCCAAGGCCTAAACAACTGCTTCCGGTCAAGGGACTGCCGGATCCGGTGGCCCCGCCTCAGTCCCCTCTGAGTCTGGAGGCCCGCACCGCCCCAGTTCCGCCCTCCAGACAGCTCGGGTCCGACCCCGCCCAGCCCCGCGGATGCCCAGCCAGGCGCTCAGAGCCGTCCCCGGAGGATAGAAGGCCAGGCTCATGGTGGTGGAAAGTCGTGCTCGGCCACCTCCCGGCCGCCTGCCACAAGCTCCCAGCGGACACTCACCATCTCGAACCGATCCGGTAGCTCCGCGTCGCCGGCCCTCAGCCCAGTCTAGCAGCCTTTCTGCGCCTGCGCACAACTCCCTGTCAAGGCGGACAGCCTCGGTAGCCTATCAGAAACCAGCGTAGGACGGCGAGGCGGGCGGGTAGGCGGATCTTAGTCAGCTCCCTCAGGGCTCGAGGGGAATTTGCCTTGTGCAATCAGAAAGTGAACGGCAAGAGAGCAAAGGAGCACTTCAGCTATGGAAAATTCCTAACTCCCACTGTTCCGAAAAGATGCTGGTTCTCGTTGTTGGAAGAGGCTTTCAACCCTCAACCGAAGTCTTGAGCTAGCTCTGGGTGGAGGGTGATGAGCGATTCTGAAGGCGAGGACTGGGGGTGCTGAGGCCTTTGCTCTCAGGTTGAGGCAAAAACAAGGCGCGAAGCCCAAATGCTCTAAAAACGCGAGAAAACCTGGAGTTCGGGCTGGAGTCAAGCGTCCTTGGGGGTCTCCAGAGCGACTCACTTGGGAATATTCCATGCAGGCTCTGAGAAGTGGTCAAGGCTAGTCTGGCAGTCTGCACACTTTGAATCCCTGTGTTCCCTTGGAGAAGCCACTTCACATTTCTGTGCTCCCTCACCTTCTAGACCTGTGTTGTTCCGTCTTCCACAAAACTGTGTTTTCTAGCAGGAAATGATTTACTAATTAGTGAACCTCGTGCCAACAGCCTGGGCTGACACCCTCCCTTACTCCAGTAGACTCAATTTAGTTTCTTCTAGTCACTGGAGTTTGCTGGATTTCAACACAGATGATCTAGTTCCCAAATTTCTTTCCACCGTAGCCTCAGTTGGGGAGGACTTGGTTCTCTTTCCATGGGCGTCCGCAGGTTAACCGGGCTGAATAGTGCCTTTACAATGAGTAAACCAGAGGGTCCAGGTTAACATAGCTAGAAACAGGACATATTCATACATGCCCTTTGATACCATGCACCAAGGGCACTCCACCTCCGGTTTTGTTTTTTTCCACAAAAATCCATGGCCTTAACTATGAGAAAACATTAAACTTGAGGGGCATTCTACCATGTGTCCAGGAAACACTCTTCAAAAAATATCAAAGTCATGAAACACTAGGAACGAATGAGGAATTGTCACAGATTGGCCGAGACTGAGAAAATCACTGGTGAAAAAACTGGTGACAGCTGTATAAAGGTTTAAAAAGTTTAGTATAAAAGTTGAGTGTTATTTTATTGATGGTCAAGTTTTTATAATTGTACCAAGTTATATGGGATGTTAACACTGGGGAAAGCCTGGGTGAAGAGTTGTGCAGTTCTCTGTACTGTTTTTGCAACAGTTCTGTAAATCTAAAATCATTACAAAGTAAAGTTTTTTTTAAAAAGGATTGGACACAAATGATTATTGAATGCGGGAAACATTTGAAAAGTGTTTAGCAAGGGGAAGAAGGATAGGGTGACTGGACCCCAAGATAAGCACAGGAGTATCATGACCATCTTACATACGGTAAACCAGACTGAGGGGGGTGAATGAATTGAACAAGATCATAATCATAAAAGTAAAAAAAAAAAAAAAAAGAGTATGGCCTATAGTTCATGTGACTGGCTGAAGCCAGAGTAAGAATTCAGGAGGCGTTGGAAGGAGTTAAAGCTTTGAGTGATAGGCTTTTGAGTTTTGGAATTAATATTCTGTGGAATGGAGGAACCACTGTGGAGAACTATTTGAGACTAAAGTCTTCCACAGATCATTCTGAGGCAGCACAAATGGACCAGAGAGAATGAAAGTAATGACAAGTTGCTACAGTCAGTGAGGGTAGGGATGAAGGATGTGGGCTGTGGCAATGGGGGCAGCTCTGAAAGAAATGATTCTCAAGTTTTGGAGGTGGACTTAACAGGATCTGAAGACCAATTAGATGGAACAGCTGAACTAGTTATGGAAGACTCCCAGAGTTGCTGTTAAGTAGAAGTACAGCAAAATGTTTAGGCACACAGTCTTTGGAGTCAGACAGTCCTGGATTCCAATTTGTACTCTTGCCGTGTAACAGCTAAGGACACTTGTAGTTTCTCAATCATGTTGAACCTATTTTCTGTAAAACAGAGATGATCATTCATCTGTGAAAGTGACCAGGAACACTAAATGACAGTGCATGTCACATATCTGAGTGTTTGGGATATAGTAATAAATGCTGAGTTGTCCCAGAGTAAGTGAATAGAGGTGTGATATTGGTTGCTAGGATAGAGAAGACAAACAGAAGAGGTCTGAATTAGAAATGAGGAAAGTAACAGCATGGCTGTTTTCACTTATCTGCAGGAGTGACTAAAAAGTTTCAAGGTCCTTCCTTGTGAGTTGCTTTGAGGAAACCCTGATGCTCACAGCATCTTTGCGCAATGGGAACTTGTTCATGGGGGACCAGTACTGTCCTTCCTAGGTCTCCACTTAAGACCTGAAAGATTCCCATGGATCCTCCCCCTAAATGTCCTGCCCACAAAGCAGCTTTACAGACACATGGAAACTGACCAATGAAATGAGCTGGGAGTGACAGCAGTTTGTTTTAGAGTTCTACAACATGAGAGCCTCTTTCTTTAAGTCCAGAGACTAGCAGCCAGTCAGCCACAGCTGAGTCCCAGTTTGATGCTCTGAAGAGTTTGGGGCTGGAAAGCCAACTGTTCAATAAAAATAACTACTTATTTTCCCAGGGAGGATTTCCTCATGCTGGGGGAAACACGTCTTCCCTCTTTTCCTTAGCAACGGTGAAACTAGAGCTTCCTAGCTGCTTATATAGGACAGATTAAAAACGATAAGATCTACTTTGAAGGATCTCCAAGAAACCTGTCTCCCAGTCACTGCTAGATCACCATATTAAAATAAATTAAAAAAAAAAAAACCACTTCCCTTAGCGTCTTTCCACTGGATCAATTTTAAATAACAGCATGATCAGTTGGTTTTTAAATTCTTGTTAATTAGCTGGTGATTCTCTATTGAGCACCTATGGCTGAAATCCTGTCTTAGGGCTCCCTTAGTTGTGCCAGAAAAGGAGACATCTTCATCTTGGTTCTCTTCAACACAGGCACCAAATCCAGTCTCACCGGAGTCTTTCTAGTTTTTCTCCCATCTACTCCAAGCACAGACAGGTAGTAAACTTGCCCACTTACAAAAGCAGAGGGGGAGAAATCTATACATCCTGGTCACATAAAAGGCTTCCCTGCAGGTGGGGAAAACCTTATTCAAGACTAATAGCAAAGTGTGCAAATGAAGGACCAAAAAGTTTAATTGTAAACAGTCTTACATCTTTTAAGGAAATGCAAGGGAAGGAGCCCCCTGCAGGACCTTTATAACAGCACTTGACTCCCTATGGTATCTGTAGAGTTACCTGAGTATTTGAAATTACAATTTAAGAAAACAAAGGAACTCCAATACAATAATATACAATCCAGTGCTGCTATTCCATTTTTGGTTAACAAAAGCATAGCATAAATACAAATAATTCTGAAAGCAACTAAAAAAAAAAAAATGAAGGGGGCTGGAGATGCCAACAGTATTAAATAGAAGTAGTTAACCTAAAGGAATTTAAAAGGATGGAGTTACATCCAAAACAAGGAGGGATATAAAAACAGAAGTCTTAATTCCACAAGTCATCCCTAGTAACATTTCAAGTTATTAACCAGATAAATAAAAAATTGGCAGAGTGGGCCTGATTGACATAGTTGATTTAGGATGAACCTCTATGGGCTGGTGAGTCATGTTTCACTAAAATATCTGATGAAATGACATTGGTATGTCAATCTCTTGATGAAAAATTAGTACCCGAACTTTTAAATAGAGTTATTGTAAGTCTTATGAAATTAAAATTCTCCTGCACTCTGATTTAAGATAATAAAAGCCAGAGCAGGAATTCATTATTATGAGCTGCTGGACCAGTTTTAAATCAATCTATTTGATAAAACAAGTAAGGTCCTTCCCTCCTCACCCAGGCTATGTGAAACGCTGCCTTCCCCAACCTCCCAAAAGAGCAGAAGAATAAGGCAATTGCTCATTTTACTTTGTTTTTATTTCAACATAACATGCAGTAAAAAAATTAACAGGATTTATTAGCATTTACAATGCTTACAAAGAAAAAGGACTCTAAAAGCAATTTAGTTCAGATTTAAGAAATCGCTCTAATTAAACACTTACAATAAATCTATTTCCAAATGATCAGTTTGGACCAAAATTTAAGATAGTATTTGGTAGATATTTATGTCTGCTGTCTATCTGCAATATTTGTAATTAACCTCTGATTCTTGGGATATCCAGCCCCCATCTTCCTAACACAGCAGGAAAGACATACACATGACCATTTAAATTAAAGGGAGAAATAGAGCAAGGGAGACCCAAGGCTGCAAAAATATATACAAGCATTTACCTTTTCCAGAACTAAACATTTCTTCCATAAAAATATTAAATAGCCAAGCCCTATAGAACTAGGGCCGGGACTACTTCATATATAGCTATTCTGTATTTTAAAAATATAGGGCAGAAAGCCTTTTGGATGATATTTATACATTTTCGCACAATATTTCTAGGTCCCTAAATGAATCATCAAGCATTATGTAGAACAAAAAAGTCTACTTTCTTACATTATCTCTTAATTTAATCTCATAAGTCTCTAGTAAATATTGTAGGTAACTACATTTCAATATGAGCATTCACCTCAATAGGAAGTCTTTATAGAAGGTTTAATCTCCATAGCCACATATTACCAAAGTTCAGACATATAATGAATGGGTAGTTGGCAGACATTCGCTCTGTAAGACAAAGCAATAGTTTTTTGCCCCCTACCAACAAAAAGGCAGAGTCACTTTGAAAACTAGGGCTTTTAGAGACCATAGTACATTTCCTAGAGTATGTAGAATAAAATCAAAATAAAGATAGGACTGAGGGGAGCCCAATCTCTCCCTTTACACTAACGACTTCTGGATGAGGCAACCCTTTCACTGACATGTCTGCTTTATGATGGCAGTGTTTGAGAAAACAGATGCACAAGTTTAAAAGTGTTTTTGTCATTGTTTCAAGATGTAAAAGGAAGAGTAGTTAGGGGAAAAAAACCCCATTTCCTTTCCAAATAGAACAGGGGTTTGCTATTTGCTTATTTTTGGCTCAATGCCCCTTTTTCATGCTATGCTACTGAAACCTGCCGAAGTCCCTATTTCATGAGATATTAGGTTATGAGTTCAGTTATGATGCGCACTCAGCTGGCTTAGGCTTCCTCACACTGTCCTCTGACAGCAGTCATCTTGCTAAGTCTAAGCAGGCCAAGTTAAAAAAAATTTAAACACAGAGAAGGTCAAAGTGCATTAATCAGGGCAATCTAATATTAAATAGTCATGGGAAAAACCTGTTAAAATTGTTAGAGTTGAACGGAAAATCCAAATCAGGACAAGAGAGAATGGAAGTAACTACTGTAATGTTTGTCAGAGAAACTGTCAATTTGTTAAGTTTTAATTCACACAGACAATACATTTCTGTGGTTACTAGAAATGTACTGCTGTAAATGTATTACTTGCTTTTTTAGCCAGTACCACAGCTCTTCCTCCCTAATGAAAATGTGATTTTATAGATATTTCATTGACCTCTACTTCGATTAGAAAGCACTCTAATTTGAACTCCTTAGCAGTAGTTAAATGTAACTGGAGTTGTTGGATTATGATAAAATTTAAAGATGGAATTGATATACAGGAACATACAAAAACTGTTGATGGCCTTCGATAAATTCACCCAAATTAATTCCAAAAATTGGCTAACTTTTTCTTTTCTCTCTACAGTGAAGGCATCATAGTGTCAATATTGTTTGTGAAGTTTAGTATCTGCGAGGCAATTAAAACAATCAAACTTCCAAATGAAGAGTGTTAAGTCATTTGCAGACCAGGACCAACTTCTCTCTGAATTCAAATTAACAAAACTACTTTGTTGAGAGATACAAGAGTCTAGCATCTCTTTTCTAGGGATAACATCAAATGATGCATGGATTTCATGCTCCGGAAAGGAAAAACAACAGTCAGGCCAGGCTGAAAGAAGAGGGAGAGCACAAGGCGGAAATTTGCTCATAACCCCAGAAGCTGGGCTGTTTTAAACAAATACCTCTATCCATGAGGCTTAATAGGTAGATTTTACATATTTTAGTTACCAAGTGACCTCCCTGCATATTTTCAGAATCTCTAAAAGAAAAAAAACCTAAGTGAGACTTCTGAGACACATACACATATTTTTTAAGGAAACAATCTAGTGGAATAAGACAAGGCAGATTTCATTGCTGTGTTAATCTCATGGTAAGTAAGGTTTATGACTAAGTCATTTGCAGATCTGATTTCTGAAAACACTGAGAAGAAACCCAGAATCACTGGGAGATAAATCTCAATGATAACATTAATTTACTTACACTCAAGGTAACTCTCTAAACAGTCATAGTCCAATTTTACAAGTGTGCAATAGGCAAAGAAGGAAAACGCTGCAAATAAGTTCTTGTCCTTTGGTGGTGCAGGCTCTCAGAATTCATTCTTGTCCAAAGCCTTCTGTTTCTTCAATAGCAAATAACAGCTTTTCCTTCAGTTGCTCATAGCTCTTGTAGGGCGGCAGGTCCAGGCGGTTAAAACTAAAAGTAAGAATTGTTACCTTGAGAAAAGGATATATACTAACAATGGTTTCAAAGCCAGGCAAAATTAGTTGAAATTTCAGTTCTGTCACTGGGCCCTTGGGCACCTGTTTTTTTTTTTTTAACTTTTCTTTTTTCTTTGGTAAAATGAGAGTTAATAGTATTTACCTCTCAGGATACAATGAAGAAGAAGTAAGCATATATAGCATAGTACCAGATTCTCAATAGGTACTCAGTAAAATGCTAGTCCTCTTAAACTTTCCCATTTACTCTATTATCAAACGTGGCCAGCAAACGTTTGCTGTTTGGGCTAGATGGTAAATATTAATACTTTAGGCTTTGTGGGTCATAGGTCTCTTATCAAAAGGTTTTAAATATACCCCATTAACAATAAAAATATTTTCTGCTCTCATATCTAATATGCTGGTCCTACTGCCTTTCTCTTATTCTTAACTGTGAGTTTTTAAAGATACCTTCTAAAAAAAAGAAAAAAAAAAGATACCTTCTAATTTGGGGGCATATTAAGGACACTTTCACAAGGTAACAGGTAGTGAATCTGCCCTGAAGCCTTGGCCTTCTACTATAGTTTTAGGATAAGGTGCAGGTAGATACTTGGAGGGCTTCCCAGGAGGCTCAGTCGCAAAGAAGCTGCCTGCCAATGCAGGAGACACAAGAGACATAGGTTCGATCCCTGGGTGGATTGGGAAGATACCCTGGAGGCAACCCACTCTAGTATTCTTGCTGGGAAAATTTCATGGACAAAAGAGGCTGGAAGGCTACAGTCAGTCCATGGGATCACAAAGTGTCAGCCATGATTGAGCACTCACTCAACAGATATTTGGTAACAGAAGAAATCATGTATCCACAAAGGGAAAATAAATTTACAGTTATAAAAATGAATAAAAACATGGAACTTGAAAAAGTAATGAAACTGGTTTTCATGCATGACTGAGATAAGCTGTTCACAATAATGTAATGGCACAGTGTGTTCCAAGTTTAAAAAAAGGGACAAAAGGCCAAATCAAAATATGTGTGTACAAGGTGAGTATAAGAAAATCAACTGTATCTCGATATACTAGCAATGAATAATCTTAAGTGAAATTAGAACAATTCCATTTATAATAATTTCTAAAAGAATAAAATACTTAGGAATAAATTTTTCAGAAGAAAAGCAGGACTTATGTAATGAAAACTACAAAACACTGTTGAAATACATCAGACAACTAAATAAAGGGAAAGACACCTGATATTCATCAATCAGAAGACAATACTGTTAGTATGGCAATACTCCCCCAAACTAATCCATCAATTTGTATCAAAATCCCAGCTGATCTCTTTGCAGAATTGGACAAGCTGATCCTACAATTCATATGGAAATCCAAAGGACCCAGAAGAGCAGAAACAATCTTGAAAAAGTTGGAGAAGGCATATCTAATATCAAAACTTACTGAAAAGATATAGTAATCAAGACAATGTTATTGTCATTGTGGACAAATATTACAGATCAATGGAAAATAACTGAGAATTCAGAAATAAACCTATGTATTTATGGTCAACTGATTCTTCAACAAACATGACAAGCTGTTTTAAAAAGTTGTATTAATGAAAATACAAAAGAGTACACAAGATCATAAAAAGGGCAGATAGGAAAAACACACAAATGTCTGGCAAGGTCTATCTATGACCACTGAAATGTCTCACAAAATAAAGTGCAAATATTGTTGGCATTATATTAAATTCCAACATTTTGTATTTGAGTTAAGATATGGGTTTTTAGTTTTGTATATTTTTGGAAATGTGGTTAAACTACATTTATAAGAAGAAAACATTATTTCTGTCACTATGCTAAGAGTATCTCTCTCTCTATAGCTACCTAGATTTGATTCCTTCCTCTGCCTACAGAGAAATGTTAAAGTGTTTTCTAAATATCACATTTCAAAAAAAAAAATGCAGTGGTGAGAAAAGGGATTAACTGTAAATTGGTAACAGGGATTGTTTTGGGGTGACAAAAACCTAAAACTGGATTGTAGTGATGGTTACTTCTTTGAAAATCGACTAAATATTACTAGATATGGCTAAGTTTTTTGTTACATAAATTATATGTCACTAAAGCTGTTAAAAATAATCCAATACCATGGGGAAAATATCTCATTTCTAATTTGTAATATGCTATAGTATATACAAGATAAATGAGAAAAGGCTATTTTCTACACTTTAAAAAATTTTTATTTTGGAGTATAGTTGATTAACATTGTTGTTAGTTTCAGGTGAATAATAAAGAGTTTCATTTATACATAAACACTCTCTGATTTTACTTACCAGGTATGACTTCTAGGCAACCAATTTTCTTTCCCAACTTTTTCAATGCAGAACTTCTGTGGCCCATTGCTCCCTAAAATATAGTGAAATCATCAACAGTTTGATAATGTAATGGTTCTCAAATTGCTATCCCCAATTCAGCTGTATCAGCATCGTCAGGGAACTTACGAATCACAAATACACAGGCCCCAACTTAATTGAATCAAAAACTCTAGGGGTGAGGCTCAGCAACAATATTTTAACAAGCTTCCAGATGATTCTGATGAGTGCTCAAGTTTGAGAACCATATTGTTAATGCATGCTAAGGAGGAGAAAACGCAGTTTCATCTACATCCCTTAGCTAGAAAAACAGAATGCTGTAATTAATTATATCTCACATAAGAATAGAATGCATAAAAAAATTTAATTTCAACTTTAAACAGGGAAACTAAAACTCACTGTCTTATAAAACTTGATTTAAATAGAAAACTGTGAAAATTTTAGAAAATGTAAACTACCTAGTGAATTCAATAGGTCCTGTAGGGTGTACCCTTATACACTTTTTAGCCAATTCTTGTCTCTCATTTATCTTCAGTCAGCTGTTAAGGTTATCTTTTAGTACTGGTTTTCTAAAAACATCACTACTGCCCCCTAAGCAGCATTTTTTGGTGGTCACAAGGATTGGAAGTACTACTGGACTTTTGAATAAGACAGTGCCAGACACACTTAACGTTCTGCCATGTGTAAAATAAGTCAAGCCAAAGAATTTTCTCATGTTCCACCTGACGAAACACAATACAAATATAAATTGGTAATACTTTTGCATCTACTAATACTGAAGTATTTTCTTAAGCAGTTATGTGAAAAGCCCAGTAACATAAGATATGGTCATTATGAAACAGGATAGCTAAAATAATAATTAAGTTTAAAATTATTAGTTTATGTACTGCACATTCTCTCAATATATTATAGCATTTCTAGCCACAGAGATGACAAGTTTAACAGTGCTAATTAGTATATAACAGTAGAGTCTGGATTACTTTTAATAGACTGAATCAAATATCAAAATAGAGAAATATGAAATGAAGGATTTTCAGTGAATTTCATTGATAAAGGCTATTTGACAAATAATACCAGTTACCCTGGATGCTTATGGACTTGTAAGACATCATGTTGTAAACATAAGCTATAATTTTAGGCTGTCTGTTGTTTTCAATCTTACTGACACTGCCCCTAAACCAAACGACCTTCATATAGACTCTTGCACGTTTATTCCTATTTTTAAAGCTACTTCAACTTTAAAAAGGTCTGAGGCCTTTTAAATATCAGAGCCTTGGCTTATACTGGAATTCCAAGATTAGACATTATACTTTAAGTTCTACCTCATTTTTCCTCTACTTTAATCAGCTATATTTTGGCAGGTATATTTGGCAGGTATATATTATCCTTAATTCATTTAGGCTATTTCCCTCTTTCTCTTACACTTATTTAAGTCTATTATTTTTTTACCTTTTCTATCTGTTCTTTCATATTTCAGTAATTCTTATATAGAAAGAGCTTCTGATCTTCTCTTAGATCAGTTCATTTAAACAGGAACAACTTTTTGTGTCTTCTAATAGTTTCTCCCAGATATACATGTATGAAATATAATTTCTTCATAAATCACTTAAAAACTTCTTGATATTACAGTTAATGTTATGTTTATGTATTTTCTGGAGGTTGTAGATACATTTCATATCTACCAACTTCATTATATAATACTAAAGACATAAATATGTTACAAAAATGGGATATTAGACCTGATAAGGTCAAGATCCACCAGCTTTAATTATTATATACATTACTCTTACAACTTTCTTTTCCTATACTGGGTGGAAGGAAGGTTAAACTAATTGTCCTCTAAAATTTGATAAATCACAATTTTACTGTCTTCCAAAAGTATCCTTCTGTATTGCTTCAGATTACTCCACCCAATCCTAATATTATTTCTAAGAGCAGACCTAGTTCTTATTATTTTAATAATCAAATTCCCAGTTTTTATTGAGAAACTTGTAGCAATTTTTTCTTCATTTTAGTCGCTATTCCTTAACCTCTCCAAACCCCAACATGGTCTCTCTTTTTCAAACTAGAGAGCATTCTCAAAGGTGCCCCTCTCCAAAAATGTACTTAGAAATTGTCCTTTTTGAAAAACAAAAAAAGAAATTATCCTTTTTGAGACTTCTTTCTCTGAAGCACTAGATAAAAACTTCCCTTCTATATTGCTTCAGAGAGACTAAAATATTTTTCTTTTTTACTCCCTGGCCTCTCCTCTGCCTCTAGGATAGTCCTATCTCAACCCTAAATACAGATGTTTTTAAGCATCAGGTCTCTATTCTTTGTATTCTATTTCTGCACAAGCCCATCTATTCTCACAGCTTCAAATGTCACTGCTTCACTGCTCTTATGAGTCTACTTTCTCTAACTCTTACTTCTAAACTCACCATCTGTAAAACTGTCCTCTCATTGAAATTTTCTACTTGGTTTTCTGACAGTCACCTTACACTTAGCAGATTCCTTACACTTCACAACTTCTCCATGTTGCATAAAATGTAAGCATTCTTCCTTTACATTTAATCTTCTAATCAAGCCTTATTTCTACCTTTGGAACTCCTCTTATTTCTACCTTTTCCATCCCTATTTTCTCTCTTAAGATCAGTTTCTTATCATAGCTCTAATGGTTTCTTCCTATTTCCACACTTTTCTATTTGCATGCTATACTATCAAGTCTTTCTCAAATGCAGCTTCAGCAAGTTCTACTGTCTTCAAAAAGCTCCCAGAGCTTCCAAAACCCTAAGTAATGTCCAAATTCTTTCAATCTGGTTTTTAAAATCCTGAACTGGTTCAACACACTATCCAAAATCGTCTACTTGATCTACTTAACTTTTTTACCTTTTGGCTGTACCACAGGGCATGTGGGATCCTAGTCCCCTGAACAGGGATCATACCTGCGTCCCTTGTGTCAGCAGCACTGAGTCTTTACCACTGGACTGCCAGGGAAGTCACCTACTTGATTCTTTAATTTTGACTCTCTTTTTCCAGCAGACTTAAGGATTCCAACTTCTATCCTCCCATGCTACTTGCATATAAATAAAGACCTGAATTTACTTACTATTTAATCACAAAATATTCTTATAGTCATTCGCGTCTAAACAACATGCAATTTAATCAGTGACTATTATGTGACAGGCACTAGAAATAAAAAGATGGAAGATATGGATCTATATCTCAAGCAGCTCCAGGTATAACAGGGAAGAGTGGTAAACAAGTCATTAAAATATAATACAAACAATAGTGCCTGGCTCACAGGAGACACTGAAATGTTTGCCAAACGACTGAAATATGTGGAGTCTAGCCTAAGAATTAAACATTTTTGAGATAAGGATTACAAAGTGATTTAAAAGTTGACACAAATCCAGGTTAACTATATCTAATTAAGAAAATAGACATACTTTGTTATTTCTGATATAGTGTATACACATTAAGGTAACAGCAGTGTGATCCTGTAGACATACCCATTAGGTCAGCAAATCCTCCAACTGGCAGTCGGCAGGTCCCAGTAACAAACTGCAAAAGTCGCATTCTCTTCTCATTATCGATTTCTTTAACAAACTGTTAAAAGCACATTTAAAGAGATATATAGGTCATATGTGACGTTTAGAATACTAAACAAGAAAGGAAAAAAGATCATTTCATATCTTAGTTGAACTCGCAGGCTGATATGCACCAGAAAATGCACCCATTACCATGGATGGTAGAGCTTCTCCATGCTTGTCAAAAGCCCCACTAATCAGCCCCCTCCACCAACACCAACCCGAGGACCACAACCTGACAGGTAAATAGAAAAAGAAGAGTGCCCTGGGCTCGCGAATGCCCTACTCGTGCAGCCTCAAGATCAGCTCTTCTAGGGCACCCCTCCTTTTACCCCAGATCTGCCTGTCCAACAGACATACATGTGGTTACAAAGGACGCAGAGTTTGAGTTAGAACAGACTTTTTGGTTTTGTGAACAAATGAAATTAAGCTCACAAATTCTGACCTGAATATAGCCCAGGAATGTTCTCTCAATGTTCTTTATGTTTTGGTGTAGCTATGTGTTGCCAGAATTATGTGGCTTTTAACTCCTACAACCCTGACTCAAAACATTAAGTTTCTATAGAATGCTTTCTAGCCTGCAGCACAAGAATTCTGGCTCAGCCAAATTTTTGGAAAGAATTTTTATCTTACTGTACTAACTTCTAGAAGCTTGGTCATTTCAGCTTATGATTTTATGATTTTTTTAAAATTTATTTTTAATTGAAGGGTAATTACAATATTGTGTTGGTTTCTGCTATACATCAACATGGATCATATAAAAGTATACAAATGTCCCTTCCCTTCTTACGAGTTTCTTTACATAAAAAGCAGGCATTAAGAAAAAAATTTTTTTACTGTGGTTAAATATATATAAAATAAAAATTTACCATTTTAATTATACAATTCAATGACATTAAACAGATTCACACTGTTGTGTAACCATCACCACCATTTCCAGAATTTTAGTTTACCAAACAAAAACTCATTTCTTTAAACTTACCTCCTTGCTTCTGCCTTCCTTCTCCCCTGTACTTGGTAAACTCTATTCTACTTTCTGTCTCTATAAATTTGTTTATTCTAGATACTTCATATAAGTGGAATCATACAATATTTGTCCTTTTGTGGCTGGCTTATTTCACTTAGCATAATATCCTTAAGGTACATCCATGCTATAGCCTGTGTTAGAATTTCCTTTCTTTTTAAGGTTAGACAATATTGCATCGTATGTACATACCACATTTTGTTTATCCAGTCATTTGTTGATGGACATTTTAAGTTGCTTCCACCTTTTGGCTAATATGGATAATGCTGATTATGAACATAGTTATATGATAAGTATCTGAGTTCCTGCCTTAAATTCTTTTGGGTATGACCAAAAGAATGTATTGTTGAACCATAAGATAATTCTATATTTAATATTTTGAGGACCCACCAAATTGTTTTCCACAGTGGTATACAATTTTATATTGTCACCAGCAATGTAGGAGGAATTCCAATTTCTCCACACCCTTACCAAGGATGAATATTTTTCATTTTTTTAAAATAACACCTTAATGGGTGTACACCTCACTTTAGTTTTGATTTGTACTTTTCTAATGATTAGTGAGCAATTTTTCAGGTGCTTGTAGCAGAAATTTTTGAGGAGGCACCATTATGATTCCAAACCAAGGGCCTCTAAGTTCTAAACATTAAATAATTCTTAATGAGATATGAATAATGAAAATCATAGTTCAGACAATTCTATACAATCCTCAAAAGCATTTAGATCAAATGCAGGGGAAGATTATTACCTGGCGTTATCTTATTCTCTGGGCAAAGGTGCAAGGTGTATGTTGCTTACTTGCCACTAGTCAAAGAATGCTGTATTCTGTATTCACTTATTACAATGCATAGAATGGAATGAGGACCCTGAACATACTCATACATTTTGTTCTATGATTCATTTCCATATGTGGTAAGCATTTTCTACAAAGTTATGGTTTATCTTCTAAAAGAAAGAAACTGAGACAAACCTGCCAAAACCACATGATTTGTTTACTTGTCCTAGTATAATGACGGTAGATGGCATGTCTTTGCCAATCATTCAAATCAATCTCTTGCATCCCACATAAAAGAACCTTTAGGGATAAAAAAGACAAACAGTTTCTTTAGGTAAATGTACAACCTATATAAAAAATGCTAGACATAGATAAGACTAACATTAAACGACTTTCAAAAATTAATTAGGAGGCTTTAGCTAAAAATGTGTGTCAAGAATTTCATCAAAATTTTAGCTATATTACTTATAAAAGTTGAGTTTCCATGTTTGGTATCATATATACACATATTCAGGTGAACAGTTACTCATTGGGCAGAGGTTCTAATACCTTTGGCAAAATTTTATATTTTTGGATAAATTATAGACTTTTAACCACTGGGGATTCTTCAGAAACATACTGCCAGAAAAAAAAAAATATTACTGCCATTGGAAAAATAGTGAAGTGAGCTGAAAACAGACACCTGAAAGCATTATTTACCAGCATGCTTCAGAGGAAAGGAGAACTCATTACCTCTAATTCCTTTGCATCAAAGTACTGTAAATACTGCTGGGGAAGAATTTCATTAAAGCCCTCAAAGAAAGCTTGTGTCTGTTCTTCAACACCACGAGACAATCTCCATTCAGCTACCATTCTGGTAAATAATTATAAAAAAATACTATGAGGCAGTTTAGATTTTACCTTAAATTCTGAGTACAAAAATAATTTTTACAAACTTTATTATGAAAAGTGTCAAATACACATAAGTAAAATAAATGAACCCTATGTACAGATATCTCAGCTTCAAGAAAACACCAATCTTATTTCATTATGCCTGTATCCATACCCTAGACAATGTGTAATTTCATCTTAAACAAGTATTTCAGTATATATTTCTATTAGGTCTCTTTTTTAAAAACATAACTATATTTCTATCATCACACAAAAAAGGTAACAATAATTCCTTTACATCAAATATTCAATGCTCAACTTCTACTGACTGACTCAAATTTTTGGACATATTGACTGTATCTGATTCAATTTTCTTCTAATTTTCATCTACAAAGATACATATCAATGTGAACAGTCAAAATCACATCAAATAAAAAACTTTCTGCTTTGTTGCACAATGATTTTAATGAGCAAACAAACACATATTTTAGGCATTTGATTACTTGATGACAATTTCAGACAACAGAAGTTCTAAAGTTTATTAAACTGAAATTTTGGAAAATAGCAGTGTTGGTTGTATTGGACTAATCTCCCTGGTGATTATAATTACAAACACTGAGCAAGTTACAGACATCAAATGTCTGAAGGCATCAGAGAGAAACCAAAGGCAGGCAGAAACTGGTGGGGACAAGATTCTTGAAGGAGGCTGGCACACTGGAACAGAGCCACATTTACTACACTTTTCCTCTGAGGCCACTGACCAGTTTACAAAGAGCACAGGGAAATGAAACTCAAATTAAAAGCAACAGTATCAGTGGGCTGAGGAGACATAAGGTTAACAGCTTAAAGCTGCCGAAGCAGCTACAGAAAAATCCCTGAAAGAAAAAAGACAGGGAATTCTGAAATCTGCACTTCAAATCCTTAACTGACTCCTAAATACACATGTGCAAAATGATGAGATGCCAGGGAACCCTGTCCAGTGAACAACTGGAGAGTCAAAGACCCAAGCAGAAATTCTGGCAGTCACCTAGTGCAGTGGAGAGAGAATTTAAGTTTAATTCTCACAAGTTACATGGAAAATACCTGGGCTTGTCACTGTAAGGACTATGGAACCATGTTCTAAGGAATAAAGAATATGTTTTAGGACCAAAAGCAAAATGGAAATAGAGTAGCTCTAGCAAGCATCCACAAAAATGAATGTGATCTGTCCTTAACTTTTTGTCAAAACAAAGTTTTGACAAATATACTTCAAAGAAAAAAAAAAAAGAATTCAGAGTCTCTGCCATGTATTAGCCACAATGAAAAAATGAATACATGTGCAAAGACGCTGAAAAATGTGACTCATAAGAGAAAAAAGTCCATAAACAATACTGGGAAAACTGATAGCCCAATGTTGAAGTTAGTAAATACTTTAAAAAAACTATTAAAATGTATTAAACAATTTAGAGGACAAGATGGATAAACTGTACGAACAGATGAAGATTCTCAACACAGAAACTCTTGAAGAACCAAAAGGAAATTTAAGAATATCTGAAATGAAAATTTAATTGGATGAGTTTAACAGCACCGTATTCAAAGACAGATCAATCAAAATGGCCCAAACTGAATCACAGAGAAAATGAAAAAAATACAAACACCATCTGGGATAATATCAAAGGTTAAATATACATGTAACTAAAGTCTCTGAAGTGTGAAAGAAGGAACCAAAGCAAAAGGAACATCTATAGAGAGAAAGCACAAAAATTTTCCGTAACTGCTAAAATGGCATCAATCACAAGAAGCTTACAAAATGCCAGAAAGGATAAATATAAAAGCAATTACAATTAGATATATCAGAGTAAAAATGCTGAGAAAACAAAATCTTTTAAAAACCAGAAAAGAAAGCATACACTCATCCAGAAAACAAAAACAATGGCTCACATCATCAGAAACAGAAGCCAATAATGGAATAACAGCATTGGAAAAAAGTGCTAAAAAACAAACAAAAAAAACCACCAAAAAACTACAAACCTAGAATTCTATATCGAGTGAAAATATCCTTCAAATACTGAAGGTGACATACATGTATTTTTGTATAAAAGCTGAGACAATTCACTGCCAACAAGAACACATTAACAGAAATGGTGAAGGAAGTTTTTAAAGCTGAAGGGAAATGATCCCAGGTGAAAAAAATGTATCTGTAGAAAGAAATGAAAACTAGAAATGGTAATGTGGTAATTTCTTTTAAAATATATTGATTTCTTATAGCAAGAAAATAGTATTACAGGGTTATAAACATCAGAAATACAATGATAAAAATAGCACCAATGGCTGAAGTGAGATAAAATTATACTATTATAAGTCTCTTATATTAGTATATTAGTTATAAATTACAATGTTACATATATGAATATATCAGTATAAAATTAATTAAAAGTGGTAAGTTAAGGATGTATATTTTCATTAGAGCAATCATTAAAAAATTAAAGAGGTATAGCGAGGAAAAACACCAAAGATATACAAAAGGAAAACTAGAAATCAGTAATACAAAGGAGGGCAGGAAAGGAGGAACAAAAGAAACTGGGAAAAAGAAGAAACAAATAGCAAGGTGGCAGACTTAAGTCCAATCATGTCAGTAACAACGTTCAACTTAAATGTACTAAACGCAATTAAAAATAAAGATTATCAGACTGGATAAAAATAGACCTAAGAATATTCTGCTTATAAGAAACATACTTTAAACAGCAGTTTTAAAGACAGTAAGGTGTATCTCTAAGCTTCTGACTCAACCCTGCTTCCAGAGAATTCATTATACCATGCACTGGCTTGTAAGCAAATCCCCCACGCGAAGGGGAGGCGACATCAACTGACCTGTAGCACTTCCCCGCGAGGAGCAACCAATAACAAAAGCTAAAATCCGATGAGCATTGATTGGCAAGTTGATCCTGTTCCGCCAGGCACCAGCTAACTTGCCCCAGTGACCATGTCTTTGTGTATTAAGTGTTTGCCATTTTGTCCTTGAGAATAATGTATGCATTCGAGCTTGTGATTGCTAGTTTCTCTGTCAAATACCTAAATGGACTGTGACTAAAGATCAATTGAATGTCATGTATTGCATTATACTTTCTTGCTCTGACTGAATTACCCATTATTTTCATGAAATATTAAGTACACAATAACAGACTTCTAGAAAGTGGTTTTTTTTGGCATAATAATATGTAATATACCAGAATACTTGAGAATTTGGTTTTATTATAAAATACAGTACTACAACATTTTGTGATATAGCAAAATATCTGACACAATGTTCTGTTCTAAATTTAGATGTAACTGCTACAAATATGTCTTTGAAAGCGCCTCGAAGTACCCCTAAAGGAATATAATAATTAGCAATAGGTTGTAGAACCTGTTTTTGGCAAAAAGAAAAAAAGGCATTTTTGAATAAGTCTCTCATTTTGTGTGCAATGCTTTCAAAATTTTAGTTACATACAACATATAACTGGTGTTGGATTTAATGCTATTAGAAATTAGGCTTTTAAAGTCATAATAACCTGTGTTATTTGGTGTATTTTAAAATAAATTTATGTTTTTAACTCTGAAAAAAAAAATAAGAAACATACTTTAAACAGAAAGACAAAGGATTGAAAATAAAGCATAGAGGAAGATATGCCATGCAAATATTAATCACAAGAAAGCTGGAGAGGATATATTAGTATTTGAAAAGTAGAAAAACAGGCAAGAGATCCAGAAGCTGGAATTCAAGCAGCAGCAGTTATGTGAAATCTCACCCATATCAACTGGTGCTGAGAATATGTGAGTGAACTAATAACTCGAGACTAAAAGTATGAAAGCACAGCATAAGAGAATACACTAAGAAAATAATTTTACTTAAAAACTTTACCTGATCTTTCAATATTCCCCACAAAAACATCTGCATATAAAATTGAGATTGTTTTCAATGCCATGATGTTAGACGGCATAGTAGGTACAGAATTGGTATTTAAAAGGGTGATCCAACACTGCTTCTACCCTTCAAACTTCTACTTCTGGAGAAAAACTGAAAGGCCTATCTGTTCAAAATTCTTTTCTATTACTTTATAAATCCATTCAAAATTCTTTTCTATTATTTTATAAATCTCCATATTTCTGGTTACACTGAAATATACCAGAAAGGGGAGATGAAACTCATTAACATCCACTAGATTAATTCTTTGTAAGGCTTACAGTTTGTAAGGCTTACTTCATGGGAGTCCCTCTACCCTGCTGCCTCCACAAGAATCCATCCTACCTTTCACGTGCTTTGTTGTCAGACTTGTTACAAAGAAATTTATACTGTCTACTGAACTTAGTCCTTGTCCCAATTTCTTGTCACCTGGCCTCTGTATCTACCATTGGGCCGTAGTTCTGTTATAAGGATTATCATAACTTACTAGCCACCACATTGTCCAAAGATTCATTTTCCTTGGCTTCTGAAGTACAGGACATGGCCAAGGGGCTATTAATCCTGAGCTTCCTGACAGCACCACACACTATGGCAACTCTCATCACAATTTGTGGCTTGTGCTTTCCATCCTATGTACTGCTTCCAATAACTTTTGCTCTATTTCTACATAACCGAATCCTTCCCAAACATCAAGTCTCAAATATCATCAGATTCCAGTTCCATGAATATAACTAGATAAAGTGATATCTCCTATAGTATTTGTTCCTCTCAATATACTTACAAGATAGGAAGTGGTGAATTGTGTCCTTAATAACATACAATCAGGTCTCATAATAATTAGTATAAAGGCAAATAATACTTTTTGAAATACTGTATACTAGTACTAAGCAATTTATCAATGTGCTATATATAGTCCAACAGAAAGGTTAAAAACTATGCCAAAAAGAGCATTCTCTCTTACCTGATATATTCCTCTTTATTTTCTTCTGTTACAAGAATATTGCCACCATTGGGTTTCAAATCATGACTCTTGATTTCACCTAAAATTTCTTTATCAACGGAGAAATACATTTCCAAACCACACTCCTCAATATTGTTTTCTCTGCCCAAATGAAAGTAACACTGTTACACTAATTCAATCATTTAAGGTTCTTTTTAAAACTAAAGGACTATGTTCTTCAGTAATTAATGTTTTAGTCACTAAGTCTTGTCCAACTTTTTTGTGACATCATGGGACTACAGCCTGCCAGTCTCCTCTATCCATGGGATTCTCCAGGCAAGAATACTGGAGTGGGGTGCCAATTCATTCTCCAGGGGATGTTCCCAACTCAGGGGTCAAATCCTTGTCTTCCTGCAGAGGCAGGTGGATTCTTTACCACTGAGCCACCTGGGAAGCAATATGTTCTTCAATAACTATTGTTAAACTGTAACATCAGAATAACAAAGCTGGAACATGATGCTCTAATAGTCATATTTTGCCTAAGATTTTTGGGTATATTTCTATAAAAATAATTATACTGAATAATGAGACAGATTTAACATAAATCATGTAAATTCAGTAAACCAATTACATGCTTACAGTCTGAATACATTACCAACACTATAATGGAAGCATACAGACTAGAGACTTCCCTGGTGGTCCAGTGGCTAAGACTTCAATGCAGGGGGCTCAGGTTTAATCCCTGGTCCGGAGAACTAGATCCCACATGCTACAACTAAAAGATCCCGCACACCCCAAAGGAGATCAAAGATCCCATGTGCCACAACTGAGACCCAGCAAAGTCAAAGAAATAAATATCTTTTTTAAAAGAAAACATACAGATTATATTTTTATAATTAAAAGGAAACAAACTTACTTAACCCAGATGAGAGAATTGTAAAATTCTGGATCAATCGATTCTAAATCCTTCAGTCCAACTGGTTTATTCAAGATACGCTTATAGAATGGCAAAGAAAAACCTGTGTCTATGAATTTCCCATGGAACAGAGCCTATGCAAGAAGAAAACAATCCATAATTTTATAATAGTCACTGTATTTTCAGAATGTTAAGATGAGTTCTTCAGTTAAAAGACAAATAAAACCAACTCCCCATCATACAATCTATTACACAATATTTCTGGGAAAAGGGAAGATGTAACAACCCAATCTTAAGACATGTCTTAGTGATGAGAAAATTTCAAACGAGAAAGTTAAAGGCACAACGCTTTAGTATAGCTGAACAACTAGCAAAGTAAACACAGCTCTCCACTTGCACTTACCATAGCAATAAACCTGCCAATAAAACGAAAATATTTCAAGTGATCTGGATTGATGTAAGAAGCGGGGTTTATCTGCAAGCAGTAGTTATCCTTCCCTGCATATTCAAACAGGCAATACATTGGGTTCAACACCTCATGTGACAAAAGAAAGAACCATTCTCTGAAACCAAAAGAAAATTTAGGGTGAAAAATCTTGTAAGTAACCATACCAATAAATCAAAGAGCAGTGCTATAAAGCTCTCAGGAATCTATACTCCTCAGGTGGTGATATTTCTCTAGTCTCACATTGATTTTTACAGCTTCTGTACAAACCGCCATCTATTTTACAAAGATATTTACACACTGCTTATTTCAAAGAATCTAAGACATCATTGACTTTAAAGATATTATTTGATGAGCCACTAAAAATATTTTCCAACTGTAATACACATCTCAGTTTCAGAGATGTTAAAATATGAAAATTTTAGTCTTAGAATCAGTGAAATACTAAACATAGGCAAGTTTAAACTTCACTGTTGACCCATGTGGTTAGATTCACTGAAACAAGTCTAACATTATTCCATCCATGTCCAAGCCCCTCGTGATGCTCATTAAGTGCTACTGCTCTCTTAAATATGAAAAAACTTCCAATTTCACGGAGGCAATAAAACATTTAATTTGAGCTACTCATTCATTAGAAAAATACACTGAGAAGCTCTAATTCAAATGCTGTGAAAGTATCAACCAACACTAATATAAGATTATAGTTACTAACTATGTAACAGGGGTGAGGATCTGGCAGAACAGTAGGCAGAGTGAATCTGGGGCAGTTTATCAATTCATGCCCGAGATTTCTTTTTCTTTTGATTTATGGCCTCTGGTGGTAATCCTGCTTATACTTAATACTACTGATTAATTTTCTATCTAGGAATGAATGATTATCCTCCTCCTGAATTCTCTTTACTTTGTACAAAATTAAATGTTTCTACTCATATTTTTATTTACCTGTGATTACTTCATACATTTTGAAATATGAAGTTTGAAACAAAACCTAAGTAAAAACCATTAAAATGCAGTGACCAGTTAGTGACTCCACAAAGACTCGGGGTCTGAAGTAGGATATTAATAAACTGTATTTCTACACTTTACAGCAATCCCAGAGCAGCAGTTATGATCACTCTTATTATACAGATGAAGATAGTTGCCCCAAGTCATACTAATAAGTACAGAAAAAGGATTCAAATGCAATCTTGACTTTGAAATCCTTGCTTTTTGTAAGGCCACTGATATGCAAATTTTTAACCATGTATGATATATCATTATAGAATAAGCAAAGCAACTTGCTGCTCGAGTCTGTCTTCCAGACTTTGATTAGAAGCTTCAACATTAAGAAAGGAGAATTTAAAATTTTAAGTCCTATTTTATATAGCCTTCTATACTCTCAAAGCAGACATACATTTATTAACCTCAGTGGGAACTGAATGACTCCCACCTCTATCAGCAGTCTGTGTGGGGGAAAGTGACCTGAACACTCGAGGGCCTTGTATGTTCTACGGAACAGATATGATGCAGTCTAATGAACACTGGCTTCTAGTTCGATGATGTGAAACTTGCATCCAGGCTCTACAACTTAGTTGTGTGTCTCTGGTGAGTCTCTATACCTCATTATTACCTGTAAAATTCTCTCATAGAATTATCCTGATGAATAAATGAGTGATGTGGGTGAAATCAACTAGCAGTACCTTAGAGAGAGAAGTGTTGAATTAATGGTTTTTGAAGTTTTATAACTGCAACATTTAATAAAGGTACAAAAACTTGCTACATTTCATTTTCCTGAAATAGAAAATTGAGAAAATACTTGCAAGCAAAGTGTAATGATACCTTTGGAGGAAAGGAACTAAGTTCTGAGTATTCATATTATCACTACCTTGCTACACCTCCATAATCTAAACCTTCTTCTCCTGGAAAAATCACCCACAAACGTCTTCGCAGATCTTGAGGACTGAAGCTCATTATCTACCAAAAAAAATAAAAGAATTGGTAAAAGTAGAAACACCTTAATCACTTACTTCCGGGTTAGAAATCCCCTTCATTATCAGTAACTTAAGTTCCTCAGGACATAGAATGGTGTTTGTAGTTTGGTCAATTCCACATATACAGAAAATACATTAAAGTTTCATAATATTTTATAAATTACACATATCTATATTTCTATATACTTTATATATAATTTTCTTTAAATGATCCTACCACTGACAAAATTCCTTCTCTCACTTGCTTAGAGCAGAGTAACTGTGACCATGATCAGGGGTTAGGTCCTTATTTGGTTTGGGCAGGTTTCAGTTTGTTTTATACCCAAAAGGTACACATAATAGCCAATTGGCTAACTTGGAAATGAAACACAGCGGCGGTGAGAGAACAGTTACCTTGGAAACTCATTCTCAGTGGAAAACTGGAAAAACTGCTCAAAGTTTGTATTCTACTACAGTAGTTAATATGATCACCTTCACATTTTTAGGACAGTGACATTACTGAGCGACAGTGGAGAGGTCAGTCAGGCTCTTCCTTTTTAAAAGTATTTAAATACTTGCCCAAAATTGGGCATGAGATTACAAACATTACTCTTAGAAAAAAAAAAATGACACAGAGAGAAAAAGTCCATACAATGATTCTATTTTATGAAGGGACAAGAATGAACAATCAAATTTAAATATCTAGAGAGGCCCAGGAAGTGACCTGCTTATTCAGTTCCTATCCTTTCATGAATTCATATCCCACATGAAACAAATAATTTGATGCTTATGACAAATGTTCTACAAATACTATAGGCTACAAATATACCAATGGAAATAAGTTAAAATTATCTTTTTTGTTCATTTCTTGGTCCTTCTGGTTATTCTTTGTCCCTGTGGCTGCTCCCCAAACTGTAGCATAGTCCCTGATCTCTTTTGCTGTTCCCCTGTAAAAAATATATTTAAATAATACCCTTTAACAAATGTCTAATATGAAGGAGGGCTTTGCAGATGGTGCTAGTGGTAAAGAACCCAACTGCCAATGCAGGAGAGGTAAGAGACACGGGTTCAACCCCTGGGTAGGGAATATCCCCTTCAGGAGGGCATGGAAACCCACACTAGTATTCTTGCCTGGAGAATCCCAAGTGACAGAGAAGCCTGGCAGGGTCACAAAGAGTCAACATGACTGAAGCGACTTAGCACACCCAGCACACAATATGAAGGAAAAAAAGAAATGTTTCTCCTGCCATTTCCCCCATACGGAGTTTTGCTATGTCAAAAAACACACTACCTTAAACAACTTTATCCAAACATTATGAAGAAAATCTGATGCTATTTTTGTTATATGTCACTCTCCCAAAGCAATCACATTTTTAAGTTTTTATTTCACATTTATTGGATGGGTGTACAGTCTAGGGTAAGAATTTTTAAAAACTGTTTTAGCACCACCTGATCTGTCATTCTGCAAAAGTCTCGAGGTGTCAAATGCTAAAGGGACATTTACTCATGTCTGCATCTTTTCAGCACTGCTATCATCAAGTCACGTTCCAAGAAACTGGCTCACCAGGGATTGACCACTCAGTGACTACATACTGGTTACGAACAAGAAAAGAACAGAGAGGAAACAATGGGACAGAGAATGGCCTTGGAGCTTTCCTTACATCAGACTAAGAGAATGACTCATAATTCCCTAAAGTGGCCTTAGTCAAGGTCTGTTCCTAAAAAACTATCTGCTCCTACTTAGCAGGTATTTCCCTTCAATGTTAATAACAGGTTCCATTAGTAAAGAATGCAACTGCTTCTGAAAGTAAGCAGACAGCCACTGTCAACTATCTCAATCTTTTTTCTGTTTGCATGCAGCTTGGCACTTTGTGAAGCTGTAGCTACCAAATTATCATAAAAGTTTGATAATAAAGAATCACATTCACATCTGTCCATAAAATAAGAATGAACTGGAAGTTTTCATACTGAGATATTTTTCCCACTGGTTATTTTCATACAACAATCACTTAATGTTTGTGTGCGTATTCAGTTGCTTCAGTCATGTCCAACTCTTTGCAACCCTATGGACTGTAGCCTGCCAGGCTGCTCTGTCCATGGGATTCTCCAGGCAAGGATACTCAAGTGGGTTGCCATGCCCTCTTCCAGGAGATCTTTCCAACCCAGGATTCGAACCCACGTCTCCTGAGACTCCTGTGGCTCCTGTATTGTAGGTGGATTCTTTACTGGCTGAACTACCAGGGAAGCCCAATCACTTAATACTTAGCTGCATTTGGTTGGAAAACAAAGTTGTAAAATAAACCAAGTAGTAAATTAACTCAGGTTCTAAAGACAACTAAAACATTTGAGACTACTCCTAAGAACATTAATTTTCGATACTGTCATCAGTGACCGATTACACTTTTTACTACATAAAAAAACTCTTAAAATTATAAGAATAAACATGCTTATTGTAAAAATGCAAGTAAACAGAAGTATAAATTCTCCCTCTTTCTCTATCTAGAGCCAACAATGTTCATATGAGCTTTGTTCATATGGAACTTTGGTAGATGTTTATCTACCAAAAGCCTATTTTCTTACTTAAATATCAATTTCAAATCAAATACCGAGCTTAGAAATGGAAACATGAAACTAGTATTAAATTACTATGACATTTCAAAAGCACAGAACATACACATACACAAAACATACACACACAAAGCTATCTGCATTTTCCTAAATTTTAAGTACTAAGGAATCTGATGATGAATGAGACTTAAAAAATTCAAGGATTTCATCAAAGTGTTTAGATTAAACTGCCAGCACCAAAGGTTTTGGGTTAGAAGCCAAGGGGCAAAAAAAAAAAAAAAGAAGCCAAGGGGCAAACCACTGAGTGAATAAAACAGTACCTGCTGAAAGGAATCCTCAAACAATGTTTTTCTTGTCACTGTAATCTTTATGTGCTGTGGCATGGCCAGTTGCTGAAATATAAGAATGTCTTAAGTCAACTCTCACCATTAAAATGGCCTATCAAAAAACCAAAAGAATAAAGTTTTACTTACTTTTTTTCATTTACAGTAACAAGTAGACTATGAATATGAATTTTTATTTAGTAATGTTTAACCATACATTTGTGAGTATTCATGCTAATTATAGATCATCTGATATATAAAAAACAGAAGAAAGCAAGATGTTGTACACAGCAGTGATTACTTAGTGAGTCAAATTTTTACTTAAATTTTCAAAAAGCTAATTCAAATTTTTTTGGTTTACATGGGACCAATTAATTATAAGTTTGAAATTTAAAAATATTCATCACAGTCACACTTGGACTAGTGCATTAATTTTACTGAGAGCTCATAAAGAAACCACTAATTCACTAAACATTTATATTAAAAATAATTGATAATGTCTGTTAAAAATACTCTGAATATAATCACATATGTGTACTAATGTATCTATCAAAATGACACATACATATGGATCTATCAAAGTCATATCAAATGCTAGATATGAAAGGAGCTGGTTACAATTTATATACCAGAAAAAGTTTTAACTCATTTGAAGATTTTTCCAACTTGAAAATAATGAGTACCTAAATGAGTAGCAATGCTTCCTTATTCAAATGGTTTCAAATTTATTCTTCTGGACAAGAGAAGTCATAAATTACCTAAGTGATAAATCTATTTCTTGAATCTAAAAATAGAAAAATTCCAACCCTTCCATATTTTACCTGTTTGTCTACATGTTAATTCTACAATCACTGATTGTGTAAGCAACATAATAAAAGGAGTACGGAAATACAGTACTGGTACTAACCTGACACCAGAAACGGAAATACTGAACCTTTGCCTTGAAGTCCCGTACATAGGCTATCTGGGGTCCATTGTCTCTGAGGAACAATGTTAATATGACATAAATCTGCTTGTAAGATAAAATACTGAAGGAAAACACAACATCACACTCCCTAAGTACTTAGAAGTTAAATACAAAATTGTCCCAGTACAACATACTCCTAAAACCACCTTAAAAATGAAATATTCCCCACGACTACTTTTAAGTAAGAAAACAGAAATACACTTTGATCTTTTTAAAGCTGCTGTTTCTGAGATTCTCTCTTATATTCAGCCAAATATAACAGGGCTAGGTAAAGGAGGTTTTGTCTCAGAAGGGCATCTACTCCCAAATTCACTCTCCTTTCTCCTTAATACAATCTTGAGATTTACTTGGGCAGACTGCTACTTAGGATAAAAACAACACTTCCCAGTATGGCTGTGTGACTTAACTATGGCTAGTGATCTTAAGTGGACGTGCTATTGAATAGGACTTCCAGGAAAGAAGGCTCTTTTAAAAAGAGCAGGGATAGCTGGAAAGGGATTTTCTTCCCCCTTTCCAATTTGTTCTTCCTCCATATCCCAGCTCAGAGTGGGACTACGACAGCTAAGCTTCAAGCAGCTATCACAAACTATTAGGTGACTCTCACACAGATGATGGCCTAGCATGGTAGGACAGAAATAAAGAAGCTCAGATCACTGATGATACCATGGGCTTCCAAACTAGGCCTGGACTTCACACCACAAGATTATTTGCTTTTTCCCTGAGCTACTGTTGACTTCATTTTCTAAATGTTCAGTGTAGAAATACAATTGATTTTATATATTGACTTTGTATCTGGCAACACTTAAATTCACTTGCTAGTTCTAGTTTCTTCCCCTAGATTCCATATGATTTTTATACAGACAATTGTGTTACCTGGGATCTGTGCGAAAAATTGTGTGAAAAAAAGAGTTTCACTTCTTTCCTTTCAATCTTATTTCTTTCCCATCTCACAGGACTACCAACACAATGTTGAATTTGGAAGTAGTGACAGAAGAAATACTTGTCCTATTCCTGATGTAAGAGGTATTTTGCCATTAATCTTATACAGATACTATTTATCAGATAAGAAAGTTTCTAAGGCAGCTGAAAGTTTATAGTAAACTAGCACTGTATTTTGTATACTCTGTACATTGCTTTTTCTCCTTTAATCTAGTAGTGTGCTGAATTAAATTGGTTTAATATACAAAATTCAATCAATCTTGCATGGGGAGGAGGGACTCCACATGATGATGGTGTAATATCCCTCCTATATCTTGCTGGACTTAATCTGCCATTATTTTGGTAAAGATGCTTACATCTACGTTCATAAAAATATTACTCAATAATTTTCGTATACTGTTTTTGGCTGATTTTGGTATCATACAATGAGATACCACTTCATACTAACTAGGATGGCATTATACACATCATGTACGGATGTAGAGTTGGACCATAAAGAAGGCTGAGCAGCAAAGAACTGATGCTTTCAAATCGTGCTGGAGAAGACTCCTGAGAGTCCCTTGGACAGCAAAGAGGTCAAACCAGTCAATCCTAAAGAAAATCAACCCTAAATATTCACTGGAAGGGCTGATACTGAAGCTCCAATACTTCAGCCACCTGATATTAAGAGCCGATTCACTGGAAAAGACCCTGATGCTAGGAAAGATGGAAGGCAAAGAAGGTGGCAGAGGATGAGATGATTAGACAGCATCACGGATTCAATGGACACGGATGTGAGCAAACTCCAGGAGATGGTGAAGGACAGGGAAGCCTGGCATGCTGTAGCCTATGGGGTTGCAGAGTTGCACACGACCTAGCAACTGAACACCACCACCACACATATACATACATACATACACACACACACACACACACACACACACACACACACACACACACACACACACACACACACACACACACACACACACACACAGTAACAACTGTTGGCACTGATGTGGAAAACCTGGAACCCCATGTGCTCTACCGGTAAGAACATTAGAACAATATGCCCACTGTGGAAAAGTCTGGCAATGCCTCAAAAAAACAGAGAATTATCATTTGATTCAACAATTCTGAGTATACACACAAAAGAACTGAAACCAAGGACTTAAAGAGATATTTGTACATTCATGTTCACAGCATCATTCACAATAGCCAAAAGGTGGAAATAATTCAAATGTCCATGAGCCACATGTATACACGAAATATGGTAACACATAAAACGGATTATTATTCAGCCTTAAAAAGGAATGAAATTCTGATAAAAGCTAAAACATGGATGAACCTTGGAAACATGATGCCAAGCGAAAGAAGCCAGTCACAAAGGACAAACTATATGATTAGTCAAATCACAGGGACAGAAGGTAGAATGGTAGTTATCAGGGACTGGGGGAGAGCAAGACTGAAGACTTTACTGAGTAGAGTATCAGTACAGGATGATACAAAAACGTATTAGAGACGAGACAGTGGTGATGGTTGCACAACAATAAATGTACTTGATGCCACTAAGATGTACATCTAAAATGTTCAACTTTGTTATGTCTATTTGACCACACACACAAAAAACCCAAACAAAACACATTAACAAACATAGTTACTTTTCAAAAATGAAAAAGAAAAATAAAGGAGCCTTCAAGTTAAAAGGTGACAGAAATGAAAGAAAGCGGGTATCAGAAATCAGGGATTAATTGGTGAGCAGTACTGTAATGATAACTTCTGAACACTCTCATTTAGTGCTGTGTTAACAGATAAAAATAGTAAGAACTGCACTTTTCAGTAATTGATATCTTTACATAAAAATCTTAGGAATCAGTTTTACTTTTAATCAAAACATTTAGAAAACTTACAAGGCAGATTTTCCGGTGCGGGGATCTATATAGGTGGTTGTTCTTCTATTGTGGTCCACAAAATACGGAATTCCATCTACCGTGAATCTCATTTCCCAGCCTTCAGGTAAGGGCTTTTCATTTAATTGACTATATAAAATATAGAAAAATGTATAAACAAATAAAAAATGCTTAAGAGTTCCTTGTTTGCCAAGTACAGAAACTAAACATACCCATAAATGCAGTAGATATCTTCTAGAAAACCAGTTAGTCTAGCATTTTCCAGCAGTTTACTAAAATCCTACAAGCATGTTAAACACGTGAACAGATCTATCAACCAGTCTTCTCCCATCTACTCTGCCTGGATTACCTACCTGCCTAAACATCTCATGGTAACCAAGCTCCACCAATTCTGCCTTATAACTCTTCATGTTCATTCATCACAGCTTTCAATCCCTAGTACCATCCTTGCTGTTGTCCTGTTCTTTAGTCGGTAAGTTGTGTCTGACTTTGCAACCCCATGGACTGTAGCACGCGAGGCTTCTCTGTCTTTTACTGTCTCCCAGAGCTTGCTAACTCATATCCATTGGGTCGGTGATGCTATCTAACCATCTCATCCTCTGCCGCCTTCAGTCCTTCTAATGAATATTTACTTACTCTGGCTCTATTTATCTTTTAAACTTTCAAAATAGCCACTTAAAAGGCTTTCCTGCTTTGAGTCTTACTCTGGTCCTTGATTCATTTCATATTGCTGACAGAATGCCAAAAAGGAGATCTGAACAAATCTATTCTCCTCTAAAGTGGTATCACTATTCATCACTAACCAAATGCGCGATCTAAACTCCCCCATGTGGCCCTCACTTCGCCCCTATGCAGCACCCTCTATGCTCCATTTCAGTTTACCTCTGCATTCTATCTCCAAGTCCCTTCCATGAGCCCTGTGTAGTAGACTCACCATTTCACAAGACATTCTGCCACACTTCCAATCAAGACTTTCCCCTTGTCCAGAATCTCTACTACTCTTGTTAAGGCAACGCAAATCTTTCTAAGGGAGTATGCCTACCCACTTACTTAATACCTGTCTTAAGATCCTGCTTATGCTCTTTAAACTTCAATGTTTCAAGTTTTATCCATATTTTCCAATTCATTTTTGTCTATTCTCCAGTTTCAATTTTCTCATCTGGTGGGTTTGGTGAGATGAAGAAACAATGGAAATGTTCAAGTTCACATCAGAAAGGAGGAAAAGGAGGGGTTGGTGGCATTTAATCTCACTGTTTTAGAGAGCCACTATTGCTGACAGGAGTGTCACTTTCCTCAAGTTTACTTCAGAAGAACAAAAGGCTTAGAAATACCGCCTAGAACAATATTTTGTGAACCACATCAAAAAGTTAACATTTAACTATATTCACAGAACTACATGCAAATGTCAGACAAACAGACTATCTAAAACTTTTAAGAACACTTCTCATTTGTTGTAATCATATTTGCAAGACAGTATCAGTAAAAAGTTGTCTTGAAAACAAATTGGATAGAACTGGCTCATTGGTTATTTGTAAAAATATGATTCTTATTTCCACTCTGAAACTTTAAAAGGTTCAAGGGGCAACAAATAATGATAGCAAATTAGAGAAAGGTGATGTGGTCTAGTCTATCCTTAGTGATAGAATTTTAAAATTAAAAATGTTACCTATGAAATTCTTAATTATTACTTTTTAAGAAACTGAAAATACCTATTTTTAAAGTTGAAAGTTAAGTATTCTATTTACTTAGGCTGCTCTCTGTTGCTGCACATGGGCTTTCTCTAACTGTGTTGAGCAGGAGCTATTCTCCAGTTGCTGTCTAAAGGCTTCTCGTTCCGGTGGCTTCTGTTACTGTGGAACATGGGCTCTAGGCACACGGGTTCAGCAGTGGTGGTGCATGAACTTAGCTGCTCTGCAGCATATGGGATCTTCCCAGACCAGGGATTGAACCCATGTCCCCTGTACTGGCAGATGGATTCTATCCACTGGACCACCAGGGAAGTCCCAAAAATATTTAAATACTGTAACTCTATAAAATGTGACCTGCTGGTACCCAGAAATAGATTTTAAATTTAAAGCATACTTTTAAAATAGAGGTCCTTAAAACTCTGACCTATGTGAGACACGAAGATTTAATCACACCCAAATAGAGATCAGACCTCTGCCCTCAGCTACTGGGAAAAGATCTCTATGCCTCTGGAATATCCTGCCTGTCAGGAGTATCTCTGTTTGAAGATACTTTGAAGCCCCTTTGAAGCTTAGGGTCTTCAAACATCAGACCACCAATCAGGTGGTTTATGAAGGAGGCTTTGGGAATATATGCCATTATCAGCTCTGACCTCTGGAATAAACTAGACACTAAAAGGTATTAGCCCATCTTTGGGGAAGAGCTGGAAACTGAAGGTTAGCTTTGCAGGCAGTACATGATGGAGTCCCAATAAAAAACTCTGGATACTAGAAAGGTGCGATTCCCTGGTTGATAATATTCAACATGTACTATATTCCACATCAATTCTGGGTATCTGGAACCCTTCCCAGGCTCTGCCCTAAACATCTCTTCCTTCTATTGTTCTAATTTATATCCTTTACTAGTAACAAATGTGGCTGTGAGTATAAAAAGTTTCTATGAGTTCAAGTCTCTCTAGTGAGGTATTAAACCTGAAAGTCATTGGGGAGATGCCCTAAATTTGTAGTCAGTCTCAAGTGAAAGTACCCCTGGAGACCTCCCAGCTTGTTGCTAATGTCTTGCTTGCTAAGTCACTTCGGTCATGTCCAATTGCTTGTGACCTCACAGACTGCAGCCCGCCAGGGTCCTCTGTCCATGGGATTCTCCAGGCAAGAATACTAGAGTGGGTTGCTGTGCCCTCCTCCAGAGGATATTCCCAACCCAGGGATAGAACCAGTGTCTCCTACGTCTCCTATATTTTAGGTGGACTCTTTACCACTAGCACCACCTGGGAAGCCCCACCAGCTGGTATGGCCTATATAAATACTTCTTTTAAAAACATAAGATTTTAAAGCAACATAAAATAATATAAAAATCTTATGTTTCTATGTACAAGACAAATTTCTGTTGTTCAAGTCACTCCATATGTAGTACTGTTAAAGCAGCTCTAGCAAACGAATACATGCAGTATCACAATGTCACAAAGACAATTTTATATACATAGCAAATACTAAAAAGACAAGCTTGTAATAATGTATCCCTTTAGTGACATATTAACCAGCAAGTTCTTGTAATGATGTATGTAAACAATATTTTGAAGTATCTGCAACAACTGCAGAAAAACATCTGTGATTTCTACTGGTGGCAAAGTCCTAGGATTGTTAATTCTACTATAGTTGTGACCTACAATCATAATGGAAAGAACACTCAAGTTTCAGGTAAAGGTTTGGACCTTGGTCCTTCACACACGAACATGTCTGCATCCCTTTCTAAGTCACATACTCCCTGAATTCTACTGAGAGATCTCAGCTTGCAAAACCCTGCTTTAGAATTAGTAAGCTGGTCTTATAACAAACAGGTAATTTTTTGGGAAAAAAATGTAATAGTATATTTTTTTCTCTTTCTAAAATATGTGGGTGATTAAGACCTTTGAGGAAAGAATATGTAATTGATCTTTTACATAAATGAGTTGGAAATATGGTATAATCTTTTAAGAGGTTATCTGTATACTAATAACTACAAGTTCTTACTTACCCTTGATTTCTGGGGTCTTCCCATTGTGTAATACGAGTGTTGTGGTTGACAAAATATACTCTACCGTTGCTGTCCGTTCTCTTCTCTTTAAAACAGAAGGAAAAAAAAGATAAAGCATTAGAGTTGGCATAGTCTTCTTCCTCAAATTAAGATGAGCTGATATTGCCATTTTTCACTGCACTGTTGATTTTGTAATTTTTAAATCATAACTTTTAAAGTCTTAATTTATTCTTTCACTACTAAATCTACATACTTACTCAAGTTATAAAAATATCGTTATATCCTAGAAACTAAACAGATATAATTCACAATATCCTGCCCACAGAATTTTTCTGTTCAACCTAACCTGTTCTGTTCAACAACAGCAAGAATTAAATGCTTTAAATTTGCATGAAGTGAAGTCACTCAGTCTTTTCCAACTCTTTGCGACCCCATGGACTGTAGCCTACCAGAATCCTCCATCCATGGGATTTTCCAGGCAAGAATACTGGAGTGGGTTGCTATTTCCTTCCCTTAACAGTCCCACAGAGTAGGTAGTTTTCATTTATCTTAAAGATAAGGATTTTCAGATAGGCTAAGTGATCTGCCCCTAATCTCAGAATTAAGTAGTAGCTGGACTCTAGCTAGCTGATGTAGGATGGAAACTGACATCTCCATTCAGAGATTTTTTTTTTCATATTGCACCATCTCATTTCTGAAAATATAATGGGGGTATGTAACTTAACTGTTTCTTTGTTATGTGCTGAGTCACTGAGTCGTGTCTGACTCTTTGTGACCCCATGGACTATAGCCCGCCAAGCTCCTCTGTCCATAGGATTCTCCAGGCAAAAATACTTAAGAGGGTAGCCATTCCCTTCTCCAGGGGATCTTCCTGACCCAGGGATCAAACCTGGGTCTTCTGCATTGCAGGTGAATTCTTTACCATCTGAGTCACCAGAGAAACCTGTTTCTTTGCTATATGCTAGGTATTACTCAACTAGAGAAGACATTATTCCAAAATACATCCTGTTTAATACAACCAGTTTCCTATCCTAAATATCTATAGTAACTTTTTACACCAGAGTTGGGCAGCAGGGCTCAACTCTTTAATTTATTGTATCTGTATCTGAAGCAGTGTGTTTCCCCACCTGCATCTTGTTTTAGGATTCTCCTAGTTCTCTTATACCCATTCTACACAATTGTTCTGCTTCTCTGAGCTTTCTCATTAAGTTTAGAAGATGTGTAGATATAATTTTCTTCTAATAACCAAGTAGCTTTGAAATTTTAATAATAACATTAGTTCTGCTGTTTTGAATTATTGTTTTCTCTGCTCCATTACAAATTAATTATTCAAAAGATAGGTCTCTTCCAGTATCTAAATCTTTTAAATTTGGCCAAGATGTCTCAAAATGAACACTTAAGAATTCATTATTATAAAATGGATTCCCACTTTTTAAAAAGCATGGTTACCTTAAAATTAGCAATTAAAAAAAATTAAGCTTAACTCCATTAAGCTTAATTATTTTTATTCCTATGGTTTGAAAGTTCATGTCTATTTTCCAAACAACACTTAGGTAAAGCTTTTGGACTTTTCTTTAAGCAAGATATTGCAGAATGAGTGTTAGGCCAAATTATACAGCCTTGTAAGGTAGTGTTTGGTAACTTTCAACTTCTCTCCAGCACTGAATCCATGATCTCAAGTAGCAGTGACGATACTGGGGTAGGGGGTGGAAGGTGGGGGTAAGGCTGGTGCTGGGAAAGAAGGAATATATTGGTGAGTATCATGAATCTGCTCCTGACAGCTCTGCTACTTTCTCTACCAGCTGAGCCTAAAATAGAAACAAAACTTCTGGAATATATAAAATATAGGAAACAGACTCTGCATCTTGTGACACACCCTCGACAGTAACAATGGCTTTGCTGGTCATGGCACCTAGAGTGTGGAAACATGTAACCAACTTTAAGAACTGTCTCTGAGGCAAAAAGAAGCATCCACAGTACTATAGCTAGCTATATAATAAATTAAAAAGTAAGTCAATGTTCCAGATAGTTTAAATTTTTAAATATACTTACAGAATTTATAAATTTCTTATACACCAACAATCTTAAGTAACTTTTGTAATCTAAAATTAACATCATAAGTGCCTAGCTGAATATATATTTATCTATTAACTGCCATATAAGTTCAGATTTCAGGGCCAGAGATTCTCTCAAAAACCTAACATGAACAGAGTCACTGCCTGGCTTCTTTAAGGGGTCTGAGGTCTGAGAACCCTGGTGAGTTACTGACCTCAGCTAAGGACACCCTCATCTTACCCATGGTCAATGTTTATTGAATGGTGGCATGAAGCTAGGGATGGCATGGAGATTTCCCTTTTTTTTCTTTTCAGATATACAGATTTAAGGCTTTGGAGTAGTTTTGTCTTATTCCAAAACTTCTTTGGTGTGCTTTGGTTTTTATCATTTTTAAATGTCTTATCCAAACTGTTTCTCTTTTCAATGAAAAATCTGAATAATACTTTTTGACATTTTAAATATTTAGTTTGTGCACTTAAGATTACAGCTCACACATTTTGTAGTTCTGTGACTTTACTAGGTAGGCTTTCTAAATAAAAGCTTAAAAACATTTCAAAACAAAAACAAAACTCCATCAAAAGCTAACATGAAATAAGATAAAGTAGATAGAAAACTTAAAAGAATAAGGAAACCATACACATCACTGGTCAAGTAGTTTTTAAAGCAAAGTGTATTCCTAACGTAAGTTATTCTTCTGTTGTTACAAAACTATAGGTCTTTGATGTTGGTCTTTTGGTTAGCAATAAACTTAAACGTAGCTTAAATAGACTGTACAGTTGTATGAAATCGTAAAAGTATTGTATGAACAACGAGTGAGGTTTCAAATTCCTGTAATTGTAGTTGAATAGTCATTGTATTTTCTTGTGAACCATGTTTAATGGTTGTACCTCAAACCAGAAAACAAAATGAAGTGCTTTGGTAGGTTAACAAAATGGTTTTACCCAGGAAAAAAAAAGAAAAAAACTTATTTCTATGTTTGTTCTAAGCATATAGTGCTGATACCAGCATTTCTTGGAAGAGGCTGTGAAGACCAAAACCTCAAAGATGGAACCTCAAACTTGCAAACTGAAGGCTCATGTGCTTAATGAGATGTACTGTGATTACAGAGCTGATTTCTTACTTTGTTGGAAAAACACGTGATAAACAATCCTGAAATTACTGAACACCAAACCTGAATACACATCAAACCATTTCCTGACCTGATGAATAAGGCACTGAACAACAGAAGCTTCTTGATGTTCTATGTATTCTTTCATACCAACTCTGAAAATGAGAAGACAGCTTTGTACTTGATGGGTAAACCAGCTATAAAAAGCCCTATTAGACTATATCGCTGACCCAAAAGCATTCTTTGTTCTCCAGCCTCTACAGTTTGCATGTGTTATAAATTCTTCACTGTCAGCTTCTAAGATAGTAATGTCTAGTCCAAGCATACAAAAGTCTGAAAGGGTTAGGAAGTGGGATTTAAAAATACATGGCATCACAAAAATAATGCTGACAATTTCAGAACATCAACACAGGCTATAAACTGGGATTTTATTTCCTGGATCAATGCTGAGGGTCTATCAGGTGCTCTCATTTAATACCAGAGCCATCCCTGGCTCCACAAATAAAGCATATGCCCCAAGGGCAGAATTCAGTTCACAAAGAAAGCAGTGCTCAGTCTAAATAACTGGATGATCATGAACTCATTTAAGAAGGGGGAAGGGCCACACCTCAACTTCAGGAGCATGAAACCTAAACATAAGCAGAACGTAAAATAACCAAGGAAAAATTCTGATAACATACATAAGGAGAGATTGGGTCTCTAGAGGCAGTATTTTAGGGAAGTATTGTTGGCTAAAATAAAAATGAGAAAGATCCTGATGATATAATGATAAACACAGAAACAAGGACTAGCTCTGCAGGAAAGGCTTTTCAAATAAAGGCAACACAGACTGCAATTCATGCTTCTGCGAGCAAGAAACAATTTTTCTTAATAGCTACCCTAGAGAAGATGAAAACTAGTTTGTGCTTCAAACAAAACCCAGCCAAGATTTTTCTGCAATAAAATCAAGAGGATTAATATACGACCTACAGATGTTTCAGTCCATCAGCTTCTCTTCTGTAACATGAATGCAAAACAACTCCTGAAATAAAGCTGAGAAGACCATTCATGTCAAGGAACGCAACCAAACAGCTCTAGTTCAGTATATCTAAGAACAACATTTTTTTCTAAAGTACTTCATACCAATCATACACTGTCCATTATAAGGTCCCACAGAGCCAAAAGATCCCTTACCAAACTACCAGACACTAGTGAATAAAGAGCTTCACCACTTTCATATGCCTTCCTTTTGTTTTATAAGCTAGTAACAATAATAGTTATAACTATGAACTATTACATTTTTTGTCTCTGATTAACAGGAATGTTAAGGATAAATAACTTCAAGGGCAACTGTTGTTCAGTTGCTCAGTCGTGTCTGATTATCTGCGACCCCATGGACTGCAGCACGCCAGGCTTCCCTGTCCTTTACTATCTCCCAGAGTCTGCTCAAACTTGTTCATTGAGTCAATGATGACATCCAGTCATCTCATCCTCTATCGACCCCCTTCTCCTCCTGCCCTCAATCTTTCTCAGCATCAGGGTCTTTTGCGATGAGTCAGCTCTTCACAACAGGTGGCCAAAGTACTGGAGCTTCAGCAAAGTCCTTCCAACAAATATTCAGGGTTGATATCTTTTAGGACTGATTTGATCTCCTTGCTGTCCAAGGGACTCTCAAGAGTCTTCTCCAGCACTAGTTTGAAAGCATCGATTCTTTGGCACTCAGCCTTCTTTATGGTCCAACTCTCACATCCATACATGACTCCTGGAAAAACCACAGTTTTGACTACATGGACCTTTGTCAGCAAAATGACATCTCTGCTTTTTAATAGGCTGTCTAGGTTGGTCATAGCTTTTCTTCCAAGGAGCAAATATCTTTTAATTTCATGGCTGCAGTCACCATCCGTAGTGATTTTGGAGACCAAGAAAATAAAGTCTGTCACTGTTTCCATTTTTTTCCCATCTACTTGCCATGAAGTGATGGGACCAGGTGACACGATCTTAGTTTTCTGAATGTTGAGTTTAAAACCAGCTTTTTCACTCACTCTTTCACTTTCATTAAGAGGCTCTTCAGTTTCTCTCCCTTTCTGCCATTAGGGTAGTGTCATCTGTATATCTGAGGTTATTGGTATTTCTCCTGGCAATCTTGATTCCAGCTTGAGCTTCATCCAGCCTGGCATTTCACATGATGTACTCCGAATATAAGTTAAATAGGCAGGGTGACAATATACAGTCTTTACAAATTCCTTTCCCAATTTTCAACCAGTTTGTTGTTTCATGTTCAGTTCTAACTGTTGCTTCTTGACCTGAATACACGTTTCTCAGGAGACAGGTGAGGTGGTCTGCCATTCCTATCTCATGAAGAATTTCCCACAGTTTGTTGCGATCCACACAAAGGCTTTATTTAGTGTAGTCAGTGAAGCAGAAGTAAATGTTTTTCTGGAATTTCTTGCTTTTTCTATGATCCAATGGATGTTGGAATCTCTGGTTCCTCTGCCTTTTCTAAATTCAGCTTGTACATCTGGAAGTTCTTGGATTACATGCTGTTGAAGGCTAGCTTGAAGGATTTTGAGCATGACCTTCTTGCATGCAAAATGAATGCAATGGTGTGGTACTTTGAACATTCTTTGGCATTGTCCTTCTTTGGGATTAGAACAAAAACTGACCTTTTCCAGCCCTGTGGCCACTGCTGAGTTTTCCAAATTTGCTGATACAGTGAGTACAGCACTTTAACAGCATCATCTTTTAGGATTTGAAATAGCTCAGCTAGAATTCCATCAGGTCCACTAGCTCTGTTTGTAGTAATGCCTCCTAAGGCCCACTTGACTTCACAGTCTAGGATGTCCAGCTTTAGGTGTATGGTCACACCATCATGGTTATCCGGGTCATTAAGAGCTTTTTTGCACAGTTCTGTGTATTCTGTGCTAAGTGAAAGTCGCTCAGTTTGACTCTTAGCAAGCCTATGGACTATACAGTTCCATAGGATTCTCTAGGCCAGAATACTGGAGTGGGTAGCCTTTCCCTTCTCCAGGGGATTTTCCCAACCCAGGGATTGAACCCAGGTCTCTCGCACTGCAGGTGGATTCTTTACCAGCTGAGCCACAAGTGAAAGGCAGGCTTAATCAGCCAATTTCATTTTTTGCCCAGATTCATGTGACCTTGACATCAATTTTTCCCCCTCCATTCCTAAAATAATGCTAGAGCAATCTATCAAACTGATGTTTCCCAATAAGACTACCTAGAATTATTACTTTCTGAAATATCTGCAGCACTTGAAGATAAAACTTCAACTGGTTCCATAAATGGTTTTACTCTGTTTTCCACTTTCTATTGATATATAGTCTTTCTCTTCCATGCAGAACTGTTTCTATATTGTCATGTTTATTCTAGAAACTTACTACAGCTCTATGACTTATATAACACATATAAAATAATCTGGTAGGGCAGGCTCATCTTAAAGTCTATTAACAAAGTTTTAATAACTAAGGTACTTGACAATAGAGCTTACCCAAGTACTCCATGGTGTAGGACACAAAGTCAGTACCCTACCATGTTCCCCCTTCCACTGTTCTTTATTCAGATAACATCAACTCTGTCAACCTCTGAACTGTGTTTTAAAAGCACAAATATGATCAAAATCATCTTTAAAGCTTTCTATTTTGAAATAAGTATTGTATCATGAAGCAAAAAGTGTTCAAAGAATCTCAGTACCCTTCAATCAGTTTACCCCAATGATGACATCTTATGTAGCTTTGGCAGAGTATCAAAATCAGGAAACTGACAGATACATTGCTGTTGACTATAAACTTAACTCAATCTTTACTAATTTTTAAAGTTTGAATTCATTTCTGTAATATATAGTTCTATACACTTTCATTCCATGTACAAATCGGTGTAATCACCACCACAGTCAAGGAACAGAACTGTTCCACACTATGTAAGAACCACTCATGTTAACTCCTGTATTTGGAACCACCTACCAGTCAGTGGCTATCTCCTGGCAGCTATTAATCTATTTCTCATCTCTATAGTTTTGTCATTTTAAGAATGTTATATAAATTGAATCATATTAGAACATAATCTCTTGAAATGAATATTTTTCACTAAGCATAATGCTCTGGAGGTCCATCCAGATTTTCCTAAGTATCATAATCCAGTCCTTCTTATGCTGAGTGGGCAAAATACTTTTAAATTTTAGAAGAGTAACTTAGAACATCTGGGGAATTTAATGCCTATTTGGCACTCCAAATTAAACCAAGACACCCAAAAATCTTCTCAGATATTCACTCAAGCAAGAGCAAGGTTTATCATCCATTCATAAATATGTAATTGTTAAAATGACTGAATTTAATTAAAAAAATCTACATGACTTACCCCATCCAGGTGGCAGAGGACCCAGGGGATCAAATTCTTTATTTTGTGATGTAGCAAACAAATCTTGATTCTAAAAAGAACCATCCCCAAAATGGTTAAAAAACTAACAGATAATTGGAAAGCAAGCTTATGAATTCTGATAAGCCTTTTCCTGGCCATGTGCAACATAACATACTCTTATACAGTCCACATCTTACAGAAGTATGAATGAAAGTCAAGAACGAAAGTCAATGCAGTCTCATGAGAAAACAAAAAAAATCTGTCAATATTTGAAACTATCTGATATTCAAGTATTACAAGTAATTTTACACCCAAATTGACCATTGTTCACCTTACTTAGCTTTAAATCAGTAAGTTAGAGAAATATATAAACCCTACAAAAGTCACTTAAGAGTAACAGTACTCAGTCGTCAGCTGGCTGAGAAAAATCTTGTATTTCTAACCCTAAAATCGTGAGAAGAGAGCTGGAGGAACATGAAGAATAGGCTATCAGATGAGCAAAAGGAAAGAATTCCAGTGTGGAAGGCGCTGATAAGCCTAGAACTGCAGAGATTTCAAAAATTTGTTTGAAATTATCACACTGGTGAAGAGAGAGGTCTAGCTAGATAAAAGGAAAATAGGAGGCAACCACTGGAAAAAGAAAAGCAAAAGTCATACTGAGTGTGTAGGATGAAGGGTTAACGAGTGTGTTTTAGTTTAAAAATGTAATAAAGTGGGGGATACTTTGTGGTCTCTCAGTAAGATGCGGTTAAACCCTTTCTTCTGTAAGATAAGGCAAATAAATAATAGACTAATTGCTATACACAAGTAAATAAGTAAAATAAGTATTTTACACAAGTAAAATAAGATAGTGTACCCCATGTACCCAGCAACAAGACTCAACAGTAACCAAAACTGCCAACATTTATTTTTCTTCCATATTCTTTGCTGAGCAAACAAAGAGGGGGAAAAAACAGTCATCATTTCACTATTTTAGTAAGCCTAAAATTTGTGAACATTTTCTTATACAATCACAGTATCATTATTACACCTACCAAAGACTCTATGTTAATTTTATCATCTAATACACAATCCCTAATTAAATGTGTCTGGTTACTTACTAGATCGAATCAGAATCCAAAATTATCATACTGCATATTGGTTCAGTCTCTTAAGTCTAAATTTATAGCAGTTTCCTCCACTGTTGGTCTTCTTTGCCCCATATCATTGATTTATTATGGAAACTGAGTTAGCTGACTAAGAAGTTTTAAAAGCGTATGAGAGATACCCCATTTCTCATTTAAAAGCTCAAAGAAGTTAGACCGGTCAAGGATTGGCCCTGCTCCTGAAAGATACAGTAACGAAAACATAGGGAATAGGGAAGCCAAGGAGAAACACTATACAAGGTTTGAACCTTGTTAACAGTTTGGAGCAGTCTGGCATATGACAAACTGCTCTGATAACTTCTCTAAGACCTAAGCCTATCCCACTGACTTTCCCTGGACAGACAAGCTAAGGGCAGGCACAATGAAGCCATGGGCCAGAGCTATTACACAACGATCCATCATCAGCCATGTCCACTCTAAGGTTAAAAATGCTGAGTGTATGCGCATCTGCTGCCCTATGACCAGGGTCAGAACAAAGGCCACTTCACCTACCGAATAAACAGATGTTCTCAACACCACCTCACCACTTTTTAAGTAGCTAGCATTAAGAATGTTCAATTCAGTTCATAACTAGAATAGGCTGTTTAAATTCTTTATAATTTAGAACCACTCTATAACAAGAGTGAAGAGTAGGAATGTGGACAGGAGAAAAGGAAAAATGGTTCATGAATAAAAGGTGCAATTCAAGAAAAGTCTGTTAGAGTATCAAATTAGTTAAGTTACAATGAAGCAATACACAATGTGGGTGCTTTAGGAATTTTCTAACTGTCTTTAAAAAGAGGGTTTTAAAAGATCATATGCTAGATACAGAAGGCCAACAGGCACATGAAAAATGCTCAACACCACTAATCAAAACCACAATGAGAGATCACCTCACACCCATCAGAATGCTTATTATCACAAATGTCACAAATAACAAATGTGGCAAGGATGTACAGAAAAAGGGAATCCTGTATATTACTGGTGGAAATGTAAATTGGTGCAGCTACTTTGGAATACAGTATGGAGATTCCCCAGAAGATTAAAAATAGGAAGTTCTCTGGTGGTCCAGTGGTTAAAATTTCATGCTTCCACTACAGAGGGCCTGGGTTTAATCCCTGATTGGGGAACTAAGTGCGTGGCATGGCCAAAAAAAACCTAAAAACAACAAAAAGACTAAAAAGAGACCTACCATATGATAGAACAACTCAACTCATGGATATATATATACCTGAATTCAAAAAAATATATGCACACCAATGTTCACAGTAGCATTATTTATAATAGCCAAGAAAGATATAGAAGCAACATTAAGTGTTCCATCAACAGATGAATAACTGAAGAATATATAGTATATATACACAATGGAATACTATTCAGCACCCCGCAAAAAATGGTATTCTGCCATCTGCAACAAAGTGGATGAACCTGGACGGTATCATGTTTAGTGAAGTAAGTCAGAGAAAGACAAATATTGTATGTTATCACCTATATATGGAATCTAAAACTATAAAACTATAAAAAGTAAAACAAATGAATAATCAAAATAGAAACAGATTCATAGGGAGAACAAACTAACGGTTACCAGTGGGAAGAGGGAAGCAAGACAGAGGTGGATTAAAAGGTAAAAAACTACTACATGTAAAATAAATAAGCTTCAAAAACATATTATATAGCACAGGAAACAGAGTCAATACAGTAACTTTAAATGTTACATAATCTATAAAAATTTGAATAACTATGTTGTGTACCTGAAACTAGTAAAATATTGTAATCCAACCATACTTCAATAAAAATAAAAGATCATGTATTCTAAAATGCACATTTGCATTTGTGGATAGAAATGCAGGGAAAGAAAAGAGAGGAAAGATTTAAAAAAAAGAAAAGATGAAAACTGACATTTCTATGCATTTAATATGTGCCAAAAAAAACTGGAACTTTATCTTATAGAATTCTCCAAAAAAAAAAAAAAAAACCTGAGGTAATTTTATCTATGGATATACTGTATAGATAAAGCAAATGAGTCTTGATGAGGTTAAGGAACTTACTCAAAGTCATAGAGAGAAAGTAACTGTGGAACCAGGATTCGAACCCAGATGTGTCTGACTCCAAAGCCCATACTCTTTCCACTGGACACCCATGTGGAAACTAGCTTTAAAGAAGGCAAGCCAGCTAAGCATTCAAACCTAAAAGAAATTTCGCCAGGTATACTGAAGATGATTATAATTTAGAAAGAAAGGAAGATGTAAAACAGCACTGGAAAAAAAAAAACTGTAAGGTAGACAAGATAAAAATTAATTTCACTTCTAAAACCACCAGGAAGGGGAAAACATTGACAGCTGTCTGCAGAAGTTGGCAGGAAAAATTGTTACATGAAAGAAAGTTATCTTAGTCATAACCAGGTGGTGAAGCGAAAGCTGCTGAGCAAGGTGCAAATTTATCTACATCAGTGAGTGGTAACTATTATGATGACAAAGTCCAAGAAACAGAAATATGGAGAAAAGGCAAAAAGGTAATGCCTAATGAGAATAGGAATTTATTTTGATGGATTCTAACAGAGATGATACTGATGGCAGTAGAAGGGAAGAGACGGCAATGGAGAGGGTTGGCTTCTCTTGAACTCTTGGTGAGTTGGTTTATGTAAATTTAAACCATTTCCAGAAAGGAGACATTTTGATAGCAAAGATAATATGGTTTCAAAGTCATAATAATATATTTAACATAATTCTATAAGGAATCAAACTTCTTTAGTCTTCTCAAGCACTAAATAATGTATTGTGTAATTTTACTTTTACATGTTACAAAATGATTCAATTCTATCATGAGTTTCACTTGAGTTAGGTGCTGTTAGACCCAAACAGTCTAATGTTCTGCTAAGCTAGGCAGCATTAAATTCAGAACTGTTTGAATTCTTTTTACACTGCTTGGATTTTATTATTCTTTTGTAAACAAATTTTATGTTGCTAGAACTTTCTTTAACAAAGCAAGGCAAGTTGAACTTTAGGAAATTTTAAAAAGAATAAATCACCTACACAGACTACGGGAAACAAGGTAAAAAAATAGTAATATCATCAACAGCAACAACTGGGTTGCCATCCTATTTGTACTTTCTTTTTAGTGCTTTACATTTTATATGTAAGAAAAGGTTAAAAGTAAACACTCATTAAGGTTATAAAGCCAAATATATATGCTTACCCCATAAATGAACCTCTGGTTAAATTGCTGCATAGCTCCCTGAAGTTGACTACGCTGGAGCTGCCATTGTTCATAGTTCCGGACGGATTCCAGTGTTGGCCTCTGCCACGTTGTTGTTCTTGTGAAATGGTCAACATAATAAATACGTCCCATGTTGTCAACCCGCCGTTCCCAGCTATATCAGGATAAAAACAACTGAATTCAACAAATATTTGTGAAACGGTTAAGAATTAAGTGGGACTTCACTTTAGCCCTGGTACAGATTTGGTAAGATTTTACCTTGCACAACTACTTCTCAGTTACCTGAAGTCTTTTATATGTATGTACTTTACAGTTTTTAAAAACTTATTTACTTATTATTTTTTGGTTGCACTAGGTCTTTGCTGCTGTGTAGGTTTCTCTAGGTGCAGAGTGGGGGCTTCTCCTGTTCTGGAGCATGGGCTCTAGGGCACGTGAGCTCGGCAGAGCTCAGGAGTTGCACCATGCAGGCTCAGTAGCTGCGGCTTGTAGGGTTCTAGAGCATGGGCTCAGGAGCTGTAGTACATGAGCTTAACTGCTCCAAAGCATGTGGAATCTTCCTGGACCAGGGATCGAACCCATGTACTCAGCATTGCAGACTCTTATCCACTGTATCACCAGGGAGGACCTTTTATATATGTTTTAATGGTCTATAAGCAAACTTAAAAGGAATGTATATAAAAATCTCTCTTTTAAAAGTTAAGATGTATCATCAGGTTTCTGAAACAATGTATCTTAACTGATTAAGTCTCAAATCAGTAAGACAAAAGCTCTCATTTTCTGTTTGAAATGTTCTTTTCACTGTTGCAATCCTAATAGGAACAGAAACACATGTGACAGCCAGAGTGCAAGTGCTTTCATAGATGTCAGGAAAAGCACTTTTTCACAAGAACAGAACTATTTTATTTATCATTTGAAATGGATGCATAACATTCAAGTAAATATTGATAAAGTAACTTGATGTCTACCTGGCTGATCGTTTGGGGTTATGTCTATTAGTTTAATATTATCCAGAATTGGTTCCAGGACATTCCTTGGATACTCAAGTCCCTCATATAAAATGGCAAGGCATCTGCAGATAGCCAGGCACATCCTCCCATACACCTTAAATCATTTCTAGGTTACTAACAATTCCTAGTACAATGTAAATGCTAAACAGTTGTCAATACAACATTAATGTTATGTAAACAGTTGCCAGGCTTGGCAAATTCAAGTTTTGTCTTTTGGGACACCCTGAAATATTCCGCCCTATTTTGATCTGTGCATGCAGGCCAACTGTGGTAAAATAATAAATACCTTTTATGTATTGAAAAATTTTTTCTTCCTTTGCATTACTTCTTTAGGATACATTTCCTGGAGAGGGTTACTAAGGGTATGGGTATTGCTACAGTTATATATACTTTCTGTGAGAGTTGTAACTACTTTATACTACCACCAGCAACATTAAGAGGCAAAGTTCACCTACAATATTGCCAAAACTGGATATTCTATGTTAATTTAACAAGCAAAACTGTACCTTTTAGGTGTGTATTTAAGATTATTAGCAAGACTAAATATTTTCAAGTATTTACTCCTGGCTTCCCTCAAATAAAAATATTTTCTGCCATCCAATTATTTTATATGTTAAATGATTAACACCATGTATTAATATATCCCATTTTAATATTTCTCCAAATACCTTAAAATGAGTTTGCTATTATGTATTAGCTTTTATAAGAACTTTACCATAAATATGATAGGGTCTATAATTCTCATCCAGTTTAAAAAAAAACTAATCCTGTTGTACAGTAGAAACTAACAACATTGTAAAGGAATTATCTTTCCATGAAAAAATATTCTATGATAAACCATAATGGAAAAGAATATTAAAAATAACATATATATGTATAACAGAATCACTATGCTGTACAACAGGGGCTTCCCATGTGGCTTAGTGGTAAAGAATCTGCCTGCAATGGAGATCCAGGTTCGATCCCTGGGTGGGGAAGATCCCCTGGAGGAGGAAATGGCAACTCACTCTAGTATTCTTGCCTGGAAAATCCCATGGACAGCAGAGCTTGGCAGGCTAAAGTCCATAGGGTCGCAAAGGGTCAGACATGACTGAAGTGACTGGGCAGCATGCTGTACAATAGGAATTAACAGCACTGTAAATCAACCATACGTCAATAAAAATAAATAAGGGGGGAAGAAACCTACTCTTAAAACCCTGCAGTTTGAGCCAGGTAAAAGTTCACAAAGTAAACTTAGGGAATCTTTCTTTAGGTCAGAAATGAGTGAAAATAAACATATTTCATCATAGTAAATCAATTCCCAGAATCTCTTTTCAGTTTGCACCCATCATAAAGCAAAGTAGATAGAAACAAGACAGACAGAAGAGGAAAAGTAGGAAGGCAGGGAAACTGTATAGATGTAATCTATGCTGTGTGAGTGCTAAGTTGCTTCAGTCACGTCCAACTGTTTGTGATGTTATAGACTGTAGCCTGCCAGTTCCTCTGTCCAGGGGATTCTTCAGGCAAGAATACTGGAGTGGGTTGCCATGCCCTTCTCCAGGTGATCTCCCTAACCTGGGGCTCGAAGCCATGTCTCTTATGTCTCCTGCACTGGCAGGCCGGTTCTTTACCACTAGTGCCACCTGGGAAGCCCCATAGATGTAATCTATAGTTCTGAATACTTTTTTTTTCCCCCAATTCAGACACTTACCCAGGAGGTAGAGGTTCTGGTCTATCCCACGTTGTTCTTTTTTCAATATGATCTACATAGTAAACTCGCCCATGCTGGTCCACTCTCTGCTCCCAACTTAAACACAAAATTAAAAATGCTGATAAGCTACATGTACGAGTTGCCTGGTTTTTTAATCCCAGAGTTGAGACAAATAAGCATTTCAGTATATAAAGCAGATACCAAAGGAATTTAGGAATAAAGTCAAGAAATGTTATCCTGAAGGTAACAGTGGATGAGATTTCTCCTGCTTAAGTATCTGCTCTAGGAGATGTCTTCTACTTCTAAAGAGGCTGAGGCAATGCACTCAGGTGACAAAATCTGTTTCAATCTGATCAGAGTACACAAAGAACTTGAGTGGAAAAGAAAAATGCAATTATTGTTACAAAATCTGAAGAAAGACTGAGAGTTGTTAAATGAAGGGCAAAGGACAGTTTGGGTTCTAGAAAAGTTGAAATCAAAGAATAAGATTTTATCAGATGTGCCCCTGCAGTCTTAAGTACAAAGGCAACCTGAGTATTCTAGTTTACTTGGTAGGTTTACCCCCAAAGTAAAAAAGACAGGAATAAACCAACAGAGTTTAGAAGAACCAGTTACTTCTAAGAGAACCCATCCAGATTCTCTTCGCTAATCCCTGACACAAAGAATTTCCTAATCTGGCTTTCAAAGATGAAAATGGCCTAAATACCCACATAAATAATACAGTCTCTTTAGCAATTAAAATCCTCATCATGGGTTTCTTAATTTATCACCTAGTTAATTTTGATTAGCATTCTGAACTCTGGATTAATTTGACTGCCACAATGTATCTGTGTATAACTTTACTACAGCATTATTAATTTTAAAAATAATAAGTAGAGATTTACATGAGATTGAGTTGCAATTTTTTCAGTTTCCTAAATTCAACTCTGCCATGACTTTACAATGGCAAAGAAATAAAATTAAGTGATATTTTCCCTTCAAAGCAAAGGTAACCTGAATTAGGCAACTATTTTATTACTTGGCCTTGATAAGTTCCTAAGGCTCAGAGTCCTTCTTTTAAAAAAAATTTTTTTCCATCTAGTTGGCTTTAAAATGAGGGAGTAATTTCAAATATGACAAGCTATTTTGTTCAGTTTGACTCTAGACTTCTCCACACACATGCATAACCACAGTGATATTTTTTAAAAGAATGGAATTCAGTACTACTTTCCTTATTAGTAAGTTTATGCAGAAGCCTAAAGAAAACAAATGTTAACCAAAAACAATTACTCACCCAGGTGGGAGGGGAGCTTGAGGTACAGGATTTAATGGTCTAGGGCCTGCACCTCCAGATATAGTAAGAGGAATTATTAATCCAGATGTTGCTCCTTCAGATGTACTTGAATTTGTATTTGTTGGTGGCAGAGAGCCTGTACTAGAGCCATCACTTTCAGAAGTGGTAGATGGCGAGCCATTGACAGATGCTTTAAGATTTGAGGAAAACAGAAAAACAATTTTTAGAAATTTAAAATCAGGACAATATTTTAAATAAAAAGGTAGACGATAGATGTTTCTATTTTTAACATCTAACTATAGATGTTTCTATTTTTACTACATGAAATGCTGACTTGCATGATTTTTGCTTTAAAAATCCAAGTATCATTTACCATTGTTAGGTTATTTGCCAATTACTGATTATCTTTTTTAAAAGGATATAATAAGAATAAGCAAACAGATCCTTGACTCTATGAAATGCTTATGTCAACACAGGTACAAACACAGAGAGAAAGGTGCAATCTTATCTGTACTGTCTATACGTTTATAGCACATGTATGATTTCTGCCCCCCTCCTGCTTTTTGCACACTTAGGATCTCAGTTTCCTAAACCCAGATGACAACAGTGAAAGCCCCGAATCCTAACTACTAGGCCACCAGGGAACTCACAGCACACACATGCTTTTCATTCTCAGTAGAGCATCTGCCTCAACCCTGGCGGAAAAACTTAGGCAACAGGCCACGTCTTCATTAACTATAGAGGGATTATTCTTGGCCAAAAACTTAAATGCAAAAACTCAGCTTGAAAATCAACCTACCAGTGTCTCTTAACACTTGCCTGAGGATCAATTCCCAAATAGAATTTTATCATCAACAATACTGAGATCTACATCCCTAGTGTATGCCTGGAATACACACCTGGTCTACGTGGGGTAGGTGGAGGTGGTCGTGAAGGTCTTGGAGGCCTAGAAGGTTTAAAACCGCCATTTGAGAGTGATGGAGAATTATTCCCATTGATCCTCCTATTTTCACCAGACCCTGCATCCTCAGGGTCATCTGATCCACTTGCGTTCGCTCTGGGTAAAAAGGCAGGGAAGGGAATAAGAATGTTCTTTAAATTTAACAGAAAACCAACAGGAAGACCACAACTTTTAGGAGCTTGAGAAAAGCTTCCTAATTTCTGGCCAGCCCTACCAAATATATAAACAGCTCTTAAGGCAGATGTACATACAGCTTCTCAGAGCACATCTAGAAATAGAGTAAGGAGTTACTCAAGGGTACAGAAATAGTTGGGACTATTCAGAATTGTAAGGTATGCTGGTTCAGATTTCAAATAACTCTTCAGAGGCCCCGCATAAGCAGAAACAGAGTCAAATTCTCAAAATTCCAAATGACTTAGAAAGGGCACTATTTTATCACAACCACAGATAACTTTGTCGTCATTTTCTTGGTTTTCATTATCTCTTTAATATATAGGTCTGGAACAAGGCTGACTGTTCCACAGCAGGAGAAGGAAGTACACTTACTTCCGAGGGCTACGTGCTCTCCTTCTACCCCAGAAAATGGTAAAATGTTCCAAGTGATCTAGGAGAGAGGTGTCCACAGACTTTTTTTAAAAGGAACTATCATTTCTTCAGAGCAATGACTTCAGTTGGAGAGAAAGAAAGGTGGGAGAACACTAACAGGAATGTCATATACAAAGTTACTACTGTTAATTAAATATAGCCAATTCCTTTTCCCAGGGGAATCACTGATTACAAGGCAGAGCATGAATTAGCTAGTTTGGAGATGATTCAGCTAAAGCTCTGATAACCTACTACCTGGTAACTGGAAACCACTACACTGCACTAATTCATACCCTGGACCTCGCGGCAATCCCAAATAAAATTTAATAGATTCAAGAAACCAAAACAGAGGCAGTACCATGTATTAAACCATCTTCACATTATGGTCCCCAGAAATCAAAGTATGATATTTGGACCAGAGGCAACACAATTCACAGGAGCCTGTTAGGAACACACAATCTTGGACTCCACTCCTGATGCATTATATCAGAGAGAGTGTTTCAACAAGATCTCCAGATGATCTGTGTGAACAGTAGGGCATGACACATACTGCTGTGGGCGTTCCTCAGATGCTTATTCTGAATAAATGGAAAAGCTCAGTAACAGGCAGTCAGCACCTGATTGGTGCTGACTGCCTGCAGGAAGACCGAGCAACCTTAGAACATGAACAGAATGCAGCAAAAGTCAGCTCTGACACTGCTTCCCTTCCCCTAGGTGATGAGTCTTAAACTCCTTTTGAGCTGTACACCTTTTTGAGACTGAGTATTGCCTCTCGATACTACTTTAAGATGGGAATGGGTGAATTTAATTCAGATGACCATTGTATCTACTAACATGGGCAAGAATCCCTTAGAAGAAATGAAGGAGCCCTCACAGTCAACAAGAGTTCAAAATGCAGTACCTGAATACAAGCTCTGAAACGACAGAACAATCTTGGTTCGTTTTCAAGACAAACCATTCAATAACACAGTAACCCAAGTCTATGCCCCAACCACTAATGACAAAGAAGTTGAACGGTTCTATGAAGACCTACAAGACTTTACAGAACACCAAAAAAAGACATCCTTTTTATCATAGGGTAGTGGAATGCAAGAGTAGGAACTTAAGAGATACCTGGAGTAACAAGCAAATTTGGCCTTAGAGTACAAAATGAAGCAAGGCAAAGGCTAACAGCATTTTGCCAAGATAATGCACTAGTCAGAGCAAACAACCTCTTCCAACAACACAAGAGATGACTCTACACGTGGACATCACCAGATGGTCAATACCAAAATCAGGCTGATTATATTCTTTGCAGCCACAGATGGAGAAGCTCTATACAGTCAGCAAAACAAGACTGGTAGCTGACTGTGGCTCAGATCATGAACGCCTTACTGCAAAATTCAGACTTAAATTGAAGAAAATAGGGAAAACCACTAGACCATTCAAGTATGACTTAAATCAACTCCCTATGATTATACACTGGAAATGACAAATAGATTCATGGGAGTAAATCTGATAGAGTACCTGAAGAACTATGGACAGAGGTTCGTGACATTGTACAGGAAGCAGTGATCAAGACCATCTCACCAAGAAAAAGAAATGCAAAAAGGCAAAATGCTTGTCTGAGGAGGCCTTACAAATAGTTGAGAAAAGAAGAGAAGCTAAAGGCAAAGGAGAAAAGGAAAGATACACCCATCTGAATGCAGAGTGCCAAAGAATAGCAAGGAGAGATAAGAAAGCCTTCCTCAGTGATCAATGCAAAGAAACAGAGGAAAATAATAGAATGGGAAAGACTAGAGAACTTTTCAAGAAAATTAGAGATACCAAGGGAATATTTCAAGCAAAAATGGGCACAATACACTGTTTATAATAGCCAGAACATGGAAGCAACCTAGATGCCCATCAGCAGACGAATGGATGAGGAAGCTGTGGTACATATACACCATGGAATATTACTCAGCCATTAAAAAGAATTCATTTGAATCAGTTCTAATGAGATGGATGAAACTGGAGCCCATTATACAGAGTGAAGTAAGCCAGAAAGATAAAGACCATTACAGTATACTAACACATATATATGGAATTTAGAAAGATGGTAACGATAACCCTATATGCAAAACAGAAAAAGAGACTCAGATGTATAGAACAGACTTGTGGACTCTGGGAGAAGGCGAGGGTGGGATGTTTCAAGAGAACAGCATAGAAACATGTATATTATCTAGGGTGAAACAGATCACCAGCCCAGGTTGGGTGCATGAGACAAGTGCTCGGGCCTGGTGCACTGGGAAGACCCAGAGGTATCGGGTGGAGAGGGAGGTGGGAGGGGGGACCGGGATGGGGGATACATGTAAATCCATGGCTAATTCATTTCAATGTATGACAAAAACCACTGCAATGATGTAAAGTAATTAGCCTCCAACTAATAAAAATAAATGAAAAAAAAAATAAAAAAAAGTGAAAAATTAAGTTCATCACATAAAAAAAAAAAAAAAATGGGCACAATAAAGGACAGAAGTGGTATGAACCTAACAGAAGCACAAGCCAGAAGTACACAAAAAAGTCTTAATGACCAGGAAAACCAAGAGGGTGTGACAGCTCACCTAGAGACAGACATCCTGGAATGTGAAGTCAAGTTGGCCTTAGGAAGCATCACTATGAACAAAGCTGGTGGACGTGACGGAATTCGAGCTGAGCTATTTGAAACTAAAAGATGATGCATTAAAGTGCTGCACACACTATATCAGCAAATTTGGAAAGCTCAGCAGTGGCCACAGGACTGGAAAAGGTCAGTTTTCCTTCCAATCCCAAAGAAGGGAAACACCAAAGACTGTTCAAACTACTACACAACTGCATTCATTACACACGCTAGCAAGGTAATGCTCAAAATCCTTCACGCTAGGTTTTAACTATACATGAACCAAGAACTTCCAGATATACAAGCTGGATTTAGAAAAGGCAGAGGAACCAGAGATCAAATTGCCAGCATCCACTGGATCATGGAAAAAGCAAGGGAATTCCAGAAAAACACCTAATTCTGCTTCACTGACTATGCTAAAGTCTCTGACTGTGTGGATCACAACAAACTGGAAAATTCCTAACGAGATGGGAATACCAGACCACCTTATCTGCCTCCTGAGAAATCTGTATGGAGGTCAAGAAGCATCAATTTGAACTGGACGTGGAACAACAGACTGGTTCAAAATTGGAAAAGGAGTACATCAAGGCTGTATATTGTCACCCTGCTTATTTAACTTATATACAGAGTACATCAAGTGAAATGCTGGGCTGGATGAAGCACAGGCTGGAATCAAGATTGCTGGGAGAAATATCAATAACCTCAGATATGCAGATGACACCACCCTTACGGCAGAAAGTGAAGAGGAACTAAAGGGCCTCTTAAAGAAGGTGAAAGAGGAGAGTGAAAAAGTTGGGTTAAAACAACATTCAAAAAACTAAGATCATGGCGTCTGGTCCCATCACTTCATGGCAAACAGATGGGGAAACAGCAGAAACAGTGACAGACTTTATTTTCTTGGTCTCCAAAATCACTACAGATGATGACTGCAGCCATGAAATTAAAAGACGTTTGCTCCCTGGAAGAAAAGTTATGACCAACATAGACAGCATATTAAAGGCAGAGACATTACTTTGGTGACAAAGTTCTGTATAGTCAAAGCTATGGTTTTTCTAGTAGTCATGTATGGATGTGAGAATTTCACCATAAAGAAGGCTGAGCACCAAAGAATTGATGCTTTCAAACTGTGGTGCTGGAGAAGACTCTTGAGAGTCCCTTGGACTGACAGGAGTCAATCCCAAAGGAAATCAACCCTGATATTCATTGGAAGGACTGATACTGAAGCTGAAACTGCAATACTTTGGCCACCTGATGTGAAGAGCTGACTTACTGGAAAAAGACTCTGATGCTGGAAAGATTGAGGGCAGGAGAAGGGGACGATGAGATGGTTGAATGGCATCACCAACTCAATGGACATGAGCTTGAGCAAACTCTGAGAGATAGTGAAGGACAGAGAAGCCTGGCATGCTGCAGTCCATGGGGTCGCAAAGAGTTGAACACAACTGAGTGATTGAACAACAACAATATACTATACAAAGTTGTTAGTGTGAACTTATCACCATTATAGTTGAAAAGCAATTAGTTACAAATTAAGTGCTACCATGGCTTTGCTCTCTGCCTCAGTCTTACAAGCTTGTTTCTCTCTCCATACATATTTACCTGATCTATTTGTATATGTAAGTTTAGATGTTTATGAACAAGATAAAGAACCCTGAGAACCCAGATGCTAATACAATAAAGTCATAATATACAAATCAATGATTAACAGTCAAGAAGGCACTTCGAAAAACAAAATCTTGAACACTAAGCATCAGTCACCTTGGTAATTCATAAAAGTGACAGAAGACAACACTGAGAAATATAAAATATCCAGACATGCTATGGGGGAAAGGAGACCAACAGGACTATGTTGATGATACATGCAGTGCTTGATTTAAACAAAAAAGCAAAAGAACCTAAAGCTGTTTAGCGAACTTCTTAAATGTCTGGCGGGGGAGGGAGGTTTTTGCCTTTTTCACTGGATACATGCCCAAGTGAAGAAGTCTGCAAACAAAAGCAAAGGGTTCACTGCCATGATTCCTGTATAGCAACATTTAAACAGCATGTGACAGTTTACAAAATGTTTTTCAAACCCATCATCTAAGAGGTATGCTCTTTGGAAAACGCTAATGCAAAGGAATTCATGCTTAACACAAAGACATGCTCAAAGATCAGTCTGGCAATCTCATAAACCCAGAAGACATTGTTCCTCGGGTTATTTGTGACAATGATTCACTTGGGAAAACATAAAGCATTAATTAAACAAATGGCATGAAGACAGGGCTCTAGGAATGCCTTTGCAAGAAATTTGAGTCTAGAGTGGTTTCATAAAGTATTTTAAGAAAGAATCACAAAAATGAAATACAGTGGCATAACAGAACCTTTCAACGCACTACAAAATTATATCACATTCTAATATAAAAGTATGGGTTTATTACGCAAAAGAGGACCAAAGAACATTGAACTATTAAAACATCTTTATGAGGGACATTTCATGACTTCAAAAAAAACTTCAAAAAAAATAAAAGACTAAAAGAAACACAAAAACATAGATGTCTCCCAGTCTACAGAGATAGTTATTAATTTTTAAAACCTTTTCTATCTTTAATCACAGTGAGAAAATTAGAGCCCAGCTTTCCTGGAAAAGGAAACAGTCCATCAAAGACCTTAGGATTCTAAACTTCCCTACTTTTGGGAAAGTGCCAATATATTCACATTCTATAAGCGGAAGAACTATTAGTGTTTGGGTACCTCTGGCCTACACTACAGAACTGCAGTCATATAAGCTAAGGCTCTTGAATTTTTCAGGAATACTTCCTTTCTTACCTAGAGCTCTGAAATTTGACACATTTTTATTATATTAATTTGAACTTGAAGTTTTGATGAAAATGAAATTTACTCATTCTCCCTGTTTCTTTCTGCATTCTGTGATATGTAATAAGTGAACTCTTACCTTGTTTCATCCTTGGGTCTGGAGCCATCATCATTCTGTGAAGCACCTTTAACAACATTAAGAGTTAGACAGAAAATGAATTTCAAGAAGTCGTATGCACCTTTTACCTAAAGATGCTTTGTAAACAAAACCTTTCATTGTATCTTTCTAGTAACAAACACTGGGTTTGATCCCTGGGTTGGGAAGATAATCCTGGAGGGGGGCATGGCAACCCATTCCAGTATTCTTGCCAGGAAAATCCCATGGACAGAGGAGCCTGGCAGGCTACAGTCCATGATGTCGTGAAGCATCGGAGATGACTGAAGAGACTGAGAATGCATGTAGTAAAGAACATGCTGGAATGGAGTTAAAGTCCAACATGATATTTAAAAGGAAAATAAAATAAATGTTCACATGACTGAGAAGTTTTATCAAAATTATGCAAATGATTATTTTTTGTCTGTGTGCAAATGATTATTTTGTATAAGAGATGGTAATGAGTCAAGGTATATTATTACTCATGTGCTACTTCTGCCTTGTTTCAAATGTCTTATTTACTTACTTATTTAGCTAGTCAGCTGCACCAGGTCTTAATTGCAGTACACGGGAATTTTGAAGATTTTCACTGTGGCATACAGGATCTCTAGTTGTGGCATACTAACTCTTAGTTGTGGCTTTGTTGCCCTGTGGTATGTGGGATCTAGTTCCCTGACCAAGGATCGAACCCGGGGCCTCCTCTACTGGGAGTGCAGAGTATTAGCCACTGAGCCACCAGAGAAGTCCCCATTTGCTTGATTCTAATTCAAATGTATTTTAGTCATCTTTTGTATTCCAACTACCTCCCCCTATAAGTGCTGATTATCAGCAGGATAATGATAAGATTTTGAAAACAGAAAAATCAGTAATATCTTTCTTATGCAAAGGCCCTGAAAATAGCTTCGAGAATAGGAAAAGAACAAATGGGTCTCAAAGTGGTCAAAACAAATGCTACAACACTCATACTTTCTTCAAGTTTTATTCATGAAACATCCTTAGGATTCAGTAAGGAACTGTGATAAGAGAGGGAGAGTACTATAGGTAGGCACACAGACTGCAGCAAAAGTAGCACACAGAGAAATTTAGAAAACTATAAAATGCAAAAAGAACAAGCTTAACAGCCTAGGTCCACTGAGTTAAAGAACAACAGTCCCTGAATACAGTCCCTACTTTCAAAGAGTGAAGTCATCACTATACTACTCCAAAGCATAATTGATGGATTACGTCATTAAAAAGATGCTGAGTCACCACTATATTATTAATATATCATACTCAGCAAGGTGGGCAAGTGTCTCAAGGTTTTATTTTAAAAAATGGTACAGGTGGATAGGTAAAATGTGAAACATCTATGCAATTTAAAACTATGCAGTAATAAAAAGCAACAGACTATTGAAACATGCTACAGCACTGATAAACCTGAAATGACATTATCTAGGCTAAGTGAAAGAAGCCTGACACAAAGACTACCTATTGTTATGATTCATTTATATGAATGTGTCAACTCTGAACCAGTATAACCAATTCAGAAATTTCTTTCTACCCTCATTAACCCCAAAGAACCAATCTGGAAGATATAACCAGGACTACTTTGAAGGTTCTGCTATTAAAAAAAGGTCATGAATTAGAAAGGAAGTAGGCAGTCTTCCAAGGTAGAAACAGAAGTATAACAGCACCTGATAACTGCAAAAATGCTTCATAATGCAGTTTCTAGGTAAACAGAAAGATCTGTCAGACTAATCAAGGAAACCATTAATCTGCACTTTGTCTCAAAAATCTGTGTTCCAGGTGAAAATACACCTATTAGAAAATAAGGGATGGAAATATCTAAAGGAAATCCACTGAGAAGTGGTTTTATTAAGCATGCTAGCTGCACAGGGACTAAGTCAGGTGCCAAACTTCTTTTAACTACATCTCATATTTATTCCCTTTAACACCAGTAAATCATAAACTGTAAAATACATCAACATAAAACAAATTGGTTTTGTCATTATTATAACTCAAAGACAGCTCAGTAAATGTAGCCTACAAAAAAGGAAGAGGAATAGCAAACGGTGCCAGCTTGTACTGGCTTGTCTGGTACAATGCTAAGGATTCTGAGTCAAATTTAAACTAAATCAGACACTGCTACAGACAGTAAACTATGTCTGCCACTGGCACTGGAGAAGGTGTAGCATCAAATGTGCCTTGTTAACTGCCATTCCTGACCTACAGAATGGCTACTTTATAAATCAATTTATCACTCTCAGAGACAACAGTGATTTGGCTTTTATTTGGCTAGCTTTTCAACTCTTAGTTCCTAATAGAAACAATGTACTAAAAGTTTAAAATGAAAAATGTCTCTTTATAAAATGGAAATAAAATAATTTCTTTATATGAAAAAGAATGGCAATAATTACAACATACTTAAGAAGAAAAGACCCTATATATTTCCCTGGTGATCCAGTGGCTAAGACTCTGTGTTCCCAATGCAGGGAGCCTGGGTTCAATCGCTAGTTAGGGGAACTAGATCCCACATGCCACAACTAAAGATCCTGCATGCCACAATGAAGATCAAAGATCCTGTGTGCTGCAGCTGGTACTCAGCACAGCCAAATAAATAAAAATGAATTTTTTAAAGTGATTCCTTACTTTCTGAACATGCAGTTTCACCATTGGCAACAACTTCAGACTCTAGTTGCAGCCCATCAAGACAGACTGACAAATCTCCTATTGTCTCCGTTGGTTCTTTGTCACCTACAAGCTGTAAAGTCACAACTACTTCCTCAACTGGAAGAGAATAAAATTATAGAAAACGGTCACTTTTTAAAAAAAAGTCATAAATGTTAAAAACATAACTGTCATAAAATTTACATTTATATGTATACATATTGTTTTAATATACCTCACCCAAGGTTTCAGGCCTTTTCATGCCAAAAACATTTAAAAAATAGAACAAAATTTCCTAGTGCTTAATATCCACAATGTAAGATACTAAATGGGGCTTCCCAGGTAGCTCAGTGAGTGGTAAACTATCCACCTGCCAATGCAGGAGACGTGATTTTGATCCCTGCATCGGGAAGATCCCCTGGAAAAGGAAATGGCAACTCACTCCGGTATTCTTTCCTGGGAAATGCCATGGAGCGAGGAGCCAGGCAGGCTATAGTCCATGAGATCACAAGAGAGTTGGACACACCTTAGTAACTAAACAACAAACAAAAACACTAACTAGCTCAATCATCTCACTTATTATATTCATTCTCTTCTTCAAAATGAGCCAGCAGGACAACTAAGATTACTCAGCAAGGTATGTCTGAATTATATGGAGTGAAAACATAATTTAAGAATGAATTTTTGTCTTATAAATCCTAAATGAAAAATAAAATTCTTAGAAGTATGCTTTAGATACTCAAGGGATTAGAAGTCTGTTTTAAAATCATAATATATTAATTAAAATAAGCATGTTTCAAGTTTTCAATGTATTTGTAGATATCGAGAGAGATATACACATATATAAATAAAACCATCTAAAACAAAATTATCTCTGCTCTATTTCTTTTCCATAATTGAGTATAGCCTTCAATAAATACCTATCTACTATTTATTTAAAATACTGGATCCAAAATGAATGGCCAAACGGTATTAAGAACGCATTAAATAGTTCAAGCTTTATCTCTCTACTAATGTTACAACCATGTAAACTTAAAAACAAACAGTGAATAGTCTTTTTCTCCACATTTGACACATGAATTTCTTGCAAAATAACAAAAGCTGAGCTTATTCTTATTTTCACATACATACGTTTCATATTGTTTGACTTTAACGTTTCATAGATATCCAATCCAGCAGTTCCCAACAAAACATCAGATTTCAGTGTCTGGTGACTCCACACACGAAAATGTAATTTACTCACAGGGGTGACAATACTACAAATGAAAAAAAAAGGTGAAAAAAGTATTTCCTTTACTATCACAATGGAATTCTAAATAAATTCAATTAAAATCTCACTGCGTATCTTACAGTTTACAACCAATATTGCCTGTATTCTATAATCTTATGAAAAACATATCTGAATGCTACAGGTTTGCACGGTCATCTTCACACACTGCTGACTTATAGGGATGATTACATGTATGTATTATCAACAAAAGTAAAAGTGTTCATCATGCTACAAACTTTTGAAAAATAACTTTACTTTAGTAGTACAAAAAGCTGAAGCTCCAATACTTTGGCCACCTGGTGTGAAGAACTGACTCATCAGAAAAGACCCTGATGCTGGGAAAGATTGAAGGCAGGAGGAGAAGGGGACAACAGAGCATGAGATGGTTGGATGGCATCACTAATGCAATGGACTTGAGTTTGAGCAAGCTCTGAGAGTTGGTGATAGACACGGAGGCCTGGCATGCTGCAGTTCATAGGGTCACAAAGAGTCACACACGACTGAGAGACTGAAAAGAACTGAGTACAAAAAAGTGATTTCTACAAAAAATTAAATTCTTATTTTATGTCAGGTAGTGTGTTGAGCTTAGAATTATTTCATTCAACCTTCAGAGTAACCCTGAGGTGAAAATACCACTTTCATCTTCACATACAGAAGCTGATACTCAGAGAGAATAAGCAAATTGCCGAATATCACACAGCCAGTTGGTGACGGACTGTAATCTGAACAAAAATCTGTCATTAAAATTTGTATTAAGAATGTTCTCAGTCAGCTACTTAAGGATTTCAGGATTATATTACCCCATGTTTCACACTGCTAGAGGCAAAGTGTTCAGGACAAGTGTCAAATAAGGCCATACCTTGCTAAATGCCAATACAGAATAGAAATTTGAGTTTGCAATAAACTGTATAAAAACTATCTCAATTAGAAAAACAGAACACTATATAACCTATGATAGTCCTGTGGTTCAAGGCTGTAAGACTTTTCTGACAAGGGACAGGACTCCTACCCCTGCAGTGCAAGTGCAGAGTCCTAACCACTAGACCACCAAGGAATTCCCAGTGGCAGATATTGTAACCAAACTAAGAAACTTTCACCTAATCATTGCCCCTTTTTGGTACAATGTATTCATTCTCTTTCAAAACTTTCAGATGTTACTTTCAGGAGAACATATATTAAATATTAAGAGAACAATTCTCTGTTAGTCATCTGGGTAATCACAATGGGGATGGAATAAAAGTTAATAAATTTAATTTACTTTGAAAGATAAACTCTGCCATCAACGATGGTCTACTCTAAATTATTTCAATTCAATTCTTGAGACAAGTATGGAAAGCATGCTACCTAACGATGGAAGCTGTGTTAAAATTGCAGGCCAATCTCCTGTAACTTATAAATTCAGAAGAACTTGAACTAAGTGTTCCCCTCCAAATTTCCAGGTTGAAAAGCACTACCATTTAGGGATACAAGGAGAGCTTTTTTTCTTAACTTTTAAACCAGTTAAGTTCATGTTGCTATCAGCTCAAGAGCCTGAAAGTATATTTGTAGTGAGCACAGATAGCAGTTGGTAGAAAATAGATGAGTATTCAGCCTATTATTCTGAACATCTCCAGTCATTATTGGAGCCTGTGGCCTTTTGAAGATTTGTTTTTTAAATAAATGTTACTCACGCAGTTTAATCTAGATCAAATCTCTAATGGGACACTAATTAAAAATGAAGTCTAAGAAACATTAATGTTGAAATAAATACAGATGAGAAACATTAGAATGATACTTCTGAAAATAGGTCTCAGGATGATCTTTGGAAGATTCTTAAGTTCCATTTATTTGTTCAAAATCATTATTAAATACAACAAAGATGCCATAGAACTTAAAAAATCCATGTTAAAGATTAATGTAGGTATATCCAATTTGTTTTGTCATTAGAAATACTGCTCACAGAGGCATGTATCATGTGAAAAGAAGAGCTTATCATTTCAGATGTCTCATCTCACCATTTAAAAATAAAACATTTTTAGTCACAGGTTTGTTTTTCTAAGAGAAAAAAATGAAGAATTTCAAATGTTAGGGAATGAAAGCAATTTGTCTACATTTGATAAAATAACAACTGGTTATATTTTGAACTATGCTTTAATATATAACATACTGTATTATTTTAAAAATATAACATACTGTATTATTTTAAAATCTATTTGTTGATAAATCATATATTTTCTTCCATTTTAGGAGAAAAAGTTTAAAAATTAACCTATAATTCCCTTCAACCAATTATGCTTTTCTTACCAACATTTAGGGCTTTGTCAATTAGTGCTGAAATTGAGCTATATCCCACCTCTATGAATTTAAATGATAGATAAAAACACCAATGCAAAGACATATGCACAGGAATGTATACTGCACTAACAGCACAACATTAGAAATCAACTGAATAGGGAACTAGTAAAATTAATAACAGTCCATCCATATTAAAGAGTATTATGTAGTTATATTAGAGATGTTAAGACCTGTACGTACTCAGAAAAAAAAGATATATGTTTAATATAAAAATAGAGTGATAGAACAAAATGTATAATTTTTTTAAAGAAAAAAAAAGTGGTAGGTTTTGTGTGGGCACTGTAGTTTTTAAAAACACAAAATTTAAATTTTAAATTTTAAATTTAAAATAAAAAATAAGAAAAAATGAAGTGAGTTCCTGATATCCCTCTATTTCCAACCTAAATTAAGGAAAGAGCTGCTAATATTTCTGGGCCCATAACCCTGGGATCTTTCAGCTACTATTTAGTGGCAACAGAGATACCATCAACAACTAAATGAGAATGCAATGAAAAGGAGAAACTGGGAAAACAAATAATTAAAGAGAAACGAGACTAAAAGAACAAGGGGACTAAAATTAAGAGGGGGGAAGAACAAAAAAAAGTGAAAAACTTTCTAAAAGCTGCATTTCTGCTGACCTATTAAACAAAATATACCACAGAAAATACTTTCAAACCTACACTGTAAGAGGCTGCTTCCATTTGGGACTGTTCGTATTGTTGCATTTTTCTGTCTTCTTTGACTGTCCATCTACTGTGACTTCCACATAAGGACTTGGCCCAAACCAATTCTTTTTATTTTCTTTAAGCTTTGCTGAAATGACTAAATAAAAGAGAAAATATTTCAGTATTCGAGATGTTAGTCCATCCTTCAAATCAATTTAATTTCATAAAGATTAAACAGAGCATTATTTTTACTTGAGAAGCAAAGCAGTTTGCTCTAAAATAGTCACAAATTTTATTCACTTATGACCTGTGTATTTCTTACCATCTTATTAAAAACTATAGGACTTCCTCACACCACCCACCCAAATTCCCATCAGTAGGATCACAAGTCCCAGAAATCTTGAGGTCAATTAAAAAGTACATTGACAAACTTGGTAAACAAATATGTGAATGCCTACCATCTATCTGATATTATTGCTCTAAACTCTGGACAGAACAGTTTAAAATTAGAGATAAGTCCTTGGGATGAAAAAACAGCCTAAGGTGGCAGAACATGACTTGGTAGTAAAGAAGTTTTCCAAGGATACAGTACTTTTAAGCAACCATCTAAATGACAAGGAGCTATCCATGTCAAGATCAAAGGTAGAAAGAAGGGAACGTTAAGAAAGAGGTACAAAAGCTTTGATCTAAGAAAAGTAGAGCAAACAGAGAAAAATGGTAAATAAGGTGAGATCACCTTGTCTATGCAAGCTAAGACAAGGAATTTGGATTTTATTCTAAGCATGCTAGAAAGCCACTGAAGGAAGAGTTACAAACTAAGATTATGTCTAACATCTCATACATCTCTCATTACCTTAGCAAGAGCTTCTTACATCCCAAGCCTGAGTTAGTCATAAAACATAAAGCAGCCTTGTCCCAGCCTTGTGTGGAAGGAAGGCACCAAGAGTAGATCTGAATTTAGAACACCCCACAGCTCCCACAGGAGACAACTCACTGATCCCCTATAAATGGGATGACCACAACCAAGGAACTAATTTTACTACCTGGATATCTACTCTAACAGCTAAATTCAGAGATGCCAGTGCCTATCAAGACTAACAGGCCCTTGCGAGTTGCTAGGAAAGTTTATATAGGAGCTACCCAAGAAGTGCAATATACAGTCCAACACACGGACAATCTGGGTACTCCAGCAGGCACAGTCCTAAGTGGTGGCCCTGAATCTCCCAACTTCACTTTGATCTAATATTTTACTTCTGTCCTTTTATGCTTAAGAGGCTGCTAGAGCCATCTAAGAGACAGTAGATTAGATTAGGGTGGTGAACATGGATATGGGGAGGAATAAATATTTTCTAGTGAGAATCAACAGGATTAGATTACATTAGTGAGCTATGGAAAAGCAGCAAGGATATCTCCTGTGTTTCTGGCATAAGTAACTGGATAGAAGGTGGTATCACTGAATAAGATGGAAAAGCTCTAGGAAAGAACAAGTTTGAGGAGGGTGGCATGGGCAGGAAGTGTATTATAATGAATGTATAAACTTGAGATGCTCGTGAGACATCAAAGTGGAAACAATAAGTAAATGTCTTTTTCAGAACAGAAAATGCTCAAATGGGGGTCAGACCTATCTCTGACTAATAGGTACTATAAAGCCCTACTACTTAATACAAAACCTAATTTAATCACAGGATTGCCCCAGAAAAATCCCTATTTTTAATACATTTGTGGTCTGAGAAAAGGTAAAACAGCCCATACAATCATGCCTAAGTTCATTTTGTTTCAGGGGCTCTTGTGATCCTCTTAAACTGATTAAGCCTAGAACAAAGAGCAATGCAGCTATCCTGAGTGGCTTTTTAGGATTCAAACTTTTGAAAGCTGTTTACCACATAATCCCACTCAACTCCACTAGAGCCATTTTAGGAAACTTTAAATGGGAAAACAAAAAGAGTAAAGGAAACTAACACCAACTGTTAGTGTTTTACTGTGTCTGGCACCTAAATATTATCATTTTGACTCTCACGACTATTCTGCAAGACAGGTATTATCATCTTAATTTTTACACATAAAAAAAGAACAAGATCAATAGAATTTAAAAGTTTTATCCAATGGTCACAGCAAAGCTTGGACAGGAGAATTATGTTAAGTGTTCAAATCTCAAAGTTTAGATTGCACAAAACTTTCATTACAGTCCTAATATTGTAAAATAGATCAATGTACTACTTCCTAAAATTTAAATTCCCAAGGTAAATTAAAAGACTATGAATTATAAACTAGAAGAAAATGAATCAGAAAAATGTCAGTATCAACTGTCACCTGGGCTACACCTAAAGGCCTCTAACAACTATTTTTACTTTCACTTCTCCAGTCCAATTCCTCATAGCTACTAGAATTGTTCCTAGAACAGATGTGACCATGTCAATACTTTTCAATGATTCTCTAACGCCTGAAAAATGAAGTTTAAATTCTCCTGGGGCATTTAACATTGCTTACTATGTACTTTTATAGCCCCTTCCTGTACAAAATCCCACACAGGCCCCTGGTGTTCTGACCACTCTTACCTGTTTGCTGTCCCTCACAAGGGCCATGCACTTTGATGGCTCATATGTGCTACTCCTCTCCACTCATAATGATCCTTTTTCCTTTTCATCCAACCCAATTCTACTTCCTGAGATGTCTTTAATCCCTTCTCTTTGAAGGGTTCTTTAAATCTAACAAGTCAAAAGTGTTCTATGCTTGCACAGCATTTTCTTATTTATATATGGCTCCTATTGCTTTTCATTCAGTCTTAGTTCTTAGTAGGTTTATTAGTTTTTACTTATTTAACTCAACCTGCAATCCCCTTCATGGCAAGGTGATAGCAAGTGTGTATATTTAATAACTTCCTCTCCAATATGAAATAAAAGTTTTGACAATTTAAATATAAAAGTAAAAATAAGTAAGTAAATGTAAAGAAAGTAAAAGTGAATCCTTGGCTTATTCAACTTATTTTGGGAATCAGAAGGCTGTAAGGAACAAAGTAAAACAAATAAGGGTGCTGAGATGAAGTTATGATTAGCAAATATGATGAACTGATAAGAGATAAAACCAGTTATGCAAGGATTACCCTCTGTGGTCAGAAGTCATGAGAGGCCACAAGAGGCCTCTTTAGCAGAACTATGGCTTGTCTGGGCAGAACTGGATATAAACTCTTGACTTTAAATTTAAAGTATGAAGGACCCTCCTGGTCTCTAAGCATTGGGAGCTAAATATATGGTATTCTAGTAAATCTGGAAAAATACAGTAATGTTTAATTTCAATTTGTAAGAACTGAAATAAGATGGTTTCTCTTCCTCAAATGATGAGCTCTGAGTAAGGACTAAGACTAAGAAATTTCTAGGAAATACCAAAGTACTTATTCTGCCCATGTAAGTATAATGCTAGCATACAGCAAGCATCAAAACACAGATAAGCTCAGTATAATAGCTGAAGTTAGGTGCAGAACATAATTAAACAGGAAATGGCTAAAGACAGGGAAGGATGTAACAAAACAGACTTATGTCCAAGGTAAAGGAACCAGGCCACAGAATTAGAGATAAAGAATAAAGAAAGATCCGGAAATCAACTTATTCTGGTAATTGGAAGGCTATAAGGAACAAGGTTAAAACAAACAAGGGTGCCGAGATCAAGTTATGATTAGCAATACGATGAACGCTCAGAAACATTTGAGAATAAGTAGGTATTTCTGATCTACTGCTATAATTTTTGTAACCATCTGATAAATTACAAAAGGATCTGCCCAACACAAGGATCAATACAGGTACATTCAATACCCAACAAAAGTGTTAAGAGATCACTTCAATGCCAACAGCAGTTCCCAAGGGGATGCCTCATATAGTACCTTGATCAATGAAAGCGTAACACAAAAGACCACCTTTCTACTCCAGTTCAAACTGGAATAGCAAAATGGCTATTCATGTTATTTCTATAAATTAAGAGTCAAATCATAGAAAGTGTGACTAATGAACTGGCATGATTTTAAAGTTTAAGGTGTAAAAGCGTAAGGATTAGACATCAAGAAATAATTACAATTAAATTTAGTGAACATTCATCATCTCATATAGATACAAAATTAAAGAAATAGAAAAGGAATTTTTTTCCTTGTGAGAACTCAATCACTTGTGATGAGGTATACTTTATTTTATGTAAATTCTGAAAAAGAAAAGCAAGGCTGCCTTTCCCTTGATGTTCCTATTAAGAATTATGTGAAAGTAAAACACATCAAGTTCTCTAAACAATCTATTTATCAACATAGTATCAATTTATGAATTAATTTTTTAAAACTCCTGCTACAACTTATACAAGTTTTTATTAAAACTTATTATAAGGTGTCATTTCTCTGAAATAAATTTTCTACTTGCCCTCATCTGGTAAGGAAAAGCAATTAGCAAATGTATATACTGCAAACAAATTATGCATGTACGCATGTAATACATGCATGACAGAAAGAGTTAAAGACATAAATTTGAGCAGAACCACAGAGTAACATTTTAACTTTTGACACTAAATTTCCCCATCAGTCTTTCACAGCAACTTTCTAAAACACCAATCCAGTTTACTGCTCTTTGTTAAAAACTCTGGTTACTTCCCATCTCCCTTAGCAATGATCTTTTTTTTTTGGCAGCCTTGACTCAAGTGAAGGAGATGACCCATTTCCATGAATTCTCACAGGTCCCTGCTCTGCAGCAGTGGCTTTTAGGGATGTTGAGGGAAGCCTTGGCATTTCCCTCCTTCACGCCATTTGCTCTGTCATGGTCATTCCTGAAAGATCCTTTTATACCTTTCTATTTTTTAAATACTAGCAATGTTTCAAGTACCACTTTCTTTCACAGCTGCTGCTACTGCTAAGTCACTTCAGTCGTGTCCGACTCTGTGCGACCCCATAAACAGCAGCCCACCAGGCTCTCCCATCCCTGGGATTCTCCAGGCAAGAGCACTGGAGTGGGTTGCCATTTCCTTCTCCAATGCATGAAAGTGAAAAATGAAAGTGAAGTCGCTCAGTCGTTTCCGACTCTTAGCGACCCCATGGACTGCAGCCTATCAGGCTCCTCCGTCCATGGGATTTTCCAGGCAAGAGTACTGCACATAGCAGCAACTCTAGTCAAATACTACCCCTTTTTCCTGACCAAAGTCATTATCTCTTGCCACTACCATATACCATGGCATATATTTTACACTTGCATATTTATGCCTTTCTTGAATTTTAGAAGTGTTGAGGCAGCTTACCAAAATAAAATAAAAAACAAAAAATTCAAATACTGTAGCTAATCCATTAACACAGAATAAAAAATACAATGTCAATTAAAGTGACTTGTGGGAAAGAACTTTGTTCTGAGGTTTCTAGCACAAAAAGCAAATAGTGAATTACAAAGGACACTTGATTCCAGTCAACTTGGCACTCTACTGTTTATTATCTGACATTCTCCATATCTGCCATATCTAATGACGTCTTTGCTAAATATATAACTTTTATCCATAATTCAAGGTGCCTGTTTTTGTTAAAAATGCTTTTGCCCTATACTTGTACATTCTCAGAATTTTTAGACTCAACATTAAAAGCTTATAAATGGCTAAAATTATGTCTTCTTGAGGTGCATTTAGGCACTAAGTGTTTTTCTTCCCATGACAGTCACAATAGCAAATAAGATAGCTAGCTTATGCAAAGAAAAGTTGAAAGGAATATAACTTAAATCTGGTTGCTCAGATGGTAAAGAGTCTGCCCGCAATGCAGGAGACCCAGCCAGGTTCCCAGCCTGGGGTCAGGAAGATCCCCTGGAGAAGGGAATGACTACCCACTCCAGTATTCTTGCCTGGAGAATTCCATAAATTAAGGAGCCTGGTGGGCTACAGTCCATGGGACCACAAAGAGTCGGACACAACTGAGCGACTAACACTTTCATTTTTTCTTTCCTCACGTTACTATTTTAAATTGCTAACTTTTTAAAAATAAAAAGCCTGTATATTGCTTACATAACTTGAAAAGCTGACACTATTAAATCCTCTAAATCAAAAATTTTAACATAAGCTGTCTAGTAAAGAAAGTCTTAAGAAGCCTGGCCCAATGTAAAACAGCTACTCAGATTAGACTGAAGATGGAGAGAAAGTGAAAGTGTTAGTTGCTCAGTCGTGTCTGATTCTTTGCGATCCCATGGACTGCAGCCCTCCAGACTCTTCTGTCCACGAAATTCTCCAGGCAAGAATACTAGAGTGGGTAGCCATTCCCTTCTCCAAAGGATTTTCCTGACCCAGGCATTGAACCTGGGTCCCCTGCAATGCAGGCAGATTCTTTACCATCTGAGTCATCAGGGATGGGGAAGGGAGAAACAACTAGAATCTGGCTTTGGCAAAGAAATATTAGAATCTTTCATTGAAAATCAGACATCACTAAGAAAAGAGACTGGAGTCAGTGAGATTCCCAAGAATAAATTCTAGCATGCTTTCAACTTAAGAAGGTGTTACTTTTATATAATTCAAATACTTTTAGGTTTCAAGAAAGATAAGAATAATACAGTTTATAACTTTTTATTCATAATCTAGAGGTGGATGTAAGCCAGGTACAGTATTAACAGAAACTAATATAAGCAATAAATACCATTAAATTAAAAGGAGAGAGACTAAGTTTCCATTGTGTGATAAGACACATGCTAGTCTAAAGAAAACTGAGTGCCTCACTTTGGCTAGTACAAATGGTTTCTATAAAAAGACCCTACAAAGAAATCATATGGAGTCTGACTGTGAAAGGTCATATGGAGTCTGACTGTGAAAGGTCTTAGCCCAGTTTTAAAGAAATTCACTAACATAGCCAAGGAGAAGCACTGAAGGTTTTTGAGCAGGTACAAATCAGGTGGTATTTTAAGAAACATTAATCTGAAAGTGATCCACATGGTTAGTACAGTTAGAGGAAAAAAACAGGTATTAGGAAAGTAATAAGAGCAACCAAAAAATTTTAATAGGCATTTCTCAAAAAAAAAGATATACAAATGGCTAGTAATAAGCACATGAAAAAAATGCTCATCATTAACTGTCAAGAGAAATGAACTCAAACCCTTGAGATACTATGTCACATCCATTACAATTCTCTAACCAAAAACATAAACATTGCAAGGATGCTTACAAAACTGTAACCCTCATACATGACTGGTGGGAATACAAATTGCCCTGGATGCTTTGAAAATTAATTTGGAATTCCTCACAATGCTAAATGTGGATATTACATGACCCAGTCGCTCTACTCCCAGGAACACAAGAAAACTGAAAACATACAACTTCACACAGTTATACACAAATGTTCATAGCATTATTCATAATAGCCAAAAAGTGGAACCAACCCAACACCCATCAATTGATAAATGGATCAAGTATTTCCACAAATGGAATAGTATTTGGCAATAAAAAGAAATTAAATACTAATGCATGCTACAACAGGGATGAATCTTGAAAACAATATAAGTGAGAAAAGTCAAGAGACAAAGGCCACACATTTTATGACTCTATTTGTATGAGACCAATGTAGGCAAAGCTATAGACAGAAAAATAATTAAGCTAGGGCTGAAGGTGGCTGGGGAATAGGGGCAGGGGTTTCTTTCTGGAGTGGTGAAAATGTTCTAAAATTGACTGGTGATGGTTGCACAACTCTGAGAATGTATTAACAATCACTGACCTCTAAATGAGTAAACTGAATAGTATGTGAATTAGCTCTCAACAAAGCTTAAAAAATCCAAATCAAAACAAAAAACAATAGCAACTGCCCAAGCATGTTTAATAAACAAACCCAAATCTTATACCATACCCAATAACAACCTGAAATTAAAATGTTATCTTTACATATCTAAACATTATGTTCATTTATTCATTCAGCAAATACTAATTCAACACCTGATATGTAACAGCCACTAAAGGTTTTCTTCTCAGAAGATTTTTTATTGATGGTGAAAGTGAAGTGAAAGTCGCTCAGTCGTGTCCGACTCTTTGCGACTCCATGGACTATACAGCCCATGGAAATTCTCCAGGCCAGAATACTGGAGTGTGCGGGGTGGGCGGGGACGCCACAAAGAGAATGAGGGAAGTAATGCAGTAGATCTTTTTAAGACTTACCAGTAATCTGAAGTTGTGATTTCATGGTCAAACTACCCATTGAACCAAGCTGTGATCCACTGTCAGACATATCACCAACAGGAAGGCAAACCTGAACAGGGCAAAGGAAACACTGTAAACATCAAAAATTCCTACTTGAAAAATATGTAAATAATGCTAACCAGGCCATTTCCACGTCCCATTGAAGACCACAAAATAACCACTGGCCTTCACGCTGCTAAAATTCTAGTATCCATGCTGCACTAAACTATCAGCAAAATCTGAAATGGTTGAATTTCTTTCTTCCATGGTTTACTTTCTTCTTTTAGTTCCCAAGACACATTCTCGAGGTTCATGCCCTACCTTACTGATTATTCCTTCTTAGTCTTCTTTGATGATTCCTTCTGGTCTCTCTACCCTCTTAATACTGGAATGTCCTAGGGCTCAGTTATTGGTTCCCTTTTCTCTCATATCTTCATACTCATTTCCTCAAGGATATCATCCAGTGTTATGGCTTTAAATATCATCTATATACCAACAAGTCCCAACTTTATATTTCTATCCCAGATTTCACTCCTGAATTATAAACAGCAACTCCATTCAGGTATCCAAAAGACATTTTAAACTAACACATCAAAAACGGAACCCCTGATGTCCTCTGTAAACTATCTCAGTCGAAGGCAATTTCATCCTTTCAGATGCTCAAGCTAAAAACTATGGAGTTATTCTTGACTCCTTTGTTCATATGTCCCTTCCCACCTGCTGACAAATTCTTATGTCTCTATCTGCAAAATATACCTAGAATCCAGCCATTTCTCACCACCTCTATCATCAATCTGTTCATAGCCACCTGACAGCTATCTTCTTCCTATATTATGACCCTCTCCTAGATTAACCTAAAGTGACTGTACAGTCCATGGAATTCTCCAGGCCAGAATACTGGAGTGGATAGCCTTCCCCTTCTCCAGACGGTCTTCCCAACCCAGGGATCGAACCCAGGTCTCCCGCACTGCAGGCAGATTCTTTACCAGCTGGAGTCACAAGGGAAACCCAGAAGGTCTCCTTTTTTCCATCCTTGTCCAGCCTCAGTACCTATTCTTAACACAACCTGGATGATTTTAAGATGTTAAAAAGTTCTTCAAATCTTCCCATTTTACTCAAGAGTGAAAGACCCTGGATGATACATGCTTCCACTGCTCTCTACCTCCTGATCTTATTTCCCCTCTACTTTCCACCCCTACTCAGGCACCTACCTGTTATTTTTCAAACATGCCAGCACATTCTTGCCTTGAGACCTTTGTTCTACTTGTTTTCTTCACAATATTAACAGTCTGTTCCACCTATCCTGATCATTTTTTTTTCTTCTACAGACAATGTAATTTTTTGGCATACTAAGTAACTGACTTGGTTATTATGTTTATTGGTTTTAACTCTCTGGGCTAGAATATAAACTCCATGTGAGCAGGAATCATTTTTTTGGTTCACTGATAAAACCCAGAATCTCAAAACAGTGCCTGACACATTGCAAACACTTAAACATCTGATCTGTGAAATGAACAAAGATGGCTCCTGAATTATACTAAAATGAACAGCCCTAACAGTCCATAGTCTCAGAAGAGTTAATCCTCATATGTGGTAAGGACATGATCTATGTAACAGAGATTTTATAACAAAATCAGGACACTTGGGCTTGATTCCTGGTTACAACACTTAGTGTATGATACTATTTGAGTTATGTAACCTCTCTAGGTCTCAGTTTCCTGTCAGAGATATGGGGATAACACCATCTCTACCTCACAAGGTTGTTGAAAGACTGAATGATTATGTATGTGGGGGGAAAATGCTATGAATGTTTATTATTCATACTGTTAGAATTTAACTAAATGTGTTTTTAAAATAAAATGTTCTTAGGCTTTTGGGGACTTGATAAAATATCAGGAATATTTTGAGTGGGTCAAAGATTAAAGTAAAATTTACTTAAGCACTCGCTATCTGCCAGGTCCTATGTAAGAAATACATAAATACAATAAGGCAAACAAAGCAACCTGAAACTGTAAACATGTCTACAGTATTCATACAAAACTAAGCTTCCATTCCCTGGTGGTCCAGGGGTTAGGACCAATTGCAATGCAGGGGGCAAGAGTTCGATCCCTAGTCAGGGAACAGAATCCCATATGCTGAGGAGACAGGGAGGGAGGGACAGACAGATATAGGGAAGAAGGAAAAAGAATATGTTTGAGGCTAAAATTCTGGCGACCTTAACTCAAATGACTAGCTCATTCCTTTGGCTTGGTCTGTTTATTTTTTTCCTTCACTTTCTATGTCTACTTAAATTGCACCATTTCGGATGTTTTATACAATTTACTAAAAGGGCCATTTTATTTTAAATACAGAAGGCATACATCATAAATAAAGCCATTAGTAGTCACCCAGAATATAAAGGCACTGAGGTGTACCATAAAAGTCAACAGAGCATTGCACAGGATATTCTTCTGATTCAAACTGCTTGTTACAGAAAGAGTCCTCAAAGACATCATTACCACATTATGTATAGTTATTACCATCTCCTCAATACCAAAAAGACTGTCACAGAATTATGACATTAAGATAAGGATATTAAGAGGCAGTGAGAAAAGTCCAACATCTGGATGCTGATTTATTTTACGCATGATAAAGTATTATTCTAGCTGCTGATCTATAGCAACAGTTTATTGCTGGGAAAATACCCTCTTAAATAGTATAGATTATTCTAAATTAACATTATAAAGTTGCAAAGAAAATAAATTCAAAATTATAATAAAATGTATTTAAAAAACACAATTTCATGTAAAGAAGACTAATGAAAGTACAGACTAAAATTATTTTTAGAAACAGTAGTTCTCTCCAGATAATTACAGAAAATCATTGTGATAGAACTGAGATGCTTTGCAAAAACATGCTGATAATTTTAATAATGTATGTTCTAGTTCACGTTAGTTCCATATAATCAAAATTATTTATTTTAAATCTCTAAGAATAAAAAAAACACACCACTTGTATAATAGTAAAGAAAAATTATAGAAACCTTAGTATTAACTGGCACCCAGTTAAATAATCACAAATTCATACCACAGAAAACTATGCAACAATTAGAACAACTTACTAGTAACTGAAATGGAAAGATTTCAAGAACATTTAAGTTACAGAATATATATAATGTAATATTTTTGCAAATAAAAAACAAAATGCATATCCCTATGAAAGTGAAAGGAAAGTGAAGTCGCTCAGTCGTGTCCAACTCTTTGTGACCCCGTGGACTGTAGCCTACCAGGCTCCTCCCTCTATGGGATTCTCCAGGCAAGAATACTGTAGTGGGTTGCCATTTCCTTCTCCAGGGGATCTTCCCAACTCAGGGATCGAACCCGAGTCTCCTGCATCGCAGGCATACGCTTTAACCTCTGAGCAACCAGGGAAGCCTATCCTCCCTATAGGTAAATATAAACAAAGGCAGAAAAAGTATCCATCCCAAACTGGTAATAGTGGCTACCCTCCTGTGTACTAAAGAAGGAAGTCATGGGGAACTTGTGGTTTTATATGTATAATTTGAGTTTAAAAAGAAAATATATATCATACTTGTACAATTTGAAAGATACCTCAAGACTAAGTAGACAGAGAATCTACACTTCAAAAACCATCTTCTCCCCTGAGCTCCAGACTCCTAGATCTAACCTTTACAACTGTCTGCATTATTAAAATGACTAAGGTGAAATTCTGCCTGGCTCAATAGCAGCACCATTCACCCAGTTGCTCAAGCCAAAGCTATGAGCATTAAATCTTTCCCTCTAGTTGTAAAGATTTTATCTGCAAAATATACCCTACTATAATTCTTAAAGAGATGGGAATACCAAACCATCTGATCTGTCTCTTGAGAAACCTGTATGCAGGTCAGGAAGCAACAGTTAGAACTGGACATGGAACAACAGACTGGTTCCAAATAGGAAAAGGAGTACATCAAGGCTGTATATTGTCATCCTGCTTACTTAACTTATATGCAGAGTACATCATGAGAAACACTAGGCTGGAAGAAGCACAAGCTGGAATCAAGATTGCCAGGAGAAATATCAATAACTTCAGATATACAGACGATACCACCCTTATGGGAGAATGTGAGAAGGAACTAAAAAGCCTCTTGATGAAAGTGAAAGAGGAGAGTGAAAAAGTTGGCTTAAAGCTCAACATTCAGAAAACTAAGACCATGGCATCTGGTCCCATCACTTCATCAGAAATAGATGGGGAGACAGTGTAAACAGTGTCAGGCTTTATTTTGGGGGCTCCAGAATCACTGCAGATGGTGACTGCAGCCATGAAATTAAAAGACGCTTACTCCTTGGAAAGTTATGACCAACCTAGATAGCATATTTAAAAGCAGAGACACAAAAAAATAAAAAATAAATAAATAAATAAAAGCAGAAACACTACTTTACCAACAAAGATCCGTCTAGTCGAGGCTATGGTTTTTCCAATAGTCATGTATGGATGTGAGAGTTGGATGGTGAAGAAAGCTGAGTGCCGAAGAATTGATGCTTTTGAACTGTAGTGTTGGAGAAGACTTGAGAGTCCCTTGGACTGCAAGGAGATACAACTAGTCCATCATAAAGGAGATCAATCCTGGGTGTTCACTGGAAGGACTGGTGTTGAAGCTGACAATACTTTGGCCACCTGATGCAAAGAACTGACTCATTGGAAAAGACCCTAATGCTGGGAAGGATTGGGGGCAGGAGAAGGGGACGACAGAGGATGAGATGGCTGGATGGCATCACCGACTCGATGGACAGGGGTCTGGGTAGACTCCGGGAGTTGGTGATGGACAGGGAGGCCTGGCGTACTGCGATTCATGGGGTCGCAGAGTCAGACACGACTGAACTGATAGACCCTAAAATATATGCTTACTTTTCTTTTAACTACATTAGCCCAAGCCACACCCAACCCTTCCCTGTCAACAAACTGTTACAAGTAACTAAATAAGGCTCCCTGCCTCTGCATTTGCTCCTTCTCCCTCTCAGCCATTTCCCAAAGTTAGGGTACTCTTTTAAATATCAGAATTAGATCTTG